ATAAAGATGATTTTTCTATTTCTATTTCTATTTCTACTTTAAGAGATAATTTTTTAATATTTTTTCCATAAAACATGGTTATATGTTACTATTTTGGGGGCTTCAGCCCCAAAGCCCTCCGTAGATCCGTCCGTGAATGGGAGTTAGGTTCTTACAATATCTTCATGGGGTTATAAAATTTTAGGTTTTATTCAAACAATTTATTGTTTAGTTGGTTACAACGTTACTGGCGTGACACTTACTGCCGTTACTTAGATTTCGTGTAATTTTCAGTAAATTTAAAGTAATTTTTACTCTGAGTTTGAAAAAAAAAAATGATTGTATTTATTTATATTGAAGTTACGTTACGTATTGGTCTCGATTTCCTCCGTAAGTTGTGTCAACTTCGCGCATATTTTTATATACCAGCTTAATTGGTTTGTTCAGGCTGAAGAAATGTACTGGCCTCATTAACTCAGAACAAATAACAAGTTGAATTTTTCCTATGGATTTTATGTGTGTATAAATTGTGTACTTTTTGAGTTAATGGGGACTATTTTTTTCAATAACATTTCTTCTCGGAAATGTGCTCGCTTCTCTGCTTGAAGACGATAATCTTCTGAATGATGGTTCAATATGGCGCTCAAACAAAAATTCTTCTCTGATTAATATTGTACCATATAAAGATATATATTTGTTTATGTTGGGATTCAAAGTTAAACCAGCTTTATCGGTCTGACTTACAGAACCTTTCTACATCTCTATATCAAACTAAAATACATGTCCTTTTGAAGGATAAGAGAGAGGAAATGACTCTTTTAATATTGATCTGTCGTCGGATCCATGCCCAGCCAGCAAGGCGCCTGCATTCTCTTCAATAGCCAAGGTCATCAGCAGGGTGTCCTTAGTGAAGCTGGGCGAGATCAGTCTATCCGTGTTCTTAGCGGATTCTCGGGCGACTCTAAAACTATTTGGCGATAAATGTAAACGTTTCAATGATCTAATCAACATTGCTACTTTGACTATGGCCCGTTCTACTGTTATTAATATTTGGTAACTGCTAATTCGTCGAGTTTAATTGGCACTTCCACGCCTTTAATTGGCGCGCCTTTCCCCTGATTTTGGTTTATATGCAAATATTACTATTAATATTTTTATTGAGAAAAAAAAAATACATTTTGCCTCAATTAAGGGCATTGAGTATTTAGGATGAATGAAACACAATCATACCATATATACAATAAAAGAAAAACAAGATTATAACAAAATAAAATAAAACTTGGAGTAACAGAATAAATCAAACATGATACAACATTAAATAAATAAATTAAAAAATATATATAAATAAAACACATTCAAACTTATTTACAGTCAGCCGAGGGAGCTCCGAGTCGGGCCTCTTCCCCCACGTGTGGAGGACAAGGCAAGGCTCCAAGAGATCCCAGCGCTTCTCTCTCAGCCGCATCAATAGGATGGGAATCCAGTGGAGACGGAGAGAGAGCACTAAAGCCACATACGCTCATGACAATGTGCATATAGTGATTTTGGTTTGGTTTTTAAATAAAACGCACAAACAATTCGAATAAGAGTAAACGGCACTTAATTATTATTATTCTTAATTTAATATTTACTTCAAGTTAAGAACAAACGAAATGAAACTAACACATGAAATACGAACTAACGCCTGTTTTTGGAAAAAATGTTGTTCCTTGCTCTAATATAAGCTACTCATCTGAAGACATATCCTGTTATATATACTTACTATTACTATTACTTTATTACCGTAAATCTATCTACCATTGAGTAGTAGCGGACCCAAGATTTAATTTTGGAAGATTTTTTTTTTTTTATAACGGACGAATCTTCGGGGTTGAGACTTTCGGGCGGAAACGGATTTTTATTATATAATATAATATAACTATATAATAAAACTAGAGAAAAAAGCGAAAAAATTATAAGTGATCATTTAAGTGGTTCTTGAAAGTTTGTATTAAAAAAATAATAACAAAACCGGTAATTACAGTATAAAAGAACAACAATGCATTTAGAGATATATAATGTTTTTTTCTTGATTAAATTTAGTATCTTCATATGCATTACAATTTAAAAATAGATTACATCGTGATTGTACCTGTATTTAGCATAGAACATTCACAAAAACAAATATGGTACAATGGGGGAAAAATCTATTTTGGAGAGGAGAGCACTTCGGCCTGAAAACCCCTCCACTCTCTCGTAGATCCTTCAATGCCACCGAATATAAGTTGTTTCTATGTACAGCTAATATTTAATGTTAAATGAGTGACTCAATAGAAATGAGAGCGGCAACATGTGGGTTGACACATGATAAGTTAAAGGTGGACATGACAAGAGTGATACATTTTATTATGAATTGACACATGTAATTCGCATAAAAAGTGAAACGGACAGGTATATAATGGACTTGAAAACGTCATAATAAGATATTGTAGTCATTAAGTTGACCAAATTAAAAACTGGTGTAAAGTTTCTTAAAATAAATAAATTGGAAAATAGATATTATATAGGTATCTGTAAGATAACTGTAAAATGAGGCTTACATCTCTAAAATTTAAAAATATTCTTACATAAATTTGGAAGATTGATTGCTAGGGAAATGGAAAAATAAATGATTTTAAGGATGAGGAATTGCGTATGGAAGTAGTTAGAGAATTCCAAAACAAGCTACCACGTATGAGATAGACCTGATATAACAATTCACCAGTCTCTGCAACCTGATCTCAAGCCCACCAGACAGTCCACCGTATACAATGCAGCCATAATCTAAATGAGAGAGGGAACAAAGAGCTTACTGGTTTAATAACCTGATTTAAATTCGTTTAATACAATTATCAATATGTTTTTATTATTTAACACGAGAAAAAAAAATCGATTGATTTATAATAACTTAGAATGTTAGGTAGGGCAAAGTCAGAAAACAGTAATATAAAAAAATAATAAAATCTTATACATTTTTTTTCTCTGATCCTAAAGCGTATTGGCGAAAACCATTGAACAAGAAACAAATATGTTTCAACCTAGTACCACCAAAAAAAGTTTCATTGAAATCATTGATACCACGTCCATAACTTCCCCATGTCAAACATGAGTAAAATTATAGGGTAAAAAAAACTTTCGTTCAAAATTCGGAATATTTGAGTATGACATTAAAGATCTCGGAACTCATGTTAGATTACCGCTTAATCCACTCCTACGTCAATGCAATGAAGTAACAGAGCACAGTTATTACCGTCTTACTTAAATAAAATGTTTCAGAACAGGCAGAGTTAAAAGATTATGGTTTTAATCAAGCTTGAAACTGTGATGCTTCAAGGACGCTGGTCTCTTTCTTAGCGGAATTTCCCGATGAATTATATAACCGTATCGACATCTTTGTGGAAAACCGGAATTTCACACACCATCAAAAAATAAATCCACGTTTTCTTACTATACACATATGTTAAATATATTACAATTAGCTATTCCTTTGCAATTTTAAGTTATTTACATTCAAACCGAACAAACAAATAAACAGAAAAAATTAAACAAAAGAAACGAAATTAACTTTTAAAAAAATAAGAATTTTTATTCGCAATCTCTCTGTGCATTTATTTATACAGTGCGTTGCCTTATGAAAGGAATACAAATATTGAAAAAATATATCGATATTTTTCAAATATACTGAAAAAAATATCCGATATATCGGACCACTATATTTATAATCTTTAAAACATAGATAATCTGTTTTATGTGATTATCAGTAAGATGGCTTTCCTTGTAAAAATTTTACTTTTTGGGGAGGGGGGGGGTGAAGAGAGAGTTATTGGTGTTCAAAGTCAAATTTGAATACCTCTATAAAAATTTAAAGTATGGGTGGAAAACAATTTAGGGACGTAGAAGGTCGAGTTCTTAGCAAATAGGTGCAGTACGACCCAAAAGCCCCCAAACCTTTATAGACATACGAAACTTAGTAATATGGGAGTACTACTCATTTCATTGCTAATTAAGAGTGGACGGTAGGAAAGAAATGACTTATAACCGCCACTTTCGTTATTGTCGACCATCATCAGTTCCATTCGATGGTGTACTTCAAATATAAAGAGGTAACCACTGAAAATTTCTCAATAATTTGCTTTCATGTATAAAAATAGTAGATTAGTTTAATCCATGGTTATATTTACGTAGTGATTATTTTGTATGGTTATTCATACTCGTTATATTTATGTTTCGTTTTTTTTTTTAATTCAGCAATATTTTTGCTTCATTTAAATTTTTGCATTCTAATTTAAAATTCAGTACATTTAATATTAAAATAAAATAAATTTGAAAATTGAGAAATTGAATTTATTGAAAAAATAAAATAAAGAGTCTTGATGGCAGCAGTAGATGTAAGAACCCACTTCCCAGCGTATTGACCCACTCCTGCCGAAACTCCTTATGGCAAGCATGCCAGGAAGCGGAAAAAATTACATTTAATATTAATAAAAAAAAAAAAAGAATTAAACTCGATTGATTAGAAAATAACAGTTATCTCAAAATTCGTTTTTTGGACTCAAAAACACTGAAACGCTTAGATTCCTTGAATACTGCTCGGCGAAAATATCTCACAATTTTTCTTAGCGAAAAATACCTTTTTTACCTAGATAGGTGGTAAGAAAAGTTAAAAAGAAGAGCTCTATTGAAGTGTTAACACCAACTAGAGCTTTTGTAAATATTTTCAATTCAGTATAATGAGAAAATTACTATGCATAGAGATTAATTTAACTACAAGTTCAAGGCATAAAAGAGAAAGTCATAAAATTATTTTTTTAGAGATAGTTTGATGAAATTTCAAATAATACTTCTTCAATTCCCATCTAAAATACATCGGCTATCAACATCAAAAACTGCATTAATTTCGATTTGTTTCTCCTAAATGCAACAGCGCACCTTTCTGCTTGGAGAAGTACTAAACGTTCTTATCTTGTGACGTAACATAACCAACTAATCAACAAGGTTAGTGTCTCTCAGTTCCTTGTCATATCAGCTGAATGTTTGCTGACTCACATTAGGTCTTGGTGTTGTTGCTTGCGTGTTTAACTTCAAACCACCGGTTCGATTCAACTCATTTAGCTTATCTTCTAATGATATTTCACGTCAAGTATTATTTTCCAGCTTGAAAATATGTATGAAAGATGGCCATTAATTTTTGCATTTATCATCAGTGCTAGTTATTGTAATACTTTAAGTATTGATGAAGCTCTTAGACCAAAAGACAGTTATTTTGTGGTGAACCGTGTTGAGGAAAGTGGAATTAAGGATACAGTTGATCAACATGTAATTAATAAACGAAGTGCTGATCCTCCCTCTAACATTACTGTGAATGTAAGTTTTTTACCTCATTAAATTTTCACATTACTGAGTGTATTGTATTTTTTTTCTCTGTTTTACTTACTTTTTTCCTTTAATAGAGTAATGATAAATTGGTTTTGTTGATTACAGTAAACTATAAATTGATAACTAGTCTGTATTCTCATGCAATTATTCTTGATTGATTTTTAGCCTACCGATTTAAAGGATAATCATCAACAACTATTAGTCCATTGGCCTGGTAATGATTCAAATGTATTTATTTGTCTTGCTCGCAATATTGACCCTATAGTTCCTACTAAGAAACCAACCCCTTCTGCTGTTTACGTGTCTTATGACTACGGAGTGAATTTCAAAAATCTTACTGATTCATTCACTTTAGACTCCAATGGATCATATGCTTCGGTTGAAAAGTTTTATAACCATCCAAGAAACCAACATTATGTAAGTGGATATTACATTAATTGATTCCGTTTCAGTTTAATTTCTTTATTTAGGTAATACTAATTCTGCTCTGTTAATAGATGGTGTTCTTGGACAAGTATAACCAAATGTTTTTTGTCACAAAAAATTATGGGAGACAAATCACCAAAGTAAAACCATCATTTCAACCTATGGAAATCCTATTTTATCCAGAAGACCCTTTTATTTTTCTTGCATATGATGTGAATAAAACTGTAAGTTCTTATAATTTATTACTTAATTTGTTTATAGTGTTTGCATTTTATGACCAATTGAACTTGTATTGATTTAATTCTTTTTTAATCTTATTTGGTGTGTTGATTCTCATCTGTATTTAACAATAAGTTTAGCACAATAGAATGGAAATCTAATTTCATTTACTGCCATAAAATATAATAATTAATATTATACATAGTGCTAATAAATTAAACATTAAACCAACACAAACTGGTGAATGTTTCAGTAACATTAAGAATTTAATATTACGTAATTTATGAATCCCTAATCATAAAGTTTATGGTGATCAATATATTATTAAATAATCCCTAAGCTGCAAGGTTTTCAACTTCATTTGATTTGTTTATATTTGATATTTAAATGTGTGAATGTATGTTTGATTTATACAATTCTTTTTTATGGCAATATCGTCATAACTAGAAAAATATTAATTTTCTAGTTAATATCACAGGTGCAATTGGAATGATGTACTTTTAACAACTGAGGCAGTGACATTTCTTAGTGCTCAAGGCGAATTGTGCAATATTTTTATTTTTAATTGGGATGGAATTTTATTTATATTTATCTGTAGAATTAAACAACTTTATTCTTGTAATATAAATTATTATATTAATTTGCTACACAATTATTACAGAATTTTTTAATTCTAATGCATTCTGAATTTGTGCAATATGGAATTGATTAACATTTATATTTATAAGTTTTTTTAGTTGATTAAGTTTGAAAATATCAAAAATAGAAATTATTTATTCTAATAAAACTTCAATTTATACTAAATGAAAAAGAGGTTGGCTTGGTTTATTTTTTAATGTGTAATATCTATGAATAATAGTCAATTTTGTTTATTTTATTATTTTATATATATATAAATTTACATAAAAATTTTAAAGTTCATATTAAAATTAAACTTTCAATAGTTTGGCAATACTCCCTTTAAATAACTATTTTATAATTGTTTGAATGCAGGAACCAACCAACTTTTGTTTACATTTCTTGTTAATATTAATAAAAATTTTCATCTCTACAATGCACATTACTTGAATATAATAAAAATATGAAATGAAATGAGATTTTTATTACCCTGGGACTGTAAATGTCCCTTTAAGACAAATTACAGATACAGAGAAAATGCCTGTGTGTCCGTAAAATTAAATTAAATACTTACAATTCTCGTTAAAATTAAAATATTGGAAGAAAAATTAAAACAAAAACACTAAATATATATAGATATATATAATACAAACATATGAAAATAAAATAATATAAAAACCTGTACCACTACAACCCATGAAGGGTCTTGGGTTCAGTACTATTTAGGAAAAGCACTGTTTCTAGGTCAACGGTTGTGCAAGGAGGTAATTTGACCGAGATTACGCTCAACCGCCAGGTTTTCCCCCTTAATCAATTATTTAATTAAGAGTACCCACTTTATAGAGGCTGGGTGTGCCCCAGGAGGGTCTTCCGACCCAGAGTCGCCCCACGGCCAATGAAACCGATAAATAAATTTTCTGCCATGAGCTGGGGTTCAAACCTGGAACCTTTAGCATCGGAAGCTCAGTACAAAATAATATAAGTAAACAAAATCATTTCTGGGGAACTTGAAAAGTTCTCTTATCTACTTTTCTTGATCAGTTGGGTTGGGAAAGAAGTAGGTGCTTAAAAAGAAGAGATTTAAATGAGGAAACTGATTGCGCATGTCGGATATCGGAAGGGATGGTATTCCAGATGGAGATGGCTTGAATTATAAAGGATTTGTCAAACGCAGCAGTTCGATGAGGAGGTGGGTAGAGGTCAGAAGTACGGGATCTAGTGGGACGGGATTGAATGGAATAGTTAAATTGTAGGCTGTGAAAAATATAGGAAGGTCGCTGAGTTCTGGTGGCTTGGTATATAAAGGTAGCAAGGAAGTACAGATGGCGGTTGGATGGATAGAGCTACTTCAACTTGTTGTAATACTGGGTTATATGCGTACCTCTTGAGATTCCAGAGACAAAACGTATTGCGCAGTTCATTAGGCGTTTAAGTTTGGCTTTGAATTCTCCCGAGAGTCCGCCGTACAGCAGACAGCCATAGTCGAAGTGGGGGAACATAAGGGAGGAAACCAGGAGTTGTCGGGATTTATGTGGAAGGGGATAGCGGTATGGTGCATTGGCATGAAGGCGATAATATGGTGCATTTGGATGCATCACACCACTTTAATTTACCACCTTACTTTAATTATATTGCTTCATTAAAATTATAGATAGTTCAACATATTCATTTAATACAATTGGTCAAAATATTGTCAGCACCATGTAAAAGTAACGATTATGAAACATTGGAAAGATTAACATGGTGCCAATAATATATTTTCTAAGCCATTCTAATCTGTTTTTTTTTTTTTTCACTCTCCATTACCTTCTGCAAATATTTATTTTAGATCTTATTCTTTATAAAATCTGTAGCTTTCCAACTGAATCTTATACATCTATAGGATATAATCACTGTTTCAGGAAATTTATTTTCAAGCTGAGAAAATCTTTCTTTTTTTTTCCTGTAGTTGTTCATAAAGTTTTTCATAATTTCAATCTTCTTCTTTGTCTTCCTCTTATGCCATTAGCTAGTGTTGAGGTGCCTCAATCCAGTGTAACCACTCTTCCCGGTCCCTGCTTAATCTCATTGAGGGTTTTGCCTCTTTTACTTCCAATTCTTTGGATATACTCTTGGTATGTTCTGGGGCATCCGCATGGTCTCCTTCCTGTGGGTTGAGCCTCTAATGTCTTTATAGGATTCATGTCCATGCGGCAGACATGTCCAAACCACTGGAGTTGCCGTCTTTCTAGAGTTGTTTTAAGTATAGCAACTCCTAGTTGCTCTCTAATACTTTCGTTCCTAATGCAATCCCTTCTAGTTCTCCCAACAGATCTGTGAAGGAACTTCATTTCTGCTGCCGTTATGTGGCTAGAGTGCCTTTCCAGCGTTGTACAGTTTTCTCCGCCATAGTGTAGATAAGTAAACAGACTTTTATACATGCATTTTGGTCTTCTTCTCTACTTTACGGTGGCCGATGATGCTATTAGTAGTCTGGTAATACACTTGATTCACCTTACATATTTTAGCATCTATCTTACGCGAGCTACTAATTACAATCCCTAAGTGGGTATATTCACTCACTACCTCAAGTGTCTTGCCGTTGCAGATCAGTTGGACATTTTGATGTTTTTCCATTACCATAACCAGCACTTTACTCTTAGAGATGTTAATTTGCTTCCCTTTTATCAGCAACTCTTCTTCCCATTCTACCAGAGCTTGTTGTAGTTTGATCTTGGTGTCAGCTAATAGGACTATGTCATCCATGTATAAAAGACTTTGTACAAGGACAGTTCTCATATTCCATTTCCCAATTGTTGTCCACACAGTTCAGCGCTTGCAGATTTTGTGGATTTCATCCAGTACATTTATAAATAGAAGAGCACTTCAACTATCTCCCTGTCTAGCTCCGCAAACTGAAAATTAGAAAACTCGCATTTCCGATTCCATACCAGTTAACTAATTTCAATAATTTAAATCACTTTAAATAAATAAAAATAAGAAAGGTTCTAAACAGGAAGCAAGTTGTTAATTGACCTATAAGAATCATATTTATTTTCAGTGGGCATGACCATCAGGGAATGTGGGAATATTATTAAATGTTTTCCTGCTTTTCTAATAGTAAGTAAATGACAAAGGGTACTACTGTTTGGAATGTCCCTTTCATTTGTGAAGCATAGGTTAACAACTTAGGTGAGGTCCTTTCAGTGCACAACCGCCTAACAATTATCTTTATCATTGAAATAAAAATTAATACTGAAAGACTGTATAATTTATTGAACTGTGAAAGACGGGATTTTCCTGGGCCGGAGGGTGAGGGCGGGGAATTTAAAATTCCCTCCGGCACCGGGACGCGAACTCGTACTTATTTTTATCTCTCAAAACTTCATATATCTGGTTGCCGGGCAACTCGCGGTGCTATGCACACGCTTTAGCCCATTCGGCCACCCCGCCCCCTAAAGAGTGAAAGACTGTACCCTTTCACTTTCTGGTAAAACTATTTTGATAATGGAAAATTCTAAATCCAAGTCAAATTGAAATAAACATTTTTAAGTCCCCTGTGACCAAATAACCAAGTCTCTTAAATGATCATGTGTGTCCAGGCGGATGTATGACTGTATTGCGCATGTGTGCAAGTATGGGTGTGTGTCTGTGAACAGTCTTACTCAAAAACAAAAAGTCTATACAAAATTGGAATTATATATTTAAGGTTTCTTCTAGGATGTTACTGCATCTTTTTGGTTAAATTTGACTTACAGGTAATAGATTTTAAATTTCTCAAACACAGCTTCGATGATTTTAATTAAACTTATATCTATGCACTTTAAAATGCTGTTTAATATTAGCTAGGTCTCATGCTTATTAAAATATTCTGACAGGGTTAAATGCTGAAGTTTCAAAATTGCTTCCTTTAAAGTATGTTTAATTTGGTTCATTTGAAATTTGGTCTGTCATTGTTATTAGTCATAAAAAATGGCTAATTGTAAACTATGAAAGAATTTGATAATTAAATAAACAAGTATTTTTTCATATTATAAAAGAAATAGTATAGGTATGTATAAGATGTTGAAAACCTGAGAATTTCAGAAATAATAAATTTCTAAAGTATTAAGTCACTGCATCAATAGAACAATGCCTATCACAAAGATGTTGCAGAGCTGGATGCATGAAATTGGAAAGCAATTGTCTGAGATAAGCAGAGATGAAGAAGGCAGTTTCAGAGCCAAAAAAAAAAAAAACAGTTGTACAAGGTTGGGGGTGTAACAAAAAACTAATGACTAATAATTTATACTTTTATACGATTTAACATAAACTAAATATGTTATATGATATTATGGAAACTAAATAGAATTTCCACAGGAACTAAATGGAAAATGTTTTCAAACAAAAATTATTCAAAAAAAAATATTTGTTTTTTCATTTGTAAGAAAATAAATGAGGAAGAGCTTGCTACCAAAAATATTTTAAGTAATATATACCGGTGGGGAAAACTTAATGTTATAACTTCAGTTATACCAATATGTTTTGTTATTGGTATAACTTCAGTTTAATAACTTAAGATCAGACAATAGATATAAATATTGACGAGCCCTATTTGTGCAGAAATTAATTTCAGCTTAAAGTAGGTTAGTAAATAAAAAGTTTTATGATGCTCATGCCAGATTTTTAAAAATTCCAAGCTACTCTGCTAGGGTAGTCAAATTATATATAAATTATTCTAATTCCTTGCTCACGTCAACTTTTTATAGTTTACCTTAGTTTACTTTAAGTACGACACTTCTCAGTCTAGATCAATCCTATTTCTTTTCACCCTCTTGTCTAATATTAATATCCTCCAAGTGAAGGCCCATCATGATAAAGAAACTATCCCTTAGCAAATGTTTCTTTGTTTCTTGCAGTAATTATTGGAGACTATTCCAATTATTCCCTCATCCATTGTTATGTATTATTATGGTCATAAACCTTTTTTTGATTCTTTTCTAATGTTAACTTACCCATAAATGTTTTTCTTCTCAATTTGTTCTATTTGAAGAACTATTCATTAATGTATAGAATAACTTTTTTCTTAATTATAGCTAAAATTATAATACATTTAATAATTAGAGTAATGACACTTATTACAGCTTTGGATAACTCGTGATTTTGGAGGTTCATTTTCTGTAGTTCAAGAATTTGTGAAATCATACTCTTGGGCCGGGCGATGGACTGGAACTTGGGCTGATACTCCTACTAGATCTTTGCTTGTGAGTAACCTTAAACATTTATCGTGTTTTAACATTATATTTTATGTTATTTATGATTTACATTATTAGTATAAAATGCAATTATTATTCTTTAATTCACTTAATTTATTTTTTTAAATTATCTTGGCTTTGAAAAAAAAGCTACTGAACTAAGGAATGCTTATTATATAAAATACTAGCTTTACTCGGCCACACGCTGCTGCGGCTCAGTCTGGCAAAATGGAAAAGAAAGAAAATAGAAAGCACATATGAGTGGCTTAGCATCAAAGGACATTGTCATTTTTAAAAAGTTGAAAAACAAAATTTGTCTGTAACATTAATTAATTAAGCTTCGATTTAAAGTAATTCTAATGATTTTTTTTTCAGGATTCAACTTGAATATTCTTAAATAAAATCATCAGAAACAGTTTAAATTAAATCCATAAACAAAAATTGACTTTTTCTCTGCTTTCTCTTAATGACAGAGATACAATTTTTAAATTTAATGTCTAACTTTGTTTGGTTATTTTATGGTAAATAAAAATGTAAATGTTCGTTTGTTTAATATCTTAACTCTCGGAAAGTTCTTTGCCGATTACCTTGAAATTTTGGCTAGGTTTTATATACCTACTATTATAAAATATAAGGTAAAACTATATATATTTATTAAAAACGCTAGTTGGATGTAAAAGCAACATATGGTGTTCAAAATATTTTACGATACCACTTTAATGTTAAAGATTTTCATATATCAAACATGAGAATGGATTGGAATTGTGCTGTACCGCTTACCATAGCATTCATTTCGTGTGCATTGCAGCTGCCTTCCACCTCCTTGAAAAAATTTCGCATACCCCTCCTAAGATATTTGATTGCTCTCTTCTTCTTTACAACAACTTCATTAAATGTAGAGTTATAAAAATTGTAGTGGAAAAATAAACCTTACAGTAAACGGCACAGCCTTTAAATGTAATGTTAAAGAAAATAATTTATTAAAAAATAAAATAAACTGAAATCGATGAAAAACTGATTTCTAAAAGGAATCAAGAACATAAACGGTGATAATTATTACTCAAGGGTTAACTATTTATAAATAATAGCATATCAAATATTTGAGATGTATCTTACTACTGCCCGAATACATTAGGAGAAAAATATAAAATTTAATATAAAGAGTGTAGAATAGTATTGACCTACATAAGGAGAATCATATCATTTCAAATGATAATTTCAATTACTTCAGTAATAATAAAATTGTTGATTAATCATTAACCAAAAAAATAGGGGGAGGGGATGACCTTTGCTGAAGAAATAGTAGTAAATGTTTAAAACTCTATATTTCTGCAACAAATCGTCTGATTTCAATGATTTTTTGTTTAATTTGTAGAGAATTCTGGAAGGTTTCGAATAATTATGGCTATAATCCAGCAAAAATTGTGTGCTCTTTTAGTTATTAGCAAATATAACTTTGAATTCATCGTATTATTTTTTGCAGTTTGTTTCCGGGAAAGTATGTTATACAAATAAATTAAAAGGGTTTCAAGGGCAAGACTTGAGCCAAGTTTTGTTAAAATTGTTACAGCCGTTTTGGCGGGAGAGTCTGTAGCTATATTTTTTTCACACATATAAAAATATGGTAGGACGGATGTTCTATACCCAAAACCTGCAAAGGAGTGTACCCAACAACTTCCCAAAGTTTCATGGCAATCAGATGAATGGTTTAGTAATGCATAAAGGACAAACAGATGTATATATATATATATATTATATATTATATATTAGTAATCACTTCACTGCTTGACTAGCTTTATTTTCATTATGTTTCAGCTCTTACACCACATTATATAATGAAAGTTAAAATTTTCCAAATAGAAAAGTGTTTTAGTTTTAAGAATTGTTTATAAGTTTTGTCCTTTCACTTTAAGCATAAATATACTACAAAATGTTTAAAATGTTCTTATTTCTTAATGATAAGAAATGTTCATTACATTGTTTGAAAATAATGAGAGCAATCAATTACAATTATTAAATACCTTTGTATTTAACAAATCCCCTTTTACTTTTATAAAATTGAAGGAAAAAAAAAAAAAAGTTAGCTTACATCAGTGTCTCAAAAAATATCAATTGTAAATTATGCTTTTTATGTATTGTTAAGTTCTTTAAGCATTTAAACTATACCTAAAGAAATTGGTATTGTGTTTAATGATGGTTTTAATTAAATAGAAAAAAAGCATAAACTTTAATGTTACAGTTTATAAGTACCAAACTATTCTACAACTACTTTGTAAAAGATTTATTCTGATTAAGCTGTTACAGTCCAATCTTGATACAAATATGAAACCAACAAGTTGTTGGATTACCAAGTATTCCAAACTACTGGCAATGCCATTTAAACAATGCCAAATAAGAAAGTAATATTACAATAACATAAAAATAAATTTGTTTTATTGCTTCTTTATTAAGAAAATGTAACTTACACATATCATCCATGTACAAAAACCGCAGGTTAGGTAATAGAGAGAGTTCTTTCTCTTCAATTATTTGTTCACTTGCCATTACATCATGACATAAAAAAAAAATATATATTATAAGTAGTGACCAGATAATAATATTCTCAGTTTATTAAATTCTAGATCATTAAGATCACTCATGTGATGTGTAACTTATATTTATTGTTTATTGTTACAAACTAAAAGCTAATCTAGCCAAACTGGGAAGATCATTTCTTTTTAAATATCTATTGAGGCCTTCTAATCTCAATTCTAATCTTAAGTTCAAGAAAATACTTCCTTAATTTTATAGCTGTCAATTTCCATGAATACTATTTCTATCTTAAATATATTTACAGCTTGTATTATGATTTTAGGTACAAAGAATAGAGCCTTCTGGGAACACAACACTTCTTGCCCTCGGTGATTTAGTCACTAGTAATCAACCTAGTTTAACTGTAAAGATGCATAACATTGAGCAGTTTACTTTAAATGGAGATTTTATATTTGTTACCAGAAGACTGTCTCCAGTAAGTAAAATCTTATTTTAATAAAAAGTGTTTCTACTCTATAATGCTAAAAACATTAATATTTTTTTTTTTAGTGGGAAGTTTTTGTCTAAATATAAAATCCAGTAAGTTTAAATTAACTGTATGAAATGATTTATATTGTTTTACTTTAATAGTCTATCCTGAGGTGTTTTTATTTGGTAATAGTTTTACTGGATTAATCTGTTTTTCGTTTATTAGTTCCAAGATTTGATTAATTCAATTTTAAATCAAATAGAATACCCGCATAATGGTGCTAGCTCAAACTCTTCCCCTAAGATCAATTGCAATATATAGTCAACCTCCATCCAATGCACTTACCATTTCTTGTGGTGTACTTCAGAGTTCATCCCCCTCTCTATTTGTTATTTATATTAATTACCTTTCCCTACTGATTATCACTCCCAATACTATATCACTGCTGACAACTTCCAAATGTATCTATCCTTCCTCCCACTTTCCAACCGATCATCAGCCACAATCAAACTCCTCGAACACTTGCATCCAATTATTCACTGAATAGTAGTTAATAATTTGAAGTTAAATGTTGAAAAGACATAGGTCTATATTCTACCCAACCACTAAAAACCTTAAAATCTCCTGTTGTATCATTTCCACCTTAAAAAGATTACCTTTATAATTTCATATATAAAATTACCTTTTTCACTTATTTCATTTTGAAACACGTTGGCTCCTTGCTAATTCCTTAATTTTCTCCTCACTTTGATTACTTTTTCATGGTGTATGAAGCTATCTCTGGAGATCTCAAGCCAAATTAAAACTTTTGATCAACTGCTTTGTATAGTTCATCTTCAGAATACCACGGATGCCTCTGCTTTCTGATCTTTTGAAGAGTTGATCCCCCCTTCTACTCCCTTTCTACCGTCATATTTACTCGTATCCTTACTCTACCGAGTCAACCAATACTGAGAGTGAGGTGGCCGAGCAGGCTAACCGAAGTTAGAGATGAAAAAATAATTACGAGTTCAAATTCTGATGCCCGGTATGACTTTTAACTCGGCATGACTTTCCCGGCCTGGGAAAAATCCCTAAAAGGCAACGAAGGGAGAAACAAAAAAAAAAGTAAACCAATACCTCCATCTATCATATATCTCCAATCCCCTTCAATTGAAATTCTCTTTCCATTGACACGATACCTGTTCTCAATTTACAGAACTTTATATAATGGCCCACCAAACCATGACTTTTAACATATCTTTTATGATCCGATTCTCACCCCACCTTCAAATCTCACCTATTCAATCACTTCCTATTCAGTTAAAATTTGTAAATAGTTAGAAAATTTCTATGAAAATTTTAATCCTTTTATTTCTCAATCTTTATTTTATATCTAAATCTTTATTTCTCAAAGGTGTTTTTTGTTAGCTATACCCTCATAAATTCTTCATTGCATCTAATGATTGTGCCATCATTTTGAAGATCATCTTGTTGTTCAGAAGAAAAAAATATACAGATACCCCAGAAATGTCAGAAAAAAAAGTTGTATAGAAAGAGATATTTTATTTATAAATAACTTAAAAAGTATGCTAATCAAACCCGATATTGGTTGATACAGTAGTTTATTGTACCCATAATTATTTAAAAGGCTCCTAAAGTTGTTTGAAAACAAAAAAATCATCAAAATCAGACCATTATTAGTAAAGATACAGACAGCTATTGTATTTTGTTGTGCTGTTTTGGTTTGTTATTTCTAATGAATCATTGTAATTGACCAAGCAAAATATAAGTCTAATGAAGGCGAAATATAAATAAAACTAACAAGGAGCCAATGTGTTTCAAATTGAAATAATAGTGTCTCCATCTCATAATACTTACATTAATTCATTTTCATGTTATTATGTCTTGTTTACTGACCAAAATACTGTGCGAATTATTCACTCAGGCCAAATATGTATATACAGGAACATATTTTTTTTTAATTATTCATCTTTGTTTTATTTTTTACTTTTAATCAACATTTGAAGTTACTTTATAATATATAATTATTTCATTTTTTTTTATTTGGTGATTCTTTTGTTGTTTTTTCTTTTAGTCTAAGACTTTAAAGTACTCTATTTATCTTGTAACATTATTCTAAAGTGAATTGTTTCCAGAATTAATAAAGGATTTATTTATTGTTATTAAAAAATTATAGCTTACAATAAAATGTTTGTACAGTCTTCTGCAGTATGGGTCTCATTATATTGTTCAATTTTCTTTCTTTAACATAGTCTAGACACTTATCGCCTTCACTATATATATATTTACAGCTTCCAATATTTATACCTATCAATTTAATTATTTTATTAGTTGACAAATGTCTTTTTTTTTATTATTATTTTAGACAGATAACGACCTCTATATATCCTATCGTGGTGGTGATTTCTTTCAAGCAATATTCGACTCAGGGCTTGAAAAAGGAAATTTTCATGTTACGGACGTTAGTGATGTAAGGGTCATGGTTGCTGTTGCCCATAGCGAAACTCTCTGTAATTTATACATTTCTGAGGTAGTATCAGGAAGCAACTATACCTTCAGAATATCATTGGAGAGGTTATTCTGTTTTTTCCCTCATAAAATGTGGACAGAATCATGGCTAAGGTACGAATTTGGCATTTTGTGTTAAAAGTTCATATATTAGCATTTAAATGTTTAAAATATAATATAATAATAATAAAAACAAAGTTTGTATAAATAATTTAGGTTTTTTCACTTTACCATTTATTCATGTAGCTGTCACAAAGTTTTATCCATTCAAAGCTATCATCAGGTTCATTGTGATTAATTATTGTTGAGCTAATATGTTCTGTTTAATGGTGATGAAGCCTAAATTATTTAAATTAAAATTCTTTTTTTTACCTTAAAAAAAAGTTAATTTTAAAAAGTTAATACTTAGTTAACAATTTAATATTATATAAAAATTATTCCTTTGTCATTATTCATTTCTTTCTTTGTCAATTTCTTTCCTTCCACACTTGTTCCAGCTTCCTTATGTTGTTCCCTTCTAGTTCACTTTTCTGAAAGTCCTTTTTTAACTCACCCTCCCGTCTGGTTCTAGCTCTTCCTTTTCTTATTTTTCTTCCAATCTTTTCCTGAGAAACTTAATTTATGATGCCCTTAAATGAATATAATTGTAAAAGAAGTTTTCATTTTATGCCTTAAAATGAAAGGAAATACATTAATTATTATTTCTGATAATTTCAGTGATGTTGCCGAAGAAACATTTGCTGATCTTCATAAAGTACAAGGAATCAGGGGAGTTTATCTTGCTTCTCAGGTACATTTATTTAATATTTAAAACTTTGTGTAGTTTATTCATGTTTCAGTTATTTAGTTAGCAATTAGTTTTAGTTAGTATTTATTAAAATTTAATACCATTTGGTAAAGATAAATCTAGATGCAAATCTTTTCGAGCTCTAATCAAAAGCTTTTATTTAATTTTAATAATTGACCTGTGCCGCTTAGATTGTTGCGTTTATGTCATTTCCAGTATTTTAATATCTAGTATAAAGAATTTTTAGAGAAAAAAAAGGTAAATCAGGAATGAAACGCTATATTTATGAATTCAAATCCTGTTGCCCAATGCTTTTTCCATAATTTCTCCACCACAGGAAAAAAAACCGTGTAGTCTAAAAGGCAAGAAAGGGGAGAACAAAAAAATAAATTAATGGATTGCCATGAAAAATGAGCTATCATCATAATAGTTCCTCATAACATATTAGTTACACATTAATCCATTACTAGAGTGTGGCAGTAAGGTCATGGTTACAGCAAGCTCAGTCACTTTCATGAAGCTTGATTTCAATATGAACCGAGCCTGAAAAATTGTAGTTGCTTCATGTTGTCTGATATGGTAGTCCAATTGGATTCTTGCACATATTGTGTAAATTTAAACTCAAATAGAATTCAAGTGATAAAGAGCATTAAAATCAATATTGCTATTAATATTTTGAAAAGAAAAAAGTTTTGAAAACTTTGCCTATTTATGTCTTTTAGGGTGTTGACAAAGTTGATTATTAATAGAAAGGAAGGAGATGGTTCAGGGTGGCGGTCATAAATAGGTTAAATATTGGTAAAACTATTTTTATTAAAAGCCGACATTTCGACCCGACTTTGCAGGTCTTCTTCAGGGCTAGAACGGACAAGATACAAAAAGGTCTTTTTGTATCTTGCATCTTCTTTTTGTATCTTGTCCGTTCTAGCCCTGAAGAAGACCTGCTAAGTCGGGTCGAAACGTCGGCTTTTAATAAAAATAGTTTTACCACTATTTAACCTATTTATGAACGCCACCCCGGCCATCTCCTTCCTTTATAATGTAACGGTCAACTATTAAATATTCAATTTATTATTAATACTCGTGAATTCTAATTAATTGAATTTAAAGACTTTATAAAATTTTAATTTATGTTTGATTAATAATCATAAATTAAAATAAAGTTGTCCAATAAAATTCAAATCAATCTTGAACAGATAAATTGAATTACAAAATAATTAAAGTCGATATTTCACTGGACTTCAATACTGGAGCAGTTGTAAGTCGGTGGATCCAGACAGGACAAATTCGGATTTAAATATTTTGTTGTGGACATCAAGATCCAGTTATTTCTTAATAAACTACTGCCCTCTGCATTTTAAAGTCCAAAATTGTACCATTTTCAAGATAATGTAAGGCAAAGATCTCGCAGCCACATAACCTCAGTTAAGTAAGTAAAAATTTGGGACTTTTTTTGTTTTAATTTTTTAACCTAATGTTCATTGATGAATAGAAATAAAAAATTCGTGCAAGTACTCAATTGCAATGTTTAAAAAATATATTTGAGAAAATTTACTTTTTAAAAAAATGTTGTATGACATATCCATGTTCTGTTCAGTAGAAGATGGTTCTCTGTAGTTTTATTAGACAAGTCAAGATCAGTAATTGAGATGTGATTGCTGTTATTGTGAAACCTGATATTGCTTTCTAATTTTTAGTAGACATGTATATTAATTATTATTAGTTTTAATTATTAATTTATTTTATTTTATTATCTATTAGTTTTTTATATATCTATGTGAGGTTTTTTTTCTATTAACTGTCTGGTTCTTAATATGTGATTGAAAAAAAAAAAAACAGATCATTTATTTTTATTTATTCTAGGTTACTCCATTAGCAAAAAGTGATAACATAAGTCCTGAACATCTGCGAACTCTTATAACATTTGATTGGGGTGCTGAGTGGAGAACTATCATAGCTCCAACTGTTGATGAGACTGGTCGCCCGTTTCCAAACTGTAGTCCTTCAGTAAGTAAACAGCTTTCATCATAAGACGTAAAAAAATATTTAATATGATTTCATCTTCATCTATAGGTTTTTAAAACAAAAACATTTTATTTAAGTATTGAATGTCGTCTTGCATTGTAAAATAACTCTTCTTGGGCAGAAAAAAAAGTGCTGAGCTCCATCACTAAGATCGTATTTTCCTTCAATTTTTGTTTGGAAAACAGATCAAAAGTCGTTTGATTGATTGATTTATTTATGCTCCCCTGAGGAAATTTAAAATTAATAGAATGGCCAAATTCATTTCTCATGTTTTCGTTAGCTCATTGTTTTTTTAATCATTGTATTATTTACTTCTGAATTTAATTCATCAATGTGATGGGGACCATAGGATGGTTAAGGTTAAAAGTTGAGGCTCCCATAAGGCTATTCTCCCTAAAACCAAATACAATTCGTATACAAATTGTCAAACATCTAAATCAATTTGTAGGTGCTATAGAGTTACACAAAACCTTGAAAATTGGGGAAACCATGCCAAAAAATTCTGAGAGAAAAACATCAAGTTGCCCAAAGGCTCTTATAACAGTTAAATTCGCATACAAATTTTCAACCCTCTAACACTATTTGGAGGGATTGTACAAAACTTTCACAACTATTTTGATATGCTAAATTTATTCTCACTTCTGATATTGTTCTGTGACTATAAAACAATCCTGCATTCCGAATTTCAGCTCATATCATCCAAATGAAATGGGTGGATCCAAATGTAGTCGAAATTATATATAGATATATATTTTATAAATATCAGTAATTCTGAAAGCTCCAGTATCATTATCTATGGATTATGAAATAGATATAAAAATGTTTCCTCGTCCTCCCTCCCCATTAATGACTTTTAAATTTTTAGTAACAATCTGCAATAAATCTGTAATATATATGATTCAGAAGCTAATAGCTTACTGAACAAAAATTAACTTGATTTACCAGGAAACAATCATCAATAGAAAATCCTCAAACATTGTTTGTAGGGTGAAAGAACAAGTAGGCCCAGAAACCTTTAGGTACTTTTTTGACTTTAATATTATTATAATTTTTTTATTGTCCCTTTCTTTTATTTCTTTCATTAAAAATTATGGATTAATTGGATCTATGGTTAACCATTTTTAAACTTAACATATTTCGATTTTTAATATCTACTCATCTTAGTTATATTTTATTTATTGTGTTTATAGAACTGCACTCTTCATTTAACTCAAAAATTTATGAACTTATATCCATTTACAAGAACTGTTCCTATTCTAAGTTCAGCTTCAGCTCCTGGTTTAATCGTAGCGACTGGAGTTTTAGGATCATCTCTCAAGGGACATCCTGGAGTATTTGTTAGTAGAGATGCTGGGCTAACTTGGAATAAAGTTAGTAATTATTATTTAAATTAATCTCAATATTTGTTCTTTAAGTCATCATTTTATTTAAATGATGCCCATGATTGTTATTTTAGGTTCTCAGAGAAAATTTTATCTATAATTTTGGTGATCATGGTGGAATCATGACAGCAGTCAAATATTTCAAATCAACTGGTGAGACGGAGGAACTTTTATATTCCACCGATGAGGGTGAAAAGTGGTCTAGCTTGAAGTTTGTCAATGAAACTATTCGTGTTTACAATCTCATGACTGAACCAGGGGAAAATACAACATGGTTCACAGTATTTGGCTCTAAAATTGACAAACACGGCTGGATGATCATTAATGTTGATTTGAAAAATGCATTCTGTAAGTATTGCTGTTTTTGCTTCAAAGATTTTATACATTTATTTAATTTTGATGTAACGTGTTCTAATTAAATTCTGTTTGTCCATTATATTTATTTTATCTGGAAATACTCCATAATTTTCCTTAAGAATTAATTTTAAATAATAAAGTTTAAAAACAAGGCAAAGTATTCATTATATACATTTTAGTTTCTCCTCTATTTCATGGGGCATGACAAGCTACATATTATCTTTACTTGTCTTCCTTTTTACCTATAAAGCAAACTATAACTGTATTTGTCACCCGTTCTGAACTTATCTAAATATAAATAGTTTTTTAATTGGTATGAAGGTAATTGACCATTATTCTAATTTAAGAAGTCGGAGGTACCGTCAATAGACATACTATAACATATACAGTATGTCAATTTATGGCACCCCTGACCAACTTTTTAAATAAAAAATAGTTTTTTATGAAACTAAGTCGAAAGTTAAATATTATTATTTGTTTTCAGTTCATATTATACTTCTTACTCAGTTAAATGCTTTTTATTAAAGTAACATTGCTGCTCTCATTAACAGTCTAGAAATTGGTTTTATATTATTCAATTGCATATATCAGTTTTAGTGTGAGAACAAGAAATAAAAACAAATATATGATATATAAACAAGAAGAATTTTAAAATCCTTGTTGAGCACTTGTTGCTAGAACAGACAGTAACGATTGCCCTGATGATGGCTCATATACTTGAATCAAAATGACCATAAACTTGATAAAATATATCTATTTCACTTTGAATGCAACCCTTATCTGAATGCTTTAGTCTATAAACAATTTTTTCTTTAGAATGTTGGTCTTAATTTCTATATTCCAAGCGGTATTATTTTATTTTCAGCTTACAATTGCACAAAAGAAGATTACAAAATGTGGATTCCATCTAGTGGCTCAAAATCTAGGCAAATTAAGATGTCATGTGTAATGGGATTGGAAGAAACATTTGAACGTCGTATTAGGCATTCCAATTGTTTTAATGGAAAGAACTATGATAGACCAATCCTAAAACAGCCTTGTACATGTGATATAGAAGACTTTGAGTGGTACTAGTTCCTTAAATATCTATTTATAAAATTTGTATTAATCTTAGTTAATTTGTTTCTCTTATACATTTTTAAATATTAAATACAGTATTGATATTATATGATTTCATTAATATTTGGGTGTATAATATTAGTATGAAATGTATAAAATATTTCATCATTATTTTTAGTCTATACAATTTTCTAATATTCATTCTTCAGTTAAAATTTTTATTTTTGATCTTGGGTTTCATATAGTTATAAAATTTATTTACCATTTTCAAAATGAAAAAGACTAATGTTATTATATCTTATACCAATTTTATATGGTTATCTGATTTTAATTATCTTTTTAGTGATTTTGGATTTCTGCGACACGTAAATTCTGCTGGTTGTATTCGAAACAAGTCCTCCACATATGATCCATACAAACTCCCTGATACATGCAGGCCTGGAACTTTTTATAATAGAACTAAAGGTTATAGGAAGATTGATGGGGATGCTTGTGTTAATGGATTTGACTGGCAATACCTTCCTGAACAAATTCCTTGTCCATTCAAGTAAGTGAAGCTGTTTATTTACATCTTTACCAACAATGATTTCTTGATATCTGCTTGTCATGAACATTTTATAAATAAAATAAATGTATTACTTTTTTCCTATTGTCCAGGGATAGCAGTCTATGTTCGGTCTAAATTGTCTTATGAGTTCTTTCTGTGAGGTTTATTTGGTTAGTTGTGGATACTCTTCTATTTTTACCCTGTGAATATTTTCCTATTTTTACTAGAAATCACACTCACCTAAGTGGTGACCAAGCTGGATTATACTTAGCATTATTTTTCAAAATGACCTAAATTGCCTACTCAACTTTTTTCTACAAAAGCAAATATTACTTATCTTAGTGATATAAACATAAAATATAAAAAAAAAAACTCTTAAATTCAGTAATGCAAACCTTTACAAAGAACTGAAGTTTATTGAATTATAGATGGGTAAGGCTTGCAAATTGAACCAATTATATTTATTGTTTCGTTATTAATCAATCATAATACTAATTTAGATGAAAACTGGTTTTAATGTTGATCAATCAACAACTTATACAGTAATGTGAAAAAGTCTTCGAACATATCAAAGTTTTATAAAAATGATAATTTTTCAATTTGAAAGGAGTATCCAAGCTTCTAAATCAGCAACAAAAGTCTATAGATCACACTGGAAACTACACTCAGAAATTCTGAAAGCATTTCTGAGTGTAGTGTTCGTTTGTGTCTGACATCAATAAATGAATGGATAAAAAATGAATACCATTTTATTTAATTTATCCTTTTATAATCAGAGATGCTAATGAACACTGAAACGGTTTGATCATTATTAACATGTTAGCTACGGTTACGGTCCCTGGGATCCAATATTTGTCTCGGCTGCTAAGTGGCAGGGATTGTTTCGAATTTTGTCTACATTACAAAGCCTCTAAAATTGTCATTTTTAAAAATATTTTAATGGGAGTTGAATAGATGTAAAGATACAAACGTAAATAACCATTATAACTGATATAAAGCTGTAGGATGCCAGGGACCAATACCGTACCAGACTGATAAAAGATGATTTTCCTATGGTATCATCCCCTGGCATCTGATACATATTCCAGCCGCGACAGGACAGTGCACAGGCATGGTGATTGAGATAATGTTTGGAACGTCGGTTGTCAATTCTTGGATCATCTTTAATATGTAAAAAGAAAAGCCCAACTCAGCGCCCACCATCCTCACCACGTCTAATGCGTCATGTCCATTCTTTTATTAAGCCTTCAGATGAGGGAAGAAACAGCGAAAGCAGCGCAGAGAATGCTTCAGAAAACTGAGGAAGTTCCTAGGAAATAAGGAGGCAAATAAGAATACATGAAAAGTCACTAGTTTCCGATTGATGATATGCCCGGATTCTGTTTGCCGCACTTCATCCAGAAACACAAGCAGTTAGCAACTTAATACTTTACTTTCATTTTTCATTTTCTTAAAATTAGTTCCAGTTTAATAGCGAATAACCAAATATCCATATTTTTCTTGCATTGCTACCATATGATACTTATTATGTAACTTTGAATTTTTATATTCCATTTTTATCTTGACATTGAAAAAGTATTACACAAATAATGTATATATTATATCATGATAAATTATAAATATATATAATAAATAAACTTTACTTCATTTAATTTTCAATATTTAAAAATCAAATTTCTAAAAATGACACTTTTTTACTGAAATAAAGAGAAATAATAAAAAACTCGTCATATAAATGGTATCGAACGTCGGAGTCCAGTCCTACAATTGCTGGCCGTTAATGAGGACACAATCAACAGATAGACAGAATTTCGTTCACCTTTGTTGTCAAAAGATATCTGGAAATTGATTATGTCCCCAACATCCGATGCTATTAGGAACTTCATAACTAATGTCGGTTGCCGGGGACCCATATTGTTGGGAAAGACATTTGAGAGATATCATGTTCAGCAGCTACTGTATTAACATACTAATAAATATGCTTTCTGACAATTGTTTATAAATTTAACGAAAAAAAAAAAGTATTAATTATTCTGTTACAGTGAAACTTCTAATTTCTTAATTCTGGCATTGAAAAAACAGATATTGAGATTCAATTTGGCAGATCCTAAACCAATATCAGAAGAACTGCCTATACAGAATTTAGAAAATGTGATCGCTATAGATTTTGACATGAAAAACAATTGCCTTTTCTATGGTGACTTAGAGAAAGATGTGGTTGTGGTAAGCATTATTTCTTGTCTTTTTTTTTTTTTTTTTCTTGTGCTAAATTATTTTTTCTTAATCATTTATTATTTTACTTTTATATTTCTGAAAAACAAAAATATAGTTTGTAATAACAGTGATGTGAATCAATTGCCTATATTGTTTTAATATTGCTCCTAATTTTTTTTTTTTTTTCCAATAGAGACAGTGTTTATCTGGAAAGAAACCTCCAGAGATTCTCGTAAAAAGTGGTCTTAAGTCCGTGGAAGGAATAGCTTATGATTGGATATCTTATTTGTTATACTTTGTGGATAGTGGTTTAGTAAAGATTGAGGCAGTGAGGACTGATATAGACTTCTCAAATAGGATGAGAAAAACAATTTTAAACAATACTGTTCTGGATAAGCCTAGAGGAATTGCCTTGCATCCAGTGGCTGGGTAAGTTTTTCTTTTTCTTAAAAACTTTAATTAGTAAATTCAATCAACCGGGGAGAAAATTGCCAAAATTTGAGTTAATATACTATACGACTTTAAAAATTTCTTTTTGGAGTGACATTTAACATAACTTTCATTCAAATTTTTTATTCTGTGTATTAAGGTAAGAATTTCCATTGTGCTTGTTTTTATATAAACTCAAATATTTAAAGTATGGGATGCTTATAGCCAATGTTTTAAATGCCCAACAATGTTACCATTTTTATTTTTTGCACTTTCCATCTCATGGTGGTTGAATGTAGTGAATAATTGAAGAGAAGTTGGTTGGGATGTTCAGCCAAAAATAAATAAATAAATTGTATTTATTTATTTTTGACTGAACACCCCCAAGCAACTTCTCTTCAAAGAATCTTAACATTATATTTTTGTTAAAATACAATATATATTTCGCAGATTATCTAAAAGTAACAAGTGATAATCTTTTTATAACAAAAATCAGGAGATCTTTCACCTCATTTTCCTTAAATCTAAGCCATCCTATTTTCTGTTTTTTTTTTTAGTAATAACTGCTCTCCAAGGACATTTGAAAAATGAAAAAAAATCAATAAACAATATTTTAAATCAATGACAATTAGCCAACAAAAACATAATATTCCAAATTTTATACCTTTTAAAAATGTCTGCCATGTATGGTCAATATAGCTTTCTCACAGTTTTCATTGACTAATATATATATATACATATATTACAAGGTCTAAATTTTTTTGTATGAGAATAAAAACTCTCTTATTTTACACACCTATAGTTTAAAAACTACGCGTTCGATTTGAAACTTGAAGGAAATTTGGAGAATAGTATAGAAATTATACCTAGTATCAATTTCATTAAATTCCATTTAATAATTAAAATTAATATAAATAACTGTTAACAGTAAAATGGCTGTGAAATGTGGAAGGCATTGATCATGTTTTTTGTTGTTGTTTTTTTGGGTCCTTCTCTTCCTTGCCGTTAAGGCTATACAGGATTTTCCCGGGCCAGGGGGTGTGAGCGGGGATTTAAAAGACTCCCCCGGCACCGGGACTCGTGACTATTTTTATATCTTTGATTCATATGTCAGGTTGCCAGGCAACGGCGGTGCAGTGCACACGCTTTAACCCATTCGGCCACCCCGCCATCCGGCATTGATCATGTGTGATGGGGTGGTTAATACAATATTTTTATGAGGTTATAAAATTTAATAAGGTTTTATTCAAAAACTGTATTGTTTGGTGGCTTCCAAATGTTATTAGAATGATGATTACTGCCATTATTTAGATTTCGTGTAATTTTCAATAAATTTAAATTAATTCTTACTCTAATTTTGTAAAAAAAGTACTCGTAGTTATGATTGTGTTTATTTTTTCTATTGAAGTTCATCCAGCTTGTCGTGGTCTCGATTTCATCCTTAAACATCAAAGTTGTTAGAACTTCACTTATATTTTTATATTCCAGCTTAAATTACTTTTGTTCTGACTGAAGAAAAGTATTGGTTTCGTTAACTCCGAACGAACAAAAAGTTGAAATTTTCCTATGGATTTTTGTTCCAAACATTTTACGAGTCAAAACATACCTATTAAGTATATATCACTACTGTTAGAGCAAAAGGTCGTATGTAAAATTTTTCAACGCTTATTCTATTTGTGCTAAAGGTGACATTTTGTAGTCTGCTACAAAGGAAATAAACAGTCAACTACAAAGGAAAATAGCAGAGCGCAATAAAATATGAAATTATACTAATAAATTATAAAGAAACAATTAGTTTTTGCTTGTTTTTTAGTTTAGTCTCTGCTGATCACGAATCATCAAATATGCAATCTGCAAATGCGGAACTCTTTCACATTTTAGTATTCCCTGATGAACGAAACTCATGGTTATCAAACCCATATATGCTGAGAGATTACTGAATTTCTGAAAACGGATTCCCCTAGAGATTTTATTCTCATAGGAAAAATTTTAGATCTTATAATATATATATTTTTAAGCCAGTGAAAACAATGAGAAAGCTATACTGACCATACTTGGCAGACTTTTCTACATTTTAATGTTCAAATCAGACTATTTACTACTAGAGTATAAAATATCATTAACCTGGATATCTAAAATATTTTGAAACAAGATTATGTCATTTTAAATTAAATGAATACTGTTAGGAAGTGAATAATGTTTTTTAACCTCTTTAGGAAATGTATTTAGTTTTTGATTAATCATAAAATGTGAAACAAAAGCGTAAAAATCTGAACAAAACAGATTCAAACCAGAAAAAAACTTTTTTTGCTATAAAAGGTCATTTATACAAAAAAATCAAACATACAAAATATACTACTATTTTACACGGTGGGCCAGACCCCCTTACCGTGCACCCCCTCCCCCCCCCACATCCCTATAAATTGCATATCGTTGTGTTTCTTGTGACAATTTATTAAAAAAAAGCCAATGTTCCCACAAAAAAAAGTGAACGAACTGCCCCAAAACGGCATCCAAACATGGCGGATTGACGACTTTGACTTTAGTTAGTTTTTTTGTTACTGAGAATCAGCATTTGGCTTAATTTCATCATAGTTGGTCTTTTATTAAAGCTAGATAGTCAGAGAATAATAAAACATGAAAAAATATTAAAAACTAATTGGCTTAGGCATTAAAAAAAATCGGTAAAGTCAATTTTTTTTACAAAAAAATTTTCAAGTTGAAAATCAGGCGTCGTTTGTAATTAAACGGTCAACAATAATGCAAAACGTGCTGAAATAAAACATCTGGAAAATACATTTCTCTTTCTAAAATACTGATTACTTTTTAAAATATTTGAAGTAGTTCCGTAGAAAATGTACTTAAGCGGCAGACAAGCGCTACTGGCGTAGGTGCCTTCAGGCCTCTACCACACCACTCAGTACTCATAAATGGCTTCGTTATAGTGCTATAATAACGTTTTTGTTATATTATATTGATTGTATTAACGAATAAATATTAATACAATAATTTAATTGTCAAAAAAAATATTTTTTTTAATTTATTATTTATTTTTTATTATATTTATTTTTTTAATTTAGCTTCCTTTATTCTATACGGAGGTCGCTTAAGAAGGCCTCTATTATAAAAGTTATATAATTATAATAAGAAAACTTAATTCAAAAATACTTTGCAGAATATCTTGAATTTTTTATTTAATATTTGCAATTTAACATTTTGTTTTATATATTTACTGATTCTTAGAGGAAATTTAAATTGTATATACTTCCCCGAAAATGAGTCATACTAATATCTGTTTTATAACTAAAATAATATATACCTAATCTGAACTACTTTTAATGAATAGGTGATGGATTGTTTAGTAAAATTCATATATCGCTATTAAAAAAATCATTTTAATTTCCTTAATTTTTTCGGAAGTTGGACCATATCACAAAAAATACGAACTTTTAATATTAAATGCATTATTCCCTCTGCACAAAAGAAATTTGGAAAGGGCAAAGCTATAAGTTCATATAGCTTGTCTGTCGCTTAAGGACATTTTCTACGGAACTACTTCAAATATTTTAAAAAGTAATCAGTGTTTTAGAAAGAGAAATGTATTCTCCAGATGTTTTATTTCAGCTCGTTTTGCATTATTGTTGACCGTTTAATTACAAACGACGCCTGATTTTCAACTTGAAAATGTTTTTGTAAAAAAAATTGACTTTACCGATTTTTTTTAATGCCTAAGCCAATTAGTTTTTAATATTTTTTCATGTTTTATTATTCTCTGACTATCTAGCTTTAATAAAAGACCAACTATGATGAAATTAAGCCAAATGCTGATTCTCAGTAACAAAAAAACTAACTAAAGTCAAAGTCGTCAATCCGCCATGTTTGGACGCCGTTTTGGGGCAGTTCGTTCACTTTTTTTTGTGGGAACATTGGCTTTTTTTTTAATAAATTGTCACAAGGAACAGAACGATATGCAATTTATAGGGATGTGGGGGGGGAGGGGGGTGCACGGTAAGGGGGTCTGGCCCACAGACTATTTCTGCTTAGGCTTTTTTTTCTTTTTTAAATTCTAAAAAAAAAACTATAAAGTTTTATTACATAAATATCTTTTCTTTTTTTTTCTAAAACTACTAAACTAAACTTAAGGAATACCAAAGATTTGGAAAGTAGAAGAAAAAGTATAAAAACTTAAATGATACTTATTATTATTTTAAGCAAAATAAGAATAACTTTAAGTAATCAAATATGAATCCAATAGACAAAATTTTGATAGTTTTTTGATTGATTGATAGATGATAGTAATGTTTTTGTTTTTTTAATTTAGCAAATCATATTTAATTGATGTAACTGTCATTTATAGATATTTGTTCTGGACTGATTGGTCCCGTGAAAAGCCGTTAGTAGGTAGGTCCAATCTTGACGGCTCTCAAGTAAAACAACTCTTCACAGCACCTCAGGTCTTCTGGCCAAATGGAATCACAGTAGACCACATTGCGGAACAAATCTATTGGGTAGATGCCAAGTTGGATTATATTGCTGCTGCTGATCTACACGGACGTAATTTTAGAAAAATAGTTGAGAAAGTGGTAATTAATATATTAATCAATTTCTCATTTATTAATTAATTTTTTAAAATATCATATACTAATAGCACTATTAAGCTAATGGGCCTTTAATCATTTAAGGAAAATTTACTTTTTTTTAGTTTATCTTCCATTATGAAACCCATACTAGCTTAGTGTTACAATCCCTGCCTGTATTGGGAAATGGTTGTAACATTAGCTTGGTTCGTTTAAAGGCTCTTTCCAGATAAGGACGGCAGAAGTGCCCTCCTGTGTTCCATAATTAGCATAAATACCTTGAAATGCTGACCTTTTTTCACCTTCTTTTTTTTTTATTGGTTTTTAATAAGTCCTGTAGGTCAGAAAATTTTTCAATGTTACATTAAGTTATGAATTCCATAAACTATCAACAGGAGTTTTCAGTTCATGCTCCAATATCCGGAAAACTGCACTCACTCTTTTCCAGAAAAAAAAAAAATTGTATGAAAATTTGGAGAATAACTATTTAAAGCTCTTCAGGGCGTTGAGCAGGACTAACCAAAGTTAAAGAGTATATTTACCTATGCCATATTGACACCATCTTTTTATTTTTTTAATGACTTGCAGTGTTTAAAAAAGTATAATGTTTCCTACCTTACTTGAAAAAAGCCTTTATAGCTTTGGATACAAATTTATTTTCCATGTGGACATGGATGGATTCGGAAAAGTCTTTTTTCGTGGTTAGGGACCCTGGCAAGAATGGAGGTTTTTTCAAAATGAAATGAATGGTTGAGAGTCAAGGCATGTTCTAATAGTTAAGAGACGGAAAGGTTCTGGGACGTTATGGATGTTTTATGTTGGAAATTGCGGGTTTTGAGATGGTTTTTAGTTTCATCAATATAGGAGCTATTGCAATTAAGTCTAGAGCAAGGTATCCGATAAACTATATCAGATCGATGTTGTAAAAGTATAGGATCTTTCAAGTTATTGAAAAGAAATGAGAGTTTGTTATGGGACTTAAAGCCGAGACATAAGTTAATAATAGTCAATTTTTATATATTATCTAATAGAACAGAAATATAGGAGAGAGATTGGTTTATGAAAAGGGTGGTAGGTGGTTGTGGAGAGTTGAAAGAAGGGGAGGTTGTACTGTTTTTGGTTGTGTGATTTTTTAACAGTTTAAGTATAGTGTTAAAAGCAAAATTATTGGAAAGTAATATATTATGACATGCAGAATGTTGGTTTGGTCGTATTGTGGATCTGATAAAGAGAGAGATCGGTGAATTAGATTTTGGTGGTAAGGGTGTTGAGAGTAAAAGTTGAATACAACAGAACAACAGAGAGTGGCAGGTCTGCAAATAGTGAGTATAGACTAGTACAGCAAAATAGAAGATTAAGAGAAATCATTTGTAGAAGTTGAAAACACCAATACCTTCAGCAACAATACAGAGGAAAATTCTCTGCAGATCAGGGTGAGTTACAAAGCGTGCCAAGAGTAGACCCCATCAAAACCGAATGGAAATCCATAAATGTATATAAATTTAATGTATACTTTTATATTATATTATTGTGGAATGTGTGCTTAATTATCTTAACCCAAATTATGAGAAATAATTTGTAGTCTTTAAAATAATTATTGGGTGAAATAAAAATAATTTGGTTCAGAAACTGTTTGTTTACTTTTCAACAGAAACATAACCTAACAATATATATATATATATATATATATACATTATCAATAATAGATTTACAATATGAAAATCAACAACTTTTTATAAATTAACCTGGAGGTTACTGCCTGGTTTGCCAATGCATTTTGTATTAACATGAAACTACTCCGCTACATCACCTCCCCTCCTACTACTAGTGATTATTTCAAGAACTTGTCGATTTGCCTCAGCGGTGTCAATGAGTTCATTATCCTTGGAGTATACTCCAAGTTCATTAGACTCAGTATACTTGGAGTCCTCAGCTGGCTGAAACTTGAGTCTTAATCCTGTAGCGAGAATACTGGCTTCAATCTGTCGATAGTCACAGTCTATCATTTGGAAATTGGAGGATAAATGTCTTCTTGTCCCTCTTTAGAACCTTATAGGAACCAGTATATGTTGGAGCGAGTGGCCGCTGGAACATTCATCCCACAAAAAAACATGGGAGTGCGATAACCTTTCCGGTTGGATGAATGTCCGATGGGTGGCCGGCCTGAGACTCTTTAATTGTTCCATAAGGTTTCAAACAAACTCAGTATTTTGTCGCAGTGTAGTCTTCTCTAACAGTTCACCTGGCAGCCGCAGAGGTTGTCCAAAGGCGTTGATGACCTTGAAGTTTTATGCCTTCAAGAACAAACAAGAACCAATTATTTTCTGTAATATACAAATGACAAATTCTGTCATGCAGACGAATATATGTTAATATTTTTTTTAGGGTTGGGAATAGTTAAATAATGTCTTCTGTCAAAAATATTGGTCAGAATTTGCTCAACTTTCTTGCTTTTAGTCCTTATTCTTTTTTTTTAAAATAAGATGAGAGTCTGAAATGAATTAATTTAGCTTTAAGATTTATTTATGTATTATTTAGATTTATTAAATTTTTATTTTTTTAAATGTTTATATGATGTTCAGTAACCTATAATCATGACCCTACTTTGTCACTGTCTAAAATCAATATATTTTTTAATGATGTAGAGTTGGTTGACCGTTGATATGATATGAGAAGGAATTAGTCGAGGGTGCGGTCAAAAAAATAAATAAAAAAAAAAATTAAAATATATATAAATAATTTTAATTTTTGCCAACTGATAAATTAAAAATAAAACTGCCAACTGATAAATAATTAAAATTATTTATATATTTTAATTTTTTTTTTATTTTTTTTTTTGACCGCACCCTCGACTAATTCCTTCTCATTTCAATATATTTTTTAATTGTTTTGTAGTGTTAGCTGTTATTTATTCTTGATTTCTTTTTTCCATAGAAGCAATTGACCCATCCATTTTCCGTGGCAGTTTTCAAGGATTTAATGTACTGGGATGATTGGGAACAGAAAAGAATATTTGTAGCTGATAAAGATCACGGGGTAGGAATTCAAATTGTTTCAGATGAACTTGAAGGCCTCATGGATCTTAAGGTGGGTGAATTTGAGAATTTTATATTAATTTTGTTTCTTTTTAATTTAATTTTAACTATCTATTATGGTTGTTAAAAATATATTTTGTTACCGTTATAATGCTATACCTTTTAGTTTTGATAATAATTTTAATTAACTATATTTATTTTTTGTTATTAAACCAATTTTGTTTCAGATTTATGCTCACAGTATCCAAGAAGGAACCAATGAATGCACAAACAGCCCTTCTGTTTGTTCACATCTTTGTTTTGCACAACCTGAAAACAAGCCTCATGTGTGCGCTTGTCCTGACAACATGACAATTATTGCCGGAGAATGCAGGTGTCTTGATGGTTCTAGACCTTTTGCTAATCACACTTGTCCTAAAAGTAGTAAGTCTATACTCAGTTTAAATTAGAATTCTCTTAAATTCCTTTAGCTAATAATGTTGATGCTCATTAAAAAAACATTATGAACAAATATTTTCCTGTTTAAATTTTTCATAAGAAAAATCTATTAAAGTTGTGGTCACGTATTAAAAATTAAAATTAGTTACTATGATATTAAATTTGACTAAGAGTTGTGGTCTGGATCCTCCATAACCCTGCACTGTTGCCTTGTTACTTTCGAAACATGCCCATCAGCCTGAAAATCGATTCCAGATTAGTTTATGATGTTTTGTATTCAATTTGCACTAGCTTAGCAACAAATATAAAAAATGTAAAATTAAAATCCACTTTTTTTTGCCCAATGTATATTTTTGCAAATACCAAGGAAACAGCTATTTCTATTATGATTATCATCATAAACTATTTTATATTCTATCATCTACAATTTGAGTCCTGATAGAGCTCTTTACCTTCAATAGTTAAGAGAAATGGTGTTACAAAAACTATATATTTTTTTTAAACTCAAATAATCACCATTTTGAGATTCCATTTTAGTAAAAATCATGGAAATTACTATTCCTATGAGCAGTTCATAACAATTATTCTCATAATAATAGTTCCCTTGATATTTGCTAAAGTTAAATCCTTAAGTGTTAATTTGTCGTTTAAAAAAAAAAAAAAAACATATTTTTTTTAAATTCCATTTTTCTGGAACTGTTAAACATAAAAAGCTCTATCAGGGTTCAAATTGAAGTTTATGCAGTACAAAATACTCTCTACATGACTAAAAGTACCACGCTTTGGTAGTCGACATTGCGCTCATTCAGCCAGTAATAATAAAAAATAAATGAAGTGCAAACAGATTTTCCAATGAATTAAAAACTATTTTAAAATATATATTCCATACGTGCTCATGAAATCATCAAGTCGACCTTTACAGACATTAAAATCTGCTATCGCTCTTAAGCAAAATATTAAAGAAAACTTTAATATAATTTTCTTTTGAAAATACAAAATACATTGAAATGTATTTGTATTTTATTTCTAAAATACAAAATTGTATTTACAAAATACAAAATTTGTATTTTAATTTTAAATACATATTTTATTTTATATTTAAATACATAATATGTATTTTATTTTGTATTTTAAATACATAAATTATGTACATAAAACAGAATGAAATTTGAGGAACAGGTATTATGCAAAAGCTAATTGCCAAAAAGTTTGGTTTGAAATTAATATCTGCATATTCTATTTTTTTTTTTTTTTTTTTTTGTTGATTAATTATAAATTTTTTAACAAATTGTTCTTTGTATAAAATATAAAATGTATATTTTATAATATTATATACATAATAAAATTTTGATTCTATAAAATATTTTTTCCTCAATTGATTATTTTAAAACTACATCTACTGTGCCCTCCTTTTATAACTGCTATCCTTACAAAAAAATAAATAATAAAATAAATGAATGAAATAAAAAATTATGATTTATAAAGCAAATTATAAATTTTTTATAGGAATCAGTAGTAAAGTGCAACTAGGTATATATAATCATTATTTATTACTTTTTTTATATTTGTTTGTATATTTAATTATTTATAGGTAGTAATTGTACGGCTGATCAGTTCACCTGTGCCAACAATTACAGCTGTGTTCCTCTATCTTGGAAATGCAATGGAATAAATGAATGTGGGGACAATTCTGATGAGGTAATAGTATTTTAAGATTTAGTATTAATTTTTAAGAAATTAACGTGGCTATACTTTTGAAGATTTCATCATAAAATTAACTGTACCTTGTCGTTCTCTGAAATTGAAGAAATTATGTCCCAGTAAAAATTTGGTAACAGTATTGATTTTTTCCTAAGGTTTTTGATCCCAAATATTAATAGGCACTGTTGCTATTAATCGAAACTCACATATCTTAACTACAAAATATTTTTTAATAACCCAAAAAAATGAACTGAATGCTTTAATTTTCTATCCCTCCCCTAGGTTTAATGTTTATGTTCACATATTTCTAGATTAGCCTTTATTATAATTTAATTCTGTGATTACCTTTTAATCAAAAGGTCTACACCTTTATAATTAATTATTTAATCTTGTTCACAATAAGACGTTAGCTTTAATTAATTTGTCCCCAACAGTAAATCTCTCTCACTTACTTTTATTTAACATCTCTGTCCAGGTGAAATAATTGTTAGTTTTCAAGTTTCAAAGGTTGACAATGCTCTACAACTTCTCTCCCAAGATAGCATTACTGTTCTTAATGTATTTCTCTACGCTGTTGTTTACAGAAAGTACTGTTATGTTATTTGACTAAATGTCAACCATGAAAACAAATCGAAATCTATAGAGAAATGAAATTGCAACTTTGTTTTTGCACTTGTATTTATCAATCCACACCTGTTAATTTACAGTTATCAATAATCTTTTTTTCTTTTTTTTTTATGTTCTCGCCTTCTCAGCTGTACAGGTTTTTGCTGGACCTGGAGAGAGGGTTGAAGATTAATGCCAGAATTAAAACTCTTCTCTCCCCCTTCCCGCCACTTCAGTTTATCAGGTTCCTGGGCAACCTGTGGGCATTAGCCCACTCGGCCACCCCTAGTTATCAATAATCATCATGTGAGCTGGCATAATAGTATGAAATAAGTAAAAAAAGTAATAATAACATATAAGAGCCTTTGTAAGCTTGGAAAAGCAGTACTAAGCACTTCCACAATCTGTGGTTTCAATTTAATTTTGTAAATAAATCCCTCCTCTGTATCTTTTTCAATCGTCTTCTGTTATTCTTGAACTTATAAAATTTATTTTCAGTCACATTTCTTTTATTAATTTATCTTTTATTGTGATCTGAATAAATTTCAAGAGTTTATTTTGTCTTTTTAAAAATAAAATGTATTATAAATATTAAATTATGTTTCCTAATAGAATTTTTATTTATGTTTGGATAGGCTGACTGTTTAATTAATTGTAGCCAGAAGCATATGCAGTGTAAAAGTGGACGATGTATTCCTCTTTATTGGGTATGTGATTCTGAACTGGACTGTCCTGATGGCGAGGATGAATGGAATTGCAGTAATAATTGTTTTACTTATATTAAATTAAAGATAAATCTGTAAAAAAAAATCTCACCAAGAGACAGAAATTCAATACACGTTACAATTGGGAAAATTCCAACCACACAGTTTTATGTCTCCAAAATACAAATGCGATTGGATGTTGTAGAGTAATGTGATCTTCGATTTGCTTTTCTTTTCTGTCCTGATGATGCCTGAATTGGTGCAATGTTGACAGATTTTTTATTCTTTACGTGCATTTTGGAGATATAAGGCTGTGTGGTTAGACTTTTTCCAATTATAACCATATTAAATATATATATATTAAAAAAAAAAAAAAAAATATATATATATATATATATATATATATATATATATATATATATATATTGTGGAAATTGCTGTTGTATTATTAAAATCAAGCAATTTGAATTATATTTTGATTTTTGTGCTATCATATTATTATTATTATTTGGGATTTCAAACCTCTCTGATGATGCATGAAGTAGACTTTATTTATATTTTATTATAAATCATGAAGGTTTTATTTTAGTATATTAAATAAAATAATTACAGTAAGGCATTAATCTATAACAAAATAAATTATTTTTTTTTATTATTGGATATTTTAATGTATTATACAAAGGTAGCAGAATAGATTGAGAATAAGAAGTTACATAGAGTTAATGGAATTATAAGGTGAGCCAGATATCCTTAGTGTTATCAAGAAGGACAGACTCAGATGGCTGGGTCATGTTGAAAGAATGGATCTTTCATTGGAAGATACTTCCAAAAATGATACTGAATGGTACTCCAAGAGGAAGAAGACTAAGAAATAGATCCAGGCACCGATGGCTGGATGATCTGCAGGAAGACTTGAGGAGGCTGGGGATCAGAAATTAGAGGAATCTTGCTGTGGACCGTGAGGAGTGGTGGCAGAGGCCCAGGTCCTACACAAACTGTAGCACCCATTGAAGAAGAAGATATAAAGGAAGGCATAGGAATGCTGACACTAGCCTGTTTACATTAATCAGGAACCATGATGTCGTTTTCCACCATGTTAGTAGCCATCCAGAGGTTTGGTCTAATCTATTGAGGGAAAGAAATATAGGACCTCTGACATCTACTGATTCTAAACAACCAAAATCCATAGATCTAGACCAATTTTTATCACTGTCCTTGAATCCAAACGAGTCTGTTGAATGGGTGCAGCCGGATTGGCCTGTCCTCAAATGGATCGGCTGTAGAGTTATGAATGGCCTACTGCTGCACCATGGTATGATTCTTTGCAAGGTGAGATTTGAAGGCTTTCTGTGTTCCTGCATACAAGACACAACACATGACTTTTACTTACCTTCCTTTTCTTAGCCAAAATAAGCATTTTCAGAAAAAAGGGAAGTGAAAGTAAAAATTATAAACACTATATTTATTTACATTTCATTGTTGATATTTCTATTTGTTTAATTACGCGTATATATATATATATATATATATATATATATATATATATTATATATATATATATATATATATATATATATATATATATATATATATATATATATGTACATAATATTGTCGGAGTCCGTATTATATTAAGCTCATGTTACGTATGAAAGCATGTTCTAATCTTTCGGGTAATATTCCTTTGGTTCCTCCATTACTCTATAATAGTTTATAATAGATAATATTTTATTATCTGTCACAGTCTCTTATTTCTCCTTTAGTTAATTATCAAATTCTTTCATGTATTATATTTAATTATTTTTTATATCAAAGATTGATGTGGAATGGTTAAATATTTCAAATAAAAAAAATTAAAGGTACTTAAGAGGAAGCCAATATTAAAAATTAGCCATTTAAGCACTGTTAGAGAATATCAATGAGAATAAAACCTACATTATATTAAAAACTGCTTAATAATATACTGAGTTCAATCAAAATCATTAGAGACATTTTTAAGAAAATCATATAAATGTGTTAAATCGATGATATAAAGTACCACTTCCCGTTTGTCGATTTTGACGAAAATGTTGCAGTAACATCTAAGGCTATTAAAAATGTTTAATACACAATTCATACGACTTTTCGTTTTTGAGCTATGCTGTTCTCATACATACACACCCAACAATCTTTATTTAGAGATAAATAATTCCAGTGGTTTAATTAGAAGAGAGAAAATGTTATAATCTATTATAAATACTCAGGAGATGTTGTGATCTCGTCCTCGTCGTGACCTGGATAACCAACCAAATGATCACATATTCGTTAAATGTCCAGTAATATCAAATGTGACTCATGGCGCTGCTAGCACAAAGTCATTCCAATGCAAACAAGCTTTCTGAAGGCCCTAACAACTTAATGTTAAAAGCTCTTTTTTGGAATGCAGGTGCTCTCACCAGTGAAAAGTACACTGAGTTGAAGCATTTTGTATCTTCAAATTCTTGGCTGTTGGAGCAGGCACTGCTGCTAAGAGTCTGGAATACTTCAGATTTCCAAATTTACACACTGCCAAGAGCTAGGCAGATAGCATCGGGGATACTACTGGCTGCGAGGTCTTCCTTCACGCTTAAGTTCCAATTTAAAAAGGAAATGGATACAAATGATAAATTGGAAGGTGTGAAAATAAATCTATGGTCAAGCAACATCCACCACTAGGTATTTATAATCTATAATCATCCTAATAACAACCCGAATTCGGGTTGGCTGGGCGACTATTTGACTGAAAAATCCTTTGTGTATGAAGACTTCAATACACACTCCAGGCGCAAGGGTTACACTAACTCAGATTGATTGGGAAAAACTATGGAGAAATTCATAGACACAAATATGATTGAATTTGTGAAAAACAAAATTCGAAGCCCACTTTTATGGATTATAAAGGTAACACCTCCCATCATGACCTATTATTGGTGCACCCACGAATTGCTCCGCTGATCTCCCACACAGTAGTTGCTCCACCTGGAGCATTTGGTTACAAAATGCTGCTTGCCTACCTTGGTGGACACTCAAAATCAAGTAGTAGTTTGGTACCTCAGATGCTTAGATGGAATTTGAAAAAGGTCAGTTGGAATAAATATTCCCAACTTACCCACACAGCCATCATTCCTGAAACCATTACGAAGAGTGTGGATACAATCTGCCCGGGACTTCAAGCAGACATTCTTGAATGTACAAAACAGTCTATTTCTCAGAGATTTATGAAGAGATACACTCCATTCTGGAGTGATAATCTACAGTAACTAAAAGAAAGTAGGGATGCAGCTAGAAAAGTTGTTGAAAGGTAAACAAAAAAGAGAAAGATATTATTAGTTTAAGAAAACTTACAGCAACCAAAAGTTCAGTATAATTCAAGCCAAACGATAAGCTTTCAGAGAGTATATGGCTAATCTGGACTTTCAAAGAGATGGGGTGAAAGCCCATAGATTCATTTTAAAGGTAAATGGCTGAAAAGACCCAAGGAACAACTCTCTTAAGTTTAATAACAAGGAGATGTTTTCTGGATTTGCTATTTACTATTATTGTTCTATTGTTGCTTTATTGTTACAAGGAGCTTTTGTAAATTCTTTGCTAGGGCCTCTAGATATAAACCAGCAGAAGGAAATAAGAAAATAAATACCACACCACCAATCTTATGTCTGAATTCATCTGAAAGCCAACTCTTTGAGGACGACTTCATTAAGGAAGAGCTCGAGCTTGCTCTGGCACAAATAATGAATGGGAAAAGCGGTGGCCCTGATGATACATTACCATAGTTCCTTATTCTCCTAGATGCAAAAGCCAAGCTCTCTTTGATAGATTTTCAATACTGTGTGGAGAATGTGATATCCTAGTGCATGGAGGAAGGCAAGAGTGGTCACAATCCTCAAGAAAGGAAAGTGTTCCTCTTACCCATCTAGCTACCGATCTATCTCACTCACAAGTTTATTTTCTAAGCTCTATGAGAGAATGGTCTGAGTCCAGTTGCAAATATATTTGGATAGGGAAAATAAGATGTTAAAGCAAGCAGGCAGGTTTCCGGAAGCATAGATGTACAACTGAGCAGGTAGCTCGTTTCAGTGAGGATGTAAAAGACGGATTCCAGCGCATCAACAGATTGATTTTAAAGTTGCTTCTGAATAAACTCCTGAAAATGAGTATAGGTGTAAAAATGTACCGAACCATATGTTCCTTCCTCAGGTTTCTCAGAGTAAGATACAATGGCTGGTGTTCAAGCTTCAGAACTTTTAGGCAAGGAGTACCTGAGAGATCTGTTTTAAGCCCTACACTCTGTAATATAATGAAAAATGACTTAGTGGCTGAGCTCGAGGGAATACCTGAAATATCTGCTCTACTGTTAGCTGATGATCTACTATTATATGGGAGAAGTAGAAACATGACAGCATTTGAAACAACAATTAATGAGGCAATGGCAAGACTTTTTGCCAGAGCCTTGTCTAATAAAATGGAAGTAAATACCCAGAAAACTGAGTTTCAACTGTCCACGCTATTGAGCAAAGAACACAAACTGGAAGTCATTTATAATAATCTTCCCTTACCAAGAACTTATGAATGCAAATACCTGAGAGTTAAGTTGGATAGGAACTAAAATGATAGGAAAAATGAATTGGAACAGGGAAATTGAAGAGATGGTGGATAAGGGGGAAACCAGACTTAAGCTCTTAAAACGCCTTGAAGGAAAGACATGGGGAGCCACTGATGATATGATGTACCTTGTATATAAAACTTATATACGTCCAGTCCTGGAGTATGGCTCTGAGGTGAACTGTACTGTGGCTGATGCATCCCTGAGAAGACTGAACAGCCAGCAGAACAAAGCCCTACGTTTAATTTTGGGTGCACCGCGCTCAACCCCAGTTATAGCTATGGAACTGCTGACCACAACAGAACCCTTTTCTAAATGGCATGAGCGAGTTGCAATGTGCCTTCATTAGCGAATGAGAAAAATCGACCCACAGTTTTACAGGATCTCAACTGAAAGGATGAAGACACAAGAATCCTTCATGTAAGAGGGCTTGACTGTGAAGAGGGAAAACCATTTATACAGGCATAGTTCCCCATCCCACCATCACACAGGATAAGTCCATAACTTGGAAAAGAAGATAACACCTGACTACGAGCTAAAAGCAGTAGCAATGGAAACTATAGCTTAAAAGTATCCTCCTCAGGATTGGCTTCATATATTTACCGATAAGTCGGCTTAATCAGCCGTTCAAGATGCTGGAGCAGGGGTTTATTCAAAGGAATTCCGGTTAAGTTCATATCATTCATATAGGTTTGCAAAATATTCCTACATTTTTATACTGTGGACAAGAAACTGTGATATGTACAGTAGCATGTAATTTGGAAACTTATTTTATTCTTAACTCAAAAGTTTCCCAGCTATATCTGAAACAGAATGGGTTGATTAACAGATCCGTCCTGCTAAAAGTGAATGTATTCATTTGAAATTTGCACAACTGTCCATCAAATTTTTCAGCAATAAACACCATACAAGGTGCTCTAATATATTTGATAATGCATTAATATTGAAAACTCAGTCATTGTCAATTTTATCCTTGTTGCTTAATTACAGCCAGACCATCAGAAAGATGAACAATCCTATTTATCTATGTGGAAATAGGGGTATTATAAAATAGGGTTTTAAATTTGTTTACTAATATTGGTAAAGTTACTGAATGTATTTTTTAATTATTGGAATTAATTAGTTAATTATTAATTTTTAGAATTAATTAGTTAATTAATTTAATATAAAACATTTTGTTTCATATTTAGCTAAAGAAGTTTGCACCAAAGATCAGTTCCAATGTAAGGATGGCCAGTGTATCTCTCAACGGTGGCATTGTGATGGGGAACATGATTGCAAAGACCGTTCTGATGAAGAAGGTTGTCCTGTTTCTCCAACTCTCAGAAATTGTACAGGTTAATCCTTTTTTATTCAATTATAGGATCACATAGTTTGCTAGTATGGTAGTATTTATGCAGTTATTAAAAAATAATTACAGAGGTTTTATATTCTTCAATACTTTGCAAGAATTAAGGACCCTGTAAACTGTACTAAGTGCCACAAACCAGATTCAACCTGTCAATAAATTAGAATTTGGATATAAAACCTGTACCACTTCAATCCATGAAGGGTCTTGGGTTCAGTACTATTTAAGGAAAGCACTATTTCATGGTCTACAGTTGTGCAAGAAGCTAATTTGACCGAGATCACTCTCAACTGCCATATTTTCCCCTTAATTAATTATTTTAATTAAGGGTACCCACTTTATAGAGGCTGAGTATGTTCCAGGAGGAGGGTCTACCAACCCAGGGTCTCCCCACGACCAATGAAACAGAATAAATAATTTTTCTGCCATGAGTCGGGATTCAAACCTGGGACCTTTAGCATTGGAAACTCAGTACCCCACCATTTTTTTACACAAAAAAATAAAGTGATCAGTATATTAAATTCTATACATCCATGCAGAACAAAGGCATAAAACTACAATATAAAAAATTGTTAAAATTACACCAAGTAATTTATTTTCTTGGCTCCTAGAGCGTATTGGTAAGAACCTTGGACGCGGGTCTAATACTTTTCAACCTAGTATCACCAAAATAGTTTTCATTGAAATTGATGATCCCATGTCTACAGCATCCCTTTGTATATAGAAAAGGCCCAGCAGACCTGGGCAAAATGTATTTTAAATATTATTTTAAAATACAGTGTATTTAGTTACAAAGTATTTAAATTGTTTTCAGAAAACATATTTAATTACAATTAAAAAAAAAAGATACAACCACAAAATTCTTTCTGGTGGACAATCGGCATATAATACAGGAAACCTACTCTATTTTCTCTGGAAATTTACTTTGTTTATTTAAAATAAAAAATAAAAGACATTTTTTTATTTTAGCAACTTGGAAATAAAATGCAAATACTTTTTGTAGTTTAAAAAGAAAATACAGGTTACAATCTATTTCATATTTTACTTCTTAAAATACAAAACACAAAACATGTATTTTAAAATACTTTTTTTGAAATATTGAGTGCTACCAGTGGGTAGTTTCTCAACAAGAGATTTCATGTTATTATATTCAGGACATTTACTAGATGTATTTTTTTTTTAATTGTAAATATGAATCAATTAAAAAAAAAATGGATATTTGAAATACTGCCAAAGTCTGGTATATAAGTATTTTTTTTTTATTATTGTTCAGTATAATAATTTTTTTAAAATTATATTTGTCTTCTATTGTATGTATGACCAAGAAGTAATATGAAACAGGCGATTTTTAAATTTATTTTTGTATTCTGCAATGTTAAACCTCAAATGTTGAAAGAAGTTTTATTTATTGTTTTACTTTATTTAAGAGATTTTTTATTAAATAAAACTAAAAATATTAGTAAATGGATATATCTTATGAACGTCTTAAAACTTCTCCTAAAACTCAGTGGGATCCATTACCAAGATTTGCTTGATTTTTAGGTTTCCTGATAATGATAAAGCATTTTTTTTTCTATTTCTATCAAAATACTATATTTTTCTCTTTCAGATAAAGAATTTCGGTGTCCTGATGTTGCTCAGACATGCATACCTAAATCATGGGTTTGTGACGGGGAGCCTGATTGTCCTTTAAATAAAGATGAAGAGAACTGTCCCAATAAAAAATGTGATGATGAATCTCAATTTCAGGTGATTATTTTTTAAATTGATGTATTAATAGCTTATAAAAAAAACTCTTGAATCAGGCAGAAGAATTTACATGATCCTTGTTTATTAGTTTTGAAGTAATTTTGGTTTATTATTTTTCCATAAGTGTAAAATAATTATAATGTATAAAGAATTCTTGAAGAAGTTCAGGAGAAAAGTTATGAACAAAAGAACTCTAAGGCATACAGTGGCTCACAGTTAAACTGATAAACCTGAAAATTTGGATCTATAAAAGAAATTTAGTTTTTATCACGATAATGACCCCAAAAACTCTGCTATGTTAGTTAAGAAATGGATGGCTTCTTTATAACTGCCTCAAAGTTATAAAAACTCCACCACAGTCACGAGATCTTAATGTGATATAACAGCTATGGGAAAATTGTAGGTAATAATTATAAAATACGAAATTTCTAGCAAAGAAGACTTAAAAACAAATCTCCTTGAAGAGTAGAACAGGCTAAGTCCTGAATTCACCAAAACAAAAATGGTAAATTCTGTTTCAAACAGACTAAAAGAAGTAATAAAAAATATTAATTTGCCTAAAAGGTATTGAACTAAATTAATAGTATTTAAAAGTTAATAAGAAGTGAGGTGTATTATTTTGCCTCTGAGGTAAAATTTTCCCTCTTTTTTATAATGTTTTTGAATAATCACAGCTGAATATTTTAATTTTATTGAGTTTGTACATATTTAAATTGAGATTATAAATAAATCTGTAGAAGAGCTTCTGGTTTTTTTCGTTTTCTTTAACCATTTAAGTCTTCCTTTTTTTTTCAATAGGACGTATAAATTTTTCTGTGAGTCACTGTACATTTTATGGTAAATTTTATAAATAATCTTTTGAAAGGCAATTAAATTCTCTACAAAACAAAAACAAAAAAAATCATCAAATTCATTTCTTCACATGTTATGTTACTTTCCTACCCCTAGATAAGGGAAGTATTGGAGGTTTTCAACAAATTTTTATATTTTAAAGTTCGTGCGGTCCAAAAATTTATTATTAGCTATAGCTTATAGTTTCTGTGTCACGATTATCTCACGAATGGGTTGACCACTTTTGTTGCTTTTATTTTGTATTTTGTAATCATAAAATGTTATCTAGGTGCATATACATACTTTACCTTTCACTTGATATTTTTGATACAGTTTATTATTAAACATTGTGTCTTACATTAATGTAAGATTGTAACTATATTGAATACATTATAAATGATGTGAATGGTGATTTCTAAGAATGGTATAATTTTTTTTAGTGTGCAATTACCAAGCGCTGTATCTATAAATCGTGGGTCTGTGATAATGAAACGGATTGTGGACAAGGTGATAAGAGTGATGAAGAACATTGTCCCATTCCAACACCAGCACCTACAACAGTTAAACCTCCTACAGGATTTGTAAGTTTTATATCAATGTTGTTTTTCAATTCTCATTACTTGCTTATTTAATAATTCCTTTGAAATATTTTTTATTGATTTATTACATTAATCTTATATCTTTAAGGCACTAATCAGAAACATCAAATCATGAATAATTATTTAAAACTAGACTCTCATTCACTTTAATGAAGTTCTTATTCTCATTTCTTTCAGGAAAAATGTAAAGATTTTATGTTCAAATGCACAAATGGCAAGTGTATTCCTGATTGGTGGGTTTGTGATGGAGTTTCAGACTGTGATGATAAAACAGATGAGGTGGATTGTGCTGCTGAAAATTCAACTTCCTCGTCTACAGCTCGTCCTGCAAGTCCTTTTCCTCATAACTGCAAGCCAAATGAATTTCAGTGTAAAAAAGGTAAATCTGAGCAGTTATTTTGTATGTTTATTTTTTCCATTTTTTGGTGAAACGTTATATAACCTATTCTTACTCAATTTCATTTTATTATCTTGTTAATAAAATATTACTTTGCCGCTACGAGAAATAGTTGTATGTATGGATTGAATGAATATTTGTTTTAATTGAGCTTAATTAAAGAAATTTTTATTTTTTTCAAAATTGAAATAAATGTTTTATAATTGCTGGAATAAATGAATAAATGAGTGGATTGCTGGAAGAAAGTGGCAGGATCCCTAGAGGGCAAGCCGTGGCATGCTTTAGAATGCTCACAGGACATGATTTCCTTCAGAAGCACCTCCACCGCATTGGTATAAAAGATAGCCCAACTTGCCCTCTGTTTTCCTTGGATGACAGGAGAACATCTTGATACATACCCTGCATTACAGGACATAAGATGTTCCTTTAGAGAAATGGACAGGCCTTATGCTAGGGGAGCAAAATTATATTGGGCTGCAAGAGCACGCATGGCTGATCAAGCAGTGATTACTTAGATGTAGGAAAATTTTTTTTTTTTAAATTTTGTATGAAAATAAAATAATTATCCATGGAAATAACTTTATACATTTAGAAACATATTAGGGAGATATAAATTGAGGTCTATGGATATTGAAAATTGGTGTATTAGTTTGGTGCCTTCCACATCCAAATGAAACTTGAGACTCTTCTGGCAAAAAATTAATTTATTTTCAGTACACTAATATGTACAAATATTGTATAATTGTAAGGAGCTTTAACACATACAAGAAAGAACCCTAACTATTTAATTAGTTTTTAATTATTAACTTATTTCTAGTAATAGTATCTGCCATTCTACTAGTTATTCATATAATACTAAACATTGAACTAAAAATCAAGTATAAACTAGTTAAATTGTTCATTACTATCTACTGTTGCAATTTTTTTTTTTTTTTTTTGTGCTTATTTTCTGAAATATTTTATTTGTGAAATTCATAGTATATATTGTGTTTGTGATTGCAGCCTATCATCTAATATTTATTGTTATAGGAGATTGCATTCCTAGTTCTTGGACATGTGATGGCCGTGTTGACTGTGAAGATGATAATTCTGACGAAGCTAATTGTGACAGTGCTCAAAGCTGTCCTAAAAATTACATCAAATGCCGTCTTGCCAATACCTGTTATCTAGCATCTAAAGCTTGTGATGGTCAATATGATTGCCCTGATCATTCAGATGAAAGGGATTGTGCAAACAAAGCATCATCAGACACTGGTAAGGAACTGTCTTAATTAATGAAAATATATTATGTTTTGAGCTTTTTATAATATTATTTCAATTATAGCTCAAAAACCTGGATGCCCAGTTGGACATTTTAAATGTGATGGAAGTTCATGCTTTCCATTGTTGAAGTTCTGTGATGGTCACAAAGATTGTTCAGATGAAACCGATGAAACTGATTGTAAACCATCAAGCCGAGTTTATCAGGTATTTTTCTGCCATATTTGAATTTAGTTTCTTGTTATTGATTATGTTTATATTATTTATTTTAATTCGATAGATGGTATATATATTTCAATGATAAATTTTCTCTCACTGTTACTAATGTTTGTATTATTGAAAAATGGAGCATTTGTAAAATGATTATGTTCCAAATTCGTAACTTAGGCCATTTTTTTTTCCATAACTTAGACACAAAAATGTTCTGAAAGGCAGACAAAATAGGTCTAATTGCAGTCATTATCGGCTGAAGATTTGGCTGTAATTGGGGTAAAAATAGTCTTCCTACCTTTAGTTTTTCAGGAAAAATTATGATTAATAGTTTATTGAAAATAAATTATGTGACGATTGTGGTAATAAATAACATTTAACATTAACTTTTATAGGTATAAGAAATCTGAAAATATCGTGAAAACAATTATTTATATTGCATCGATTGTGGTAATAACTCATTCCTTTATCTGTCAGCTTAAGATTTTCACTTAATGCTAAATTATACATTCAAATAATTATTGTATATAATTTAAAACTATGAAATTGAAAATCAATGAGCATATTTTTCATAAAGTTATGAGAAAAAATTGACAAATTTTGAAATTAGAATTTAACTATTTTACAATCGCTCCATAATGCAAAAACCAGTAACATTGAGAGAAAATTAACCATTAAAATATGTACACCATTTGTATATAAATGGTTGCAAAATTTAATAGATATGTAGAAAAATATATTTTTAATTTATCCTGTAAGTTTTGTTGAACACTTTTGTGAAAAAATGATTGTGGTTTGATGAAAATTAATTAAGTTATGGAATTTCTATACAAAAACTTGACTTATAACACATTTTGAAAAATTACTTACAGCACATTATCTCAAAGTATCTAAGACATCAAAATAAAGTTTTACGTGGTTAACAAAGATAGCAAATGGAATAAATATATATTTTTTTTAAATGATAAAAATCTGTGATCTTGGTTTTTTTTTCTAATTTTTGGTTGAATGGCTTGAAGTGAAAAGACCCTAAGCTAAAGCAAATTTGCCTTGAATTCTCTATATATTTTTCTTGAAAATTATATTTTTGTAGTCCTACCAACACTTTTTTTCCCTTCCCTTTCAGCTGTACATGGTTTTTACCAAACCAGAGAGAGAGGAGAATTAATGCCAGAGTTAAAAGTCCCCTGAGTATCAGGCACCGAAATGCAAACTCATAATTATTTTATCATGTTATCTTCAGTTTATCAGGTTGCCGAACAAAGCATGTTTTACACATGCATCAGCTTGCTTGGCTACCCTGCCCTCAAACCATCAATACACTTGTGTCCTATTCTTCCTTTGGTTGCTCTACAATAATGTTATTTATTGGTATTATTTTTTCACTTAGTAGATCATTTTCTTTATTCCTTATCTCAATAGAAGAAATTTCAGATTAGGAGGAACTTTATTACTACATATGGTCTTTTCCCATTCAGGTATGGTCCAGTTTCATGTGTTTTATTTTATTTCCAAGAGGCAATAGGACTCAAGAACGATTCTTCATTTATCATTTTTACTAATTTAGTGTAGCAGTAATTAAAATATAAAGAACCCAGAAGTTTGATGCCACCACTACCAACATTCGTTGCCTACAAATGTCCCTCTATTGAACCTCTCGCCATCTCAGTAGGCTCGGCAAACATTTGTTATGGCGGTGATTACTTTTTAGTGTTATTTTAATGTAATGTTTATTATTCTTATATCTCTGGTGGTTGTATTTATTCATTCCTTCATTTCTTAAAATTTATTGAAACTTATTTTTTGAAAAAGTAATTTCTAAATATTTTTTTTAGGTTACAAAGTTTAGCGCAATAGAAAAGCATACAACCTCAACTACTCTTCCAATTAGATGGTATATCCTTTCCCCATCTGATCTAAAATTTGAATTTCTTCCTACAATTGCTGTTGTAACTCTACATGGGCAACATCAGGAATGGTCCAATGGAACATGGACACCAAACTTTGAATACATGTTTGAAAATCTATCTCCATATACAGAATATAATTTAACTGTGTATGTGAGAATAATTGGTCAAGAAAAAGTATTCCCACCAGCATTTTACTTCACAGCAATCACTAAGGAAGATTGTAAGTTTTTTTTATTCTTTTCAATAATTTTGTCAATATTAATTGTATTGATTAGTTACTTAAAAACCTTATACTCATCTGAGATTTGAGTTACATTATTGACATGGACCTGAGCCTTGAAAGTTATTTAAAATTAATATATTTTTTATCATAATTCTAGTCCTGACACATAAAACTCACCTCATAAAACATACATCTGCTAATAATTTAAAGAAATTAGTTTCAACTATAGTAATAATGGTCTAATTTTGATAAATTTCTTTTTGTTTTTTAGAGAATTAAGAAAATTTAAAATTATCAAGTAAATGGCCAACCATAAATTATATACTTTATAAGCTTTGTTTAGTTTCTTTCATGATTTTTTACTGAGAGATGTGCTTATTTCTCGGATATCTGGTGGATTTAGTTATCTTTATAATAATGGTTCAATCATAGGATTTGATGAAGTGTTAGTGAAGACATGCTAAAAAACATTGTTGAGAAATAATTTGTAACGATGACTTATAGATTATTGCATCAGACAAAGTAGATTTAATTTTCCATACTTAAATGAAAAAATAATTTTTTTCTGAAACTTTTACGAAAATCCCAGAATAAAATTATTCTGTAATAATAATTGAAGTTTATGCTTTCATTATTACTTTTACTTACCTATATATGAAATATATAGTAAGGGAATGTATTGCGATCATGAAAAAATTCCATTTTAGTAAACTTTGCAATGGAAAAAAACAGTTGTAATTATACTATTAAGTTGTACAATCCTTAATCAACCATCGATATAACTAATAGAATTTTTTGTTATTTTAATGATTTTTTAACTGTAACTTTTAAGCTTTAGCTCGGTTAAAAATGCACTTAAAAAATTTTGTAATAGCCCAACATTGCCAGAAAATAATTTATATTCAAGTAGAGTGGTAAGTAAAGGTTGTGTGTTGGGTGCACCATATTTTTACTTTCACTGACCTATTTATGTAATGTAGAGTAAGGGAAAGTATTGTGATTGTGAAAATTTTAGATTCTGAGTTTTCAATGGAAATACACGTTTTGAGGTCCCCTGAGTCTAAATAACCTTCTTCTTCTTCTTCTCTCACTATCTCCTGTGTGTTGCTAAGCTTGGGGTAGCTGCCTCTGACCAGCTTGTCCAACGGTTCCTGTCCTGTGCAAGCCTTCTTATCTCCTCTCGCTGTGCCAATTTTCTCAATCAAGTCTGCATACATAAGCCTTGGCCTGCCTTGAGGTCGCCTTCCTCCCGGTCTTACTTCTAGAAGCCACCTGGCCTTACGGTCATCTCCCATTCTGTTAACATGCCCGTACCACTTCAACTGCCTTTCTTCAATTTTCTCTAGAACGGATCTAACTCCTAGCTCATCTCGCACCCTTTCATTCCTTATTCGATCTCGCCTGGTTTTTCCTAATATTTACCGTAGGAATCTCATTTCTGCAGATACAACCTGCATGGCGGTCCAAGAGTGTCCAGCTCTCCGATCCGTATAGTAGCGCTGGGAGAAAAACTGATTTGAATAGCAGAATCTTCGCTTTTCTGCTCAACTCCTGCTTTCCAATGAGTGTCATGGATATTTGGTAGTATATTCCATTGGCCTTTTGAACTCTATTCATGACCTCCTGGTCTATTCTTCCATCCCTGCCAATCATTGTTTCCAGGTAGCAGTAGGTATCAGTTTGCTCAAGGGTCTCTCCATTGCAAATGATTCTAAGATCCTCGTTCCTTCGTCCAACACACATGACCTTTCTTTTGGAGGGATTGATCTGCATGCTTCTGAGTTGCAGTATCCACAACCAATACCACATTATATATATATATATATATATATATATATATATATATATATATATATAAATATATCAGAGACTGGAGTTATGTGGTTTACTAAAACAGATGGAGTAACAAGGATTTATTATCTACTGTTGATATAATTATTAGGGTTTTTGTTATTTTAATGGTCTTAATGATCTGTTAGTTGTAAGCTTTAAGCTATAGCTCTGTTAAAAGTGTACTTTAAAAATTTTAAAATTGCTCAACATTGCCAGAAAATAATTTCTGTTCTATTCGAAGTAGAGAGGTAAGTGAAAGTTGTGTGTTGTGCGCATACCAGATTTTTTTTTCTTGCTATGGTAACACTGCTTATAATAGTATCAATTACTAAACATATTGTGTATTCAGTTAATCTGACTAGAACTAGGTACTTATTTTTTTCTTTGTCTATTTATTGAATATAATGTTGTAAATGATTAATTTTCAGTACCTTCTCCACCATGGAACATATCCGCAATACAAAAGGCAGCTTATACTGTTGAAGTAAGCTGGAAAATTCCTCACCAGCCGAATGGTATCATTAGAGAGTATATTATTTATTCATCCCCTCCTTTACCACCAATAGGCACTACTGTACCATCCAAAAATCTTTCTGCAATTGTTTCTACTTTCTTTGCTCCAGAGAGGCAATATTCATTTTGGGTATGCTATTGGGTTGTCATTAATTATACTTAGTAAAGTTTTTTTTTTTTAATACTATTCACTGTAAGCATGCAATTCTTTTGTTGTACATTATCATGACATTTAAAGATGGCTAGTCTTATTTATAAACAAATGGCATCCAAACTGGTTCTACTTATTTTATAATTATAAATAATTGTTAATCAAGATACACATTACCTTCAAGTCTTAAGAATTTCTTCATACTTTCATAATTAAAGTTCTGAAGCACAAATTGCAGCTATGTAGGTTTACTATTCTTTATAAAAATGTGTCAAAATACAACTCTCATAATTATCTATGTATAAAATATTTATCACACTCTTAAAGATTTAATTAATTATGATTTTTGAAAAATTGTTATTTGCAATCCTCATTGATTTCAACATAAACATCAAATGATTAAATTGTATTTGCATGCGTGGTAATTGAAATATTTAAAAAAATAACCGATACTTTAATATTATAATTAATAATATTATTTTTTGTGAATCTTTTTAGGTTGTTGCTAGAAATGGAGCTGGTACTTCAAACAGTTCTGAAATAGTAAAAGTTAAGAGTCAGCCTGAAGCTAATCTAAATCCTATCCAGAATTTTACTGTAAAATGTTATGCTGATAAAATAACTACCTGTGAACTTAAATGGCAAGAAGTTAAGGGAGCTAAAGGATACAGAATTGTTACTTCAGCTATCTTACCTTATCCCGATCTTCCTCAGGTCATTGCTAATGACACCACTTACAAATGTAGGTCATTTATTTTGTAATGTGAATGAAAAAATTTCATATATTCATAGGGCATTTTTATCCTTTTGTTAGCATGAGACATAACCACTATTGTGGGTAAGCTCTGAAATCTTTTCCCAGCTTGCTATCCTATCCTAACATTCCTGCCTACTTTGGTTGTCAATAATAAGCCGCCTTGTTATAATTATATTACGATTAAATGTATGAACACAAGATTCCAACCCATGACCACAATATCCTTCTCACAGATACTTTCTTTGAAAAATCCTTCATTATCCATGGTACCTCATTTTGAAATCCCATACTTATCTCCATCTGTAAAACCCCATTGTTAATAACCTCACTTTTAAACTCAAAAGCCTCTAAAACTTTTGATAGAAAATTTTGTGTTCTTTTCAGTAATATATGCTTATATTAAGATGTCTGGATAGCACTTTTACCATTTTTAATTTTATGCATAACTTGTAAATTTATTTTAATGCATTAGATTTAAACTGTAATAAAACTCTTTAAATTCAAAAGCCCACTATATTATTTATTGATTGATAAAGAATTTTGTGCACTTTTCCGTAATATATGGTTGTACATATAAGTTAACGTTGGACTAGTTCAAAAGTACATAAAAGGATAGAGATATAGATTCAATAGCAAGTAACTTATATTATTACAAATTAGATATTTTTACAAAACGTTATAACAGATAACTGTGTGAAAATAGTATTAAGCCTTATCTTATTAATTTATAAACTTTACTTAAGAACCCTACTTAATATATACCTATATAGTTGTAATATATATATATATTTCAATTATAAATCTATTTGACTTTATTAGATTGAAATTTTAATAAATATCTTAAATCTCAAAAGCCCATTAATATTATTTTATCATTTCATAGAGAATTTCATGTTCTTTTCTGTAATACGTGGATGTGCTTGGGTATAGAGATTTTAGCTGCAGACACTATTCGATAATAGTATCACAACTAGGAAAAAGTATTAATTTTTATGTTTAAAATTTATTTTCTCCATGATTAAAAATTACAATACTCATAGAATCATCTGATTCCGCTGTATAGGACACATGAATAAATTTTGAGAGTTCCATTAATAAATATTGATTTTACATGGGAAACCCAAAAGACATACAAGCCGTTTCGAGCTCAAGTGTTTTCTGAACTTCAAAGATCTGAAACTATTCATTTGACTTGGGTGAAATTGGATATTTTCTCTTATTTGGGTATTTACTTAATACTTATAAATTTTCAAATATTATTTTCAAAAGTTATAGACAAATTTTGTGTAAGATTCTGAATAAATTGGAAATAAGGTTGCAACACAGAGATAAATAATAAGTTAAGTGACAAATCCTACACTTTAGAGAAAATCTTTAGTAGCTAGTTCTATTATCTAGTATAGTAGCTAATCTCTACTTTTAGGGTTACTGAGGAATAATAACTTTTAGGGAAAGATGAACAATTAATTATAGTTTTATAAATGTTCCAGTTCCAGTATTGGCTCCAGGTGTTGATTATAGATTTCGAATTAGTGCTCTCCATGAGAATTATGAAGGACCTGTCCTTGAAAAAGAAGCTAAAACTGAAGGTACACAATTGATGGATATTTTGTTAAATATTCCTTACTTTTATTTTTACTCCTTACACTAATGACAAATGCAATTGAAGAAAAAAGAAAATGTGTTATTTATGTATAAAAGGTAATCCTATTAAAGGAAAACCTGTGGGGAAAAATAAAATAAAAACATTTAATTAATGAATAAAGTTTAAAATGAAGCCATACTCATATACCAATGGATTTTTAACCATCTCCCAATTCATGTTTTTCATAAATAGCTTATATGCTCAAGACATAGAACCCATTTTTTTTCTGTAATTTAAGAGGAATATTTTATGTATTAATAGTATGTCCTCTTTTAACAATGAACCATTTTTCCATTCTTTTGGATCCGTCTGGCATACATTTTTTTTTTTAATATTATGAAATGGTCATTTTGGAGGAAGGATGAATGAGAGTCGCTCCTCCCTAGATAGTGGAACTTTTCTGGTTCTTACAATTTCATCTCCTATGAGTTTTTCCCAAATTTAAAAAGTGTATAAATTATTGCCTCCTTTTGCTGTTTTTTTTTACTAATTTGCCTAGACTAATATTTTTTAGTATTTGTATCATTTATTGAAGTATTTTCATTAATAGAAAAATTGTATATATTTTTAAAGGTGACAGATTACCGTTTGTTGACAACAAACACGCTTTTGTAAATGGAACATCTATCAGACTTACGTGGAAGGAAGCAAGTGAAAGCAATCGGAAAGTGAAGTGGGTTTATGGGATTTATTACGGCCTTACATTTAAGGAAATGATTCAAGGTAAGACATCTTGAATAACTATCAAATATTATTATTGATATACAGTTTACTCTCACTTATCTTTTGAAGTGAGGGTTCTTCAAATGAAGAACATTAAAATTATTTATTTTTAAATTAATTAGAAATTTGATACAATTAATTGAAGTTTCGTTTAAGTTATTTTTAGTTACCTCATACAAATATTTGTTTCTTGTATCATCATTAGAAACAAGATAGGTCATTTGAAAGTGTTGAAACTTTGCCCTCTTCTCATTACAATATAACAAAATGCATTACAAAGTTTAGTTAAATTTTATAAATTTGCTAAAATTTACTGAATGCAACTATTATAATGTTATTTTTATAATTTAATTGAGAGGAATTTATTTTGTATTTTTAATAACTTAAAAAAAACACATAATAAATAAAATAAATCCCTAAATTTCTCTCAATTAAATTATATCTTTTTAAAAATAACTTTGGGAGTGGGGTAACTCAGTGAGTGAGCACTGACTTCCAGAGCTCTAAGTCCCTGGTTCCAATCCTGACTAGTAAATTAATAACTGATGATTAATAAATTTTCATCAGCCGTGAGTCCACCCTGGCGTTGGGGGGACCCTCCTGGGGCACACCTAGCCTCTATAAAATGGGTACTCTTAATTAAATAATTAAGGGGAAAAACCTTGCAGTTGAGGGTGATCTTGGTCCATCACTTCCCTGTACAACCGTTGACATTGTAACAGTACTTCCTCACATTGTACTGAACCCAAGACCCTTCACGGGTTGTTAGTGGTACAGTTTTTTTTTTTTTAATAACTTTTAAAAAAAATTTATTTTCAATAATTTAAATTCTCATTTATTTATTTTTATTTTTTAGGACCTAAATTGACAACTGAAAACTTGATGGAAAACATAGAAGGTCTTGAAAGTTGTGAGAACTACATGTTTGATGTTGGTGTGGTTGGACCCCTTGGCATTGGACCATTATCCCAAGACTCGGTCAAAGTTCTTACTAATTATAGCAGAACCGCACCCCCCAAAGCTCTGACTCTATTTACTGATTCCCAAAATGAAACAATGATGGTGATATCTTGGACCTCTTCTTGCAATGTTATCAATGAACCTATAAGCTATGTCGTAAGTTTTTAAAATTTTGATTTGTCTATATTATCTTTAATCAACAAATATCACATTTGACCCTGTTAATAGACAGAGATATAAATTTCCAATATGTAAATGGATTTCTTGCTAGTTGATTTATAAACTTTAAATGTAGTTATTTTCAAAGCTAAAAAAAAAGATTTCTAAGTTGGGTCTGTATGGCTTCCTCATTATATATATTCTTTACATAATTACTAATAACTCAATAGTCTGTGATTAGTCATTTGAAAATAAATTATAGAGAAGAAACCATTTTTGAAATATGGTTTTGTCAAGAAAAATGCACACCTAAGCAAAACAAGTTGACAGATTTCTATAAAATTGGTATTGGACCGTCTAGGTATAAACATTCAGAATCCCTAAAATTTCCATCAAATCAAATAACTGGCAGTGGTATTCAAAATATCATTTAACTTAATTATTTCAATATAGTCTAAATTCTATAATTGCATTTTGTAGTCATTATATAGGTATATTAATTTTAATTGTTTAATGTAATTTAATAAAATTGATACAAGGTAATTTGTACACAATATTTTTTTTCCTCTCCCCTTCTCCCCTTTTTCAGCTATACGTTTTTTTTTCCAGAAGGCTAAGGATTAATGCCAGAATTAAAAGCCTCTCTTCCCCCCTCCCCTCATTAGGAATCAAACTCCTAATTATTTTATCATGTTATTTTCAGTTTTATCAGATTACCGGGAAACGTAAATTCTCTCAAACTTTGTGCCAAATATAATGAGCTGGAAATTGAGAAAAATATGTTTTCACGTCTCTAATCTTTGTCTACCTTCAGTAGAGAGGAAGCATAAATTAGTTGGTTTGTTTCTTTTTCAAATATTCGTAAAGTTTTGTTTTTATTGCAAATTCTTGAAATTTGCAATAAAAAGGAGGTAAAAATTTGTACAAGAGAAATCACTTTAAACTAAAATTCAAATGTAGCTTACTCGCTTGGGAATGGTAGCCCATGGGTAAACTCATGCATGCCGTACTAAGTTGATTTTGTTTTTTTATTCTCAGATTTTATTTAAATAATATCGCTAATACATACATGTATTAAGTAAGCTGAAATTGTATATATTTTTAAATATTTTGTAAATAAAATCTGAGAGTTCGGGGAAAAAAAAAACGGTTAGTTTCAACTTTCTACCATGTGAGTTCGCCCTCAGGTTGCCATAGTCTTTTGATTGAGTTATAATTAAAACCATTTCTCTGTGTAAAATAATTTTAAAATACTCTTCTGTTTAGATAAACATTGAAGAATTGATTCTTGGGAAAAATGTGACAATTAGATTTAAACCAGCTAATTCAACAAAGTTTCAGCGTAGAATTGTAATCCAATATGGTGCAAGGTAACTATTCATTCCCTTCATCATGAATCAATTGTTATGAATAATAATTACATCAATACCCTTCACTAACTTTTCAAAAGATTTTTTTTTTTTATTGATCGGCAGAATTTTATTTGTGTTATTAAAATTTATTATTTTCAGGTATCGGGTAAATGTACAGACAGGAGAACGTAACTCAATTCAAACAAAAGCTGTAGAGCATTGGGCTCCTCAGCTTCCTGTCCCCAACCAAGTCAAAGTAGAACCTTATAATAAATCATATATGATGCACTGGCAACTTGATACAAACCTCAAGAAAATGCCCAAGTATTTATCAAAATTTACTTACTTTGTTTATAATTTTTATTTACAGATATTATAACTTTATGTTCAATCATATAACTTTTTCCTGTTATTTTTACTGAATGATAGAGCTAAATTATTATTTAAACTTAATAATTTAAATGAGCAATAATATTTAAGTAAATGTGTGAAAAAAATAAATATATTCTTGAGGAAGGAGATCATCCGGGGTGGCGGATATAAAAAGACTAAAATAGTGAGAAAAAATATTTTAATCATTTCACAAAAACTATTTTCGTCTTTTATGATCATCACCCCAGATGGTCTACTTCCTCAAAAATATGCAACAATCAACCATCAAGTATTTAATTATATACATTCCTTTCGAAATTGGATTATCGTCATCTTTTACAATAGATTGGTTCTTTCAGAAGGTTTTTGGTATTTCACAGTCTTCCATTTGAGCCACATTACTCTGCCCACTTTAGGTGATTTAGTTCAAAGACCATTATTACGTCAGGTTCATTATATACCATAAAACTCCTGATTGATACATTATGTCACTCATTTACTATGTTAAATGTTAGTCACACCAGCATTAAAAAATATATATGAGAAGGAGTTGTCCGGGGGGGTTGCGGTCAAATAAATACTAAATGGTACTTGTCCATTAGCGGGACAGGACTGACTGCTATCTATCAATGCTTATAACGTGGACACTGATAAGGCTTTTCATAATTACTATCTTCGTATTCATATTTATTGTATTACATTCATATTATTGAAATTATAAACAAAAAAAAATGTAATAATAAAAAATACTTTTATTTTACAACAAATATATTAAAAAGACAAAAACAAATGTAATAATAAAAAAAAAGAAATAATAAAAAACACTTAAATAACATATGTACATATAAAAGAAACAATATAAACAACATATGTACAATTTATTTTCACTTCACCTTATTTATTTTGGTAGGCAAAATAGTTAATTTACTATTTAATATATTAAAATAGACAAAAACAAATGTAAAATAACAAAACAGTTTGGTTAATAACATCCATATCAATTAATTAAAAACAATATTTAATAACATTTGATGAAAATAACAGAAATGGAACAAAAATAAACAATGGAATAACTCAAAGCTTTGATGAGATAAGAAGGGAGGTTATGTGATGTGACATTAGATAACAAGGCAGGTTTCGTCCAGGCCTCCTAATGGACAATTACCTACTAAATTTTTATATATAGCATTTTTAATTATTACACAGACGTTTCGACCCACCTTGCAGGTCTTCTTCAGGGCGGGGCATGTGGCACTGCTGGAGGCACCTGATGAAGACCTGCAAGGTGTGTCGAAACGTCGGCTTAATAATTAAAAATACTATTTTTTTTTTAATTTAGTATTTTAATATTTATTTGACCGCACTCTCTGACCAACTTCTCATATTATATCAGGGTCAACCACCTCTACATCATTAAAAAATATATAGAAATAAGATAGTCTTGTATTAGACTTTAACCCATAGCAGTAAGAAAAAGTTTGTGGTTATCTTAATTCTGTTATTTTTTTTAATTATGTCTTAAGTATGTAAATTATATAAATTTAGAGTTCTATAAAATTATATTGTGTTACAGATATGAGTTTGAGGTGATGGTGTGTGAAGGTGATGAATTTGATGAAAACAAAGCAAGCAGAACAAGAGTTAAAGCTCCTCCCTTTTTTTTCCGTGAAATGAAAGTAGCAACAACTTATACTGTCGCAGTTCGTCTTGTTTCTGAACAAGGATTTTGGTCTTCTGTTTCAGAAATCAATATGATTCAAATTCCATTAGGTTTGTACCCTAGATATTATTTGATTGCATTCTGTCTGCTTGCTATTTTTAAGTTAAAAAGTATGATTGTGGAAGCAGAAAAGTCTTCATAATAAATTATACGATAACAACTGGCGACAATTGGCTGGTAGAAATTTAACACCCTTATATATAAACAATAATGAACCTAAAGGTAATAAATGCAATTGCTGAATTACAGACAAAATTGAATCTGGAAATTATTACATTCACGTACCAATATGGGTAAGAAATATTAAGGGAAAGTATTGTGATCATGAAAATTTCCAATTTTGAATTTTCAACGGAAATACATGTCTTGAGGTCCCTTGAGTCCAAATAATCAAGTCTTGCAAAATGGTCTGTTTGTGTGTATTTATAGCTAGTTCTGCTGAAAAAAAGTGGTGAGTGAAAGTTGTCTGATATGCACACCACATCAGATTTTTTTTGTCATACAATGTACCCCTATAATTTTTATTATTTATTTAATTTTTAAATGAATGAATTAACATTGTTTTGTTTTTCATAACTAGGATAATTAATTGATATTATCATTTTAATGTTTAATCAATGTTTTCTATTTTTGTTATCTTCTCTGATACATTAATTATTGGAGTTATAAATTGTTATTGAAATTCAGAATTTCATATGCATTAACCTAATACCTTTCCTTTACTTTTTTCAGGCTCTTCAATGGTTGTTGTTAGTGAGGCTGGTCTCTTATCATTCATCATTCCTGTAGCACTCGTTATCATTGTTCTTGTTGCTGTCCTTGCATTGTATGTGTTGAAACACTACCGTCTGAGGAATACATTCACAACATTTGCTAATTCACACTACAGTACCAGTTCTGGTGCTGCAATTTTTACTGATAGACTTGGTAATTCAATTTTTTTATCTACCTTTTTTTTTATTAAATTATTTAAAATAAATTAAGTCAACGATATTTTACATACACTAGTCAAGTTATCACTTAAAATGACATAAGATTAAAAAATAAATTTCTAATGCTAGTTATGATGAAAAACTAAAATTTCTTATAGTTTACATCTAAGCTACAGGCTAAAGCTACTCTCATTTAATTTGTGTTCCAGTTTAGAGATGTTTTAAAAATTGGTTTGTTTTCTTAATCTTTTACTTGTCTTTGTTCCAAATGTGGAAAATAATTTTTTTTTATCAATCTTAATCATTTAAAAACATTTTTTTTTTTCATGAAATCCAGGAATAAATTTTTTTTTTTAATCAAAGATTTTATCACTATTAGTTATAGTTAAAATATAATTATAATAGTTAAGTTTTAATATAATTAATTAATTAATTGAATTTTAAGTTTTTGAACGTTGAGAACCAATAAAACATTTTTGTTAAGGTGATAAAACCAAATTTGAAATTGATTTAATTGCTTATAAAAAAAAAAAAAAAATACTGAAAATAGTGCTTCAGAGAATATACAATGGATTTATTGCAAAAAGTGATTAAAGAAGATTTCACAAAATCAAATCATTAATTACTCAGATGAATATTCCCTTAGTAATGTCAGAACAATATTGATCTTTATCACCCTGATTTTTGATCAACTAATGTAAATGTATTTAAATGAGAATTAAGAAATGAGCCGGTACTAGTTCACAAGAGTTCCGCACGGATTACGCATGGTTCACAATCACACTTGTTCATGGAATCCCAAAAACAGCCGAATGTTGTCGTCTTTTATGACGTCAGCTATTGCCCCATAATACAATCCCTTTTCATGCATTTTTGAAAAAAATACAACGTATTCCCTTTATGGAACTTCCTTATTAAAAAATTGTGTATTTACTAATTAGTAAATTATTAATTTTTATTATAACGGTTATTACTTTGAAAGAAAAAGAAAAAAATACATAAAATAATGTTTGAGTAGTTTCTTCAAGCCCTATTAAAAAAAAAAGCTTTTAGTAATAACATTTTTATTGACACGTGCTTACATGTAGTAGCTGTAAATACGCATATACTGTATATTATCTTTTATAACTGTGTATAAAAGATTTGTTTATAATTTGGATAATAAATAATTTTAAGTTATCTATTATCTTTTTTTTTGTTATTCGAGTTTTTCAATAGAAGTTGGAATAATTGAATTTATAAGTTATTTTAGCAAGCCTTTTTTAGAATTGCGCAATCGTCTATCTAGTTTATGTATTTTTTTAGATTTCTAATAATACGAGGGGCTATTTTCTAGTAGAGGGGGGCGCTTTGTATGCATATACTGTCTGATTTGTAATTATGATGTGTAATTATTGTTATTCGCAGTTATTTTTCTTGGTAATCCGAAAAAAGGGATTATTGTAGGCTATGGTACAAAAAAAAGAATTTATTTTCGAGAAAGGAATTAACGTATTTGGGAAACAACTGATGAAGAATATGTAATAATTCCAAGATAATGAATATTGGAAATCATCTATAAGAAAAATAATATCGTGAAATAGCAGCCAGAGATGTAATAATTAAAGATTTTTATGTATTACTATTTCTTTTTTACAGATCTATAATATATGTACAAGCTCAATTCAGGTTTCATGATGTGTAGCCTAAATTTCGAATGTAAATCTGCTCCTGCTATATAACTGAACGTGGTTAAGGTTAAAGTACTTAAATGGCGGGAAAGTTAATAGTAACTGGCCCAAGAGATCGGTCGCCTTCGTTCTCTTTCGGAGAAACACGAATGCATTCGGGATTCCAGGAACAAGTGTGATCGAAGTGATTGTGAACCATGCGTAATCCGTGCGGAACTGTTGTGAACTAGTACCAATGAGCCTTTCAGTTGACAGAATGACCAACTCCAATTTTAACATTTTTGAGTAGTCATTTTGGTGATATTTCTAGTTGAAAAATTTATATCTGTATAGACAGTGAGTAAGTTGATTCCCGAGTATGTGATTACAGTGTTGAATATAGAACTGTGAATAAAGATATAAATTATCCCACTAGAGAATATCACTAAAATTAATAATCAATAATGTCGAAATTGGAGTTAGTCATTCTGTTCAACTGAAAGGCTCAAATAAAACATTTGCTTAATTAATTCATAAACCTTGAACACTTACTGAAGTTAGTGATTGGAACTTTCGAGTCAATGATGGTTGGTATTATCATTAGTAGTATGGTGCAAAGTAATCAGATTAGATTGTAACCTGAAATAAAAGATTATCAGAACTATTGATAATCTTTTATAGAAGACATTTACCACAATTGTTTAGAGAGTCATTTGATCAGTTAGTATGACACTTCTAATTCGCAAAGGTAGTGCTTGGGATAAAAGAAGACCCGTGATAGGAAGGAGAGTTAGGATTATAATGAATGGAAATATAGACCAAATTAGTTTTATTTTACTATTTTTATATATCAATTAAATAGAAAATTTAAAAGTATTCGTAACTTACTGATTATTACTGCTTTTTTTTTTTTGTTTTTTAATGTTGTCATTTAAGTACTAATTTGATAAATTTTATTATTCTAGACGATGAAGACTCTCCTGTTATTAGAGGCTTTTCTGATGATGAACCATTGGTAGTTGCATGAGGAGTTCATAAACCACTTTTACTGTGATAGGTATTTTTGTATGGTATTTAAATTTACCAGTATTTTATTACTTTAAAGTTGCTCTAGCTACCTTGACAACCAAGTGTGATTTTTTTATTTTTAAGAGTATTTTCTAGTTTGTTATGTGTGTTGCATGAGAAAATGAACTTTATTTTATTGATTGTAATTAATATGAACCAAAGACTTTATTGAAGTTGTTATAAGTGAAAAATTGTATTATGAAAAGTACCATTAATTTTAAATATTGTATAGGAAAATGTATTAATATATTTTTCATTTATATTATACTTTATTAGTGACTTGATTATCAATAAAATATATGTGATTAAAGTAAAATATGAATTCCTAAGTTTCGTATATTTTATTAAATTGTCAAAATGTGGAAAATAAATGTTTCATTAGCACTTTTTTTTTTTTTTTTATCCATACGTTTTACTCTATTTTAAAAATAATTAATATATATTAGAATAATAAATTTGTAATGATAAATAGTTATTCTAGCAGGAAAAAAAGTTAAATTATAGTGTTTTTAAAAAAATATGTAAATAATGCTTAGAAGATAAAATGTAATCATACTTCACAAAACAATGTAAGTATTTTACAAGCTTCTATCCTGAGTTGTCACATTAGTCATTCTGGTTATTTTTATCCAGGGACAAATATTTGAAACAGTTCCTTAGAAAATGTACTTAATCAACGAGAAAAGTGGTTTCTTCTGTAAGCGCCTACTTTCTTCTTCCTCAGTACTCATAAATGGCATACTAAAGTGCTGTAATAACGTTTTTGGTATAACTTTTGTTCTTTTGTCTAATAATATTATTAGATATGTGTAGCCACATTTTAAATCCAGTTATTAAACAAAGTAGAAAATATATATATAAAATTTCAATTAACATAACTTTTTTTTTTCTACTTTATTTAATAACTGGATTGTGGAGTGTGGCTACAGATATAATAACTGAAGTGCGGCTACAGATATTATTAGACAAATAAATACAACGTTTTTATAGCCCTACAACTCTCATTTATGAGTACTGAGGAAGAAGATCGAAGGCACGTGATAATTAATAATTCAATTAACTTGATATTGATAATTCAATCTTAATTTGATCTGAAAAATTGATCACTGATTTAGAAATATAAATGTATTGCCCAGATGTTTCATTTTAAGGCATTTTTTTTTTTAATTGTTTTTTTAACATTAGTTTCAATGAATTGACTTTACCGGTATTTTTATTGCCTAAACCAATTTTTTAAAAATATTTTTCATGTTTTATTATTCTCTAACTATTCAGCTTTAATAAAATGCCAATTACAACAAAATTAAACCAAATGCTGACCCTCAGTGACCTGAAAAACTAACTCAAGTCAAAGTCGTCAAACCGCTATATGAGACAACATTTTGGGAGAGTGCGTTCACTTGTTTTTGTGGGACCATTGGCTCTTTTTTAATAAATAGTTGTAAGGAACACAACGATATGCAATACATAGGGATGTGGGGGGGGGGAGAGGGGATGGTAGGGGGTTCTGGTCCACTGTGTACCACTGTTGAGGGTGGAGATGCCAAGACCCACAGGTCCAAAGTGGACGAAAATGTGAATCCATATAAAGTTGTAAGTGTAATATTAAGAACAGTTCATAATTGTATGTATTTAATCCAACAAAATAGAATAAAATTATCATGAGACTTTTTTTATCTGTAAAATACAATATTGAATTTTTGAAGTAACATGATTTTTTGCTACTTTATTTTTTTTTTTTTATTTGTTTATTGATAAATATTACAATCTGTCTCAATAAAGGACATTTATAATAGAGTTCTGAGAGCTCATTCACACCATATTTACAAATTAAAAAAAATAATACAAATTAAAAAAAAAATAAAACAAATTAAAAAAATAGTACAAATTAAAAAAATAATACAAATTTTAAAAAATAAATAAATAACCCTTTATTTAATAATTTGATTTTAAGTATGGCCACAATTATTAATACTTCCCCATGCCTGTCATGTCATTATATCATTATCGCCATCACATTTGCTGATTGTCAACTTGTTGTTGACAAAAAAAAAAAAAAAAGTATGGCCACACATATTATTAGACAAACAAACAAAAGTTGTGGGTCAAGAATATGATAAAAACAATTTTTTGTGAAAATGAGAACATTTTATGAATGAATGAATGAATGAAAAAGTAATTTTATTCTGGGACTACTGTCCCCTAAGAATAATAACAGAGTTACAAATTTATGTATCTTAGTCTGACATAATAAAAATACCAACTAATTTATTGTTAATTGTTATTTCAATTGTGCAATGGATTGAAATTAAACATTGTATAGATGCAAGTAATTTTACATGTTAGGGGAAGTTTGAATGTGGAGTAGGTGTTGGAACAGGAGTTGTTTGAAGGAATTTGTGGATGAGGATTGACGCATGGAGGTAGGAAGTGAGTTCCATAAGGAAGCAGCACGAATGACGAAGGATTTGCTGAAGGAGGAAGTTTTAGTACATTTTTAAAATAGCTGTAACTGTAGACTGGTTGGAGATTACTTTGCTTATGTATATATATTCTAATAAGAAATTTAAGTCTTTTCAACTTCTTTTAAATTAATTTATTTTTCAGAGGAATAGCTTAGACGATATGAAGGAATGTTTGATGAAAATGTGAGGAAAAATGATCGGATAAAAGTTTTAGATAATTTTATAAACTTTAATTTATTATACAAAATTTTTCTTCTGTGATACACCATTTCTAAGATGTAAGCAAAAATCCAAAAATTGTGACCTTTCCTTTCTCCTCCTCCCTTCCTCTATCTCTCTGGCTCACAACCTAGACGTCAGAACCTTTGATATGTTGATACCCTAAGCACCCTGTACAAATTTCTGAAGGAATCACTTAGGTCCCTGCTCACACACTACACTTTTTTTTGGGCCATTCATTGACTGACTAGTAATGTAAATGGAAAAATATATCTTCAGAGTGTCAATAAAAGTTATTCGCCATGAAAATTTCGAAAGTACTAACAAATCCATAGGGTTCTCATAAATCTTATTACTCTCCTCTGTGATGAACTGTTGAGGATAAATACGATATTAATACACACATAGTAAATCTTAATAAACCAAATACTATATTTGGTAAGTAAATCATAGTTTTCACTGTTCTCATTTAATGTATCATCTTTTGCTTAATTGATCTGTAATCCATCCAAGATATAAAAAATGTATTTAGTGGTAAAATAAATGAACAAATATAGTTAATGGGTTCTGTCTGAAGATGTAGCTATTAAAAGTAATCAAATTTTAAAGATATGATCATACAAATAATACAGCAAGTAATAGGATTCCAAAATAATTTTAAAAAAACAATAATAAAACAAAAATAAAATGTATTTCTTATGTACAATTTCAAAAATAAATATGGACATATACTACATATAAAAGACAACAATAATATTATGACTGAATATTAGAAGATCTGGTCCATATTATAACAAGCCCCTGCTGATCACTAGTACTTAATAAACTTTCATCATAATTGAAGCTGACCCCAAGCACGGGACTGGAATGTCCTTGAAGTTTATTAATAACAGCTCTCTTGTTCTCTTTATCACATTCTATATCGATAAAATAAACACAAGAGTCTTCACTGCCAGTAACTATGGAGAAAAAAATAATTAAAATCAACAAATTCACTTAAATCTAATCCATTAGAGATGAATAAATATTTTAATATCAACAAGCAAACTGTTATGATTAATTTAAAATAATGGTTACTGTATAAATCAGATTGCTAATTGTTAGGTTGAAGACAGACAATGTACTTTGCACGTGAAAGAGATTAACTCAAATTGTCTTAACATCTGAAATTCAAATATGAGAAGGTGTTGATCGGGTGGTGCGGTCAAATAAATACTAAATTTAAAAAAATACTATTTTTAATTATTATGCCGACGTTTCAACCCACCTTGCAGACCTTCATCAGGGCGTGGCATGTGGCAGCAGTTGATAGATTGGCCATTCTTTATAATCTTTAAATCAGTTTGAAATTCAAATAGTTGGCTCCTTATCATCCCAAAGAGCAACCAGCCCTCATTCAAATATCCGTTGGAACCAATTAATTCACTAGGTGATCTACCGGCGATTCTATGTAAAAAACTTCAACTGTGTCTAATGTTCACTTAAACTAAAAAATATTGTTGAGTTGTGCCCCTTGTATTGTCGCAGTAGCTTATGGTAAGTTTGCCAGAAATAGACAGTTTCCAACTTATTAACTAATAATAAACTTTTAGGCCCTCAAAATAGTGGAAATGTTTATAGGTTTACAGCTATAACACTTAAGAGAGTAACGCCCAACTCTTGTGTCTATTACTGATATATTCATCTTATATTTTATAATTATAAGATAGGACTAGGACTTCTATAAATAAATATATATATTTTTAAATTTAAAAAAAACACAAAGTGAATCAGCATAGAAGTGAAATATCTTGTAATGAAGTTCAATTAAGTTGAGTATATTTAAAGCTATTGGTGAATTTGATTTCAATTTAATTTATGTAAAGATAAAAAATAAAATTCTTCATTTATCTTAGTTAGTTAGTAAAGTAAAACTGTTAAACATAAAAACTTAGATCTGGTAACAAAAAGACCTAGCAATCATGAGCTTGGCACAGTTTATTAGTGAAATATAACAGCCCTAGAGCCAGGACCAAAAAATCAGCCAGATCACAGGTAAAGATTTTAATGTAAATTACGAAATGTTAGTACTCAGTGGACGCAAGTTTTATGCTCTACAACTTGGATTCTATGAGTTTTTCTCTTATGGAACTCATTTCCAAGCTACATGATCATTTATAGTAATTTGTCTCAGTTTTTGAATAATTTGGTAAAAATCAGCATTCGCGAATCTACTACAGCGTTTTCTAGGATACTACTTGACCAAATTATTATGTTTAAGTACCCATTGGAAGCACAATTTAACATTATTTAATTTCTTAAAAAGTACATTTTTCACTTTGATGCATCGTTTAGGAGTTATAGGTAGAAAAAACAAAAAAAGTTCGAAACAATATGGCTTTTCTGGCTATTAAAAGTTTTATCTTTGTTCCTCCCATTAGCAATTTTGGTTTTCACATGTTTGAACTCATATACACAAGTTAAAGAAATGGCAACTTTTCCCATATTTTTTGCAATATATTTCCCTTTTGCATCCTCAAATTACTGACCTATTATTCTTTAAATCAGTGGCCATTTTTGAAAGCAGTGGCTCTGGAAAGACAGACAAGGTTCATTTTAGTTAGAATAACATAAACTTTCATAATTTACATTCAAACCTTCGCCTGCAATCAGGTCAATTTTTTAGCCAGTACCTATACCTGTAGCCAAGGCTATAAGGGAAAAAGAGATATAACTGAAGCACTTCCTCTTCAGTTTTCATGATTGACTTTTGTTTTTTGACAATATTCATTTCACCATAAGAAATCTTAGGTCAAAATTTCAGAAAGAACTATTTGTTATTTATACTAAATGCATTAGTTAAGTGTGGTGTGGCATAGAAAAGCATAAAATTACATACCTATACAAGCGCCTTGCCTAAAAGACATAATCGGGCAAAATGATGAGTGGATGAAGTTATTATAGTATTGATGTTTTACAAAGAAACTTCTCCTCAATGAAAGTGAACCATCCTTTTCAATGACTCTGTTAATAATTAAGATTAAAGAAAATTAAAATTCAATAATATGCACTTAATCTCATTCATTTTTAATTATAAAAAAAAAATCAATATAGTTAACCTCATACAATTTTAAATGTCAAATAAATTTTAAAATCAGTGCTGGCCTTAAAAATGTGGCGTCCCCGGGCAATGATGTTATCTCTCCAAAAAATAATTCATTTGCAATAAAACTATAAGATATATATCAATAACATTCCAGTAATTAATTACAGTTGAACCTTTATACACCAAATGTGAACCTTTGAATAAAATGAACTAAAGTCACATCTTTATTTTTCTTGTTGCTTTTTATATATTTTATTAATTCAAACATTTCTTTCACACTTAATGATTTCCATTTAGGTGCCATAGAATCCTGTGGATACTGCAATGGTTACTTCTTTTAACAAAGCCCTTGCACTATTTTCATGGATTGGTGAAACATTTTTTGTTTTTCTGATTTAATTATCCATTCATATGTACTTCATAATAGAGTGTTTTCTTGCAAAAGTTCAGATAACAGATTTTTTTATAACAAGATAATTGCCAATTTTTACTTTCTTTAATAAGCGTTAATTATTTTGCAAACTTGTTAAAAATTAAAACATGCAGCAGTTAAACAATTATTTTTTTAGACTTGTAAATACAGAAGGAAACCAAGTTTTCCAACAAATCTATCTATGGTGTAATTTTTTTTGGCTTGAAAACCTCAAAATTGATAAACATTTTTTGGAATACAGATTTCATTGAAAATTCTAATTTGCTTGAAATCAACTACCATTTATGTGCTTAAAAATCTGGTGCACACATCACGTGACTTCTCTCTTACCACTTTACTTCACTTACCACTCTTCTTAGCAGAAATAAGTATTTTTAGACAAAGAGGAAGTGAAAGTACAAATTATAGATGCTATATTTATTTAAATTTCATTGCGGTTATTTTTATTTGTTTAAACACCTAAATAAAATATAATCGAAAAATTTTAATTTTTATATCTCTGTATTCTATACAATTAAATATTAAATAATACCAGCAGTAGCATTTATGAGAACCACAAATGCATATGTACATAATATAATCGTAGTCCATATTATATTAAGCTCATGTTACATGTGTACTCTATCAGGTGAGCTCGGACGCGCTCGTATTCCTTTAGTTCTTCCATTACAACTATAATCTGTTACAATCTCTTATATCTCCTTTATTTAATTATAAAATTCTTTCACATCCTATATTTAACTATTTCTTATGTCAAAGATTAATGTGAAACGGTTAATTATTTCAAATAAAAAAAAAATTAAAGCTTCTTTAGAAAAAGCTAATATTGAAAATTAGCCATTAAAGTCCTGTTAGAGAACATCAATGAGAATAAAACCTACATTATAATAAAAACTGCTTAATAATACACTGATATATTGAGTTTAATCAAAATCGTTAAAGCCGTTTTTGAGAAATTCATAAAACATGTATGTCATAGATGACATACATGTTTATATATACACATATATATTGTCTATATTGTTCGTTAAAAATCAGAATTCTACAAAAAAAAAAATTTCCTTTAAGAGAATTTCCTGTGTCCTAAAAACATCAAAATGTATACATATAGCTTCAATATATAAGCTTTTTAGTAGACAGAATGACTAATTCCAATTTCAATATTTTTTATTATTAATTTTAGTGGGAAAATTTAAACCTTTATTCAGTTTTAAATTTCAACACTTCAATCATCTACTCAACTAATCAACTAACTCACTGTCTGTACAGATATAATTATAAATTTTCCAAATAGAAATATCACTAAAATGACTATTCAATAATATTGAAATTGGAGTTAGTCATTCTGTCAACTGAAACGCTCATATAGAAGTTAGAGGATAAAAAAAAAAGTTTCAACTGACATTTTGAGAAAAAAAAAGAAGTACAGTTGCCCTATACTATTTTTTTTTTCTCATTATACTCCCAACATTGGCAAGAATTAAGGGAAACACAATAGCTTAATGAACATGTTCGAACAGTTACAAAAATGAAAATTCTTACCTATACACCCTTACAGAATTAGCAGAAATGTTTATAAGCAAGGATGGGTCTCGACTTTCCCTATTAATCCATGCTCTATAATTGATGCTAGTAATAGAAGCATTGTTCCCAAGGAACATCCTTCGGCGCTTTGTCATTTTTCCACTTTTGATATCAAATAAAAAAGACATGATTATACCCTAGAACAATAATACTTCAATTTTAGATAAAACATTACAAACAGTGAAAATATAAAAGTATGACTTTAATTCATTATTTTGGTCCTTTATCATCCATTTCATACTAATCATAAATAGGTAAAAAAGAGTATTAAGTACATAGGACAGCATTTTAAGTAAAAATAACTAAAAGATACTAATACATCCACGATGACAGATAGGTATTTAGAATTAACATTTATGAAAAAATTTTTTATTCCTTTCTTCCATAGAATAAAAACATGAGAAATTAAAAAATGGAAGTAAAAGTAAATAAAACAGAGGAAAAAAATTACAAAGGCTAAAATATTGCCTCGTTATGAAATTCAATTTCAATAGAAGTTGCTACGTATCAAATGGTTTTTGATAGATTTTTATAACGGGATGCCACTGGTAATTATCGAGGATAATTATCCAGAATTAATTAGTAAAAATATTAGTTAAACAAATTATGTCATTTGACATATTGGTCCTTGATTCATCTATTGGATTACTTCTCACAAAGGCTTGTTGTGTGTTTATCTGTTCTCTAATTACCAAACATTAACTGTGCTTATAATGAAAGAAATAGGTGGCATGATTAAAATAACTTTTATGTACAAATTATATTTATTTACAATTCATATAAGAAAGAATGTTATATACATTATATTTACAACAATTAATGAACTATACAATTGGTTGTGAAGGCATGATTCAGATGGATGGAATTTAAAATTACATTGCCATTAAATATTTAAACATCTTTGAAAAGGAATTGTTGGGAATTACTTATCTAGTATGGCATGGCTGCATCTGCAAAGTCCATGGGTCATGTTTCAGTCCTCCAGCTAGAAGAAAACATCAGGGACCTCCTCAGGGCCGGGCAGTCCATCCGACATCTCCTCTACGCTGGGCAGTGGCATAGGCTCAAAAGCCTCTCCTCATCCAGCTGTCCTCGCTTCCTTCCCAGCTTGAAGTCTCCTCAGTTCAGTCCCAAGAAGAAGTGTCTTCAGCTGCTTTCCAAGAAGAAGTGGTGTCCTAGTCCAAGTTCTATATTTTTCATCTTTCTTCATCCCCTCTCTTTTGGTAGGGGCAAGAATTGTTCCCATTGGTTCAATTTTTGTAACAGAAGGGATGACCCCACCCCCCAGCGATATGTTGAACACACCCCTTTTTGCAGGTACACGACCGTTTCTTCCTATGCTTAAGAGTTAAAAGCTTTTTGATCCTCTGTAAACATAAGACTGGTCCTTTGGTGTTTTTGCTGACATGTGTCGTCAAGTACTTCTATTGTTAGTGGGTGTGCTAAGAATATTTTCAAGAGTGCTAAAAGGTTACCTCAGGGAATTATCAGGTATCCCGACCACTATCTAAGTAACCACTTACAAAAGGTTGGGTCGGGGGTTTCAGGTACCCGCCCAGGTGTTAGAAATTATTTTTAAATATTATTAATTAACATTAGGCTAAGTTCAATACATAGCAAAGTGGTAATGAAATCATCAACTAACAACCAACCATCTTACTTCTGTTCAGCATTTAAACAGAGATTATTATTAATCTTACTTTTTTTTTTACGATTAATTAATTACTTCAACAAAATAGGTAACAAATATTACTTAAGTAGGATCTAAAAATATGTGTTCTACTACTTGACGTGAAACATGGCCTCCTATGTATCTTGACAATGCTGAAATTCCGCAAACAGATCAAATACAATAATACCTTGGAATGACATTTAACAGAAGAATGACATGGGGCCCACATACCAACAAAAAAAGAAAAACGTTAAATCTTAGACTCACTTCTTTCAAGACACTCAAAATTAAAACTAAAACAGAAACTGAGCACCTACATTTCTTTACTAAAGCCTGCATGGACTTATACTTCTCAAATATGTGGAACAGCCAAAACGGCCCACATACGGAAACTACAAATCTTTTAGTTAAACACTTTTAGGACTATAAATAAAGCTCCATGGTACGTCACAAACATTACTTTACATAAAGATCTAGACATGCCAACAGTTAACGACTGCACAACTTTCACTTACCGCCCTCTTGGCAGAAATAAGTACTTTCAGACAAAGGGGAAGTGAAAGTATAAATTATAGATGCCTTATTTATTTAAATTTCATTGAGGGTATTTTAATTTGTCTAAGTACCCAATTATACACAAATTTTAATATTTATATCGCTGTAATCCATACAACTAAATATTAAATAATCTCTATAACACTTTAAGGCTGTACGGGGTCTTCCCGGAGGGTGTGGGTGGAGATTTAAAAGATTCCCCCGCCACCGGGACACGAACTCGTGATTATTTTAAATCCATTGTCTCATATATCAGGTTGGCGGGCAACGGCGGTGCTGAGTACACACGTTAGCCCGTTCGGCCACCCCACCCACGTGTACATAATATTATCGGAGTTCATATTATATTATGCTCATGTTACATATGGAAGCCTATTCTAATCTTTCGGGTGAGCTTGGGCGCGCTTATATTCCTTTGGTTCCTCCATTGCAACTATTCTCCACTATGATCTCTTATTTCTCCTTTAGTTAAGTATAAAATTCTTTCATATTTTATATTTAACTATTTTTTATTACAGAAATCAATTTGAAATGGTTAATTTTTTCAAATATAAAAAAAAAATTAAAGGTACTTTAGGGGAAGCTAATATTGAAAATTAGCCATTTAAGCCTTGTTAGAGAACATCAATGAGAATAAAATGTAGATTATATTAAAAACTGTTAAATTTATGATGAATTTAATCAAAATTGATAGAGCCATTTATATTAAGTGCCACTTCTGGTTAGCCGATTTTGAGGAAAAAGTTGCTGTAACATCTCAGATAAATAAACAATTTCACTTCCTTATAACTTTTCGTTTTGGAGCTAGACTGGTAACACACACACACACACACACACACCATTTTTGGGGCCTTGGTTATTTGGACTCAGGGGATCTCAAAATGTGTATTTCCGTTGAAAATTGAAATTCAAAAATGTTCACAATCGCAATACTTTCCTTTATTATAAAATTCATATATAGGTAAGTGAAAGTAAAAATTTCACAATAACTTACATGAACATACTAACACACTGATACATGGCCTCGATCAACATGCCCCAAAACACGCTTCAGAGGCTCAAAAGAAGCTAAGCTGGATGAGAGATTTCTTCACCTACAAATATTCTCAAGTCAAGAAGAAATGCCGCTGGGCACTCCTTTCCCTGACGCCAAGGAAGCCACTATTTTCATTTTCCAGACAGGAGACTCGCTAATTGTCAGTACTTCTCACAGGTGTGGGTAAAAAAAATAAAATAAGTGTTCTGAAGTAAAACTCATACCTCATCGTTCCCAGCCCACAGTAGACTCCCAGTTGAATCAAAAGCCAAAGAAAGAACTCTTCCTCCCATGACATTAGAATTCTTTTTGCCTGTAGATATGTTCAGGACTTCGACTTGTCCTTTTGCATTGCCAGCCTATGAATTAGTTAAGGTATCATACAATAAAAAAATTGGAGCATGCATCACACAACTTTTATTTATCACCTTATTTAAATAGAACTGCTTATTTAATGACTGCATAAATAGAACTAGTTAATATTAAAATATTTTTATATTTTTTTATACTTTTATTATGATATTTACAACTGTATGAGTATGAATACATCAAGTAAATTTGTACAGAGAAACATTATTACATGAAACACACTTGTTGAGAAACTACCCACTGGTAGCACTCTAATTAAAATATTTAAATCTCAAATTTGGACTACAGACATTAAAGGCTATTGATATGTTGATATGTTTTTCCCATCTGTTTGAAATATTTTCAAATTCATTAATTTCTTTACATCATCTTCAATGAACAAGTTCCTAAACTCAGCATCGAGTTCATCAATCTCTAAACTTGGCGATATGATTACAGTAATGAACTCCAACACTCAGTTTAAGAACTTGGCAAATTTCAATGATTTATATTTTATGCGTGAATGAAGGAATTATAATTCACCTATTTCAAAATACCTATTAGAAAAAATATTGATTGCATGTTTTATGGAACTAGTGGATGCAAGGCCTAAGATAATGATATTAAGCTTAACTAACATATGTTTTTAGGCCAGGTGGGATATGGACCTTAGTATATCAGCAATAAAAAACACTGTAAAAGCCTAATTATCATGATTATATGCAAGGAAATATTTTATTCTTGATTCAATTCCATAAAGAGTCAATGGTTTCTGTCCACGAACTATTTTAAGATACAAAAAAGGAGATAGTATTAAAAACTTTGGTGCACAGTAAATTACAGAGATTAAAAACTAATTTTAGGGAGCCCATAGCATTAAATCTCAAATATTTTTTTATCTAATCCTATTTATAATTAATTTTAAAAAACAATATAATGAAACTTATTCTAAATTCATTTTAATTAAATTTATACGCTAAGGATACAACAACAAAGTTGTTATTAACAGGATTGAAGAGGCAAGAAAAAAGTTGTGATGGTACAATATCTCTGACCGCCCTGATGCAAATCCCATTTGTTGTATTCCATAGGCATATCTGGCCATCAAGTGAGCTGGTAACAAGCATATCATTTGAAGCAGACCAATCACATCCTAGAATATTAAATTTCTTCATTAATGTTTATAAAAAAAGAATTATGAATCAATTACCAAAGAATGTGTAGAAATATGTACAAAACATTTGTTCATGCAGGTTAAAGTTTAAAAGAAGCTTTCATGAACAATGAGTTTCATTCCCATCCTTATAACTGAATAAACATATTAATTTAAAATCCTAGTCATAAGGGATATGTATGGCAAACATTCTCAGCAAAACATTAGCCAAGATCCCCAGCTTATTACTCCCCAATAATTAGTCATATAAGCCAACATACTTAGTGTTGTAAAAAAGCTCGGTCAGAAGGTTATAAGGCTTGAGCCGAAAAGGTGCGAGCTTTCCCGACTCGTACAAGACTCGAATCCTAAGAGTTCGGCGGAAAAAGGCTCGAGGAGCGGCTCGAACCTTACTTGTTTTTTACTAAGTGTTTATTGATGTTCTTTTTAAACTGTTTTACAATTTTTATAATATAGTAAACTTTTCTGACGTTTGTTAATAGTATTACATCTCTGGTGGTTCCTTGAATCAAACTTTTAACTGAAACAAAGTCTATTGTTTATTGTATTATATAATTCGCCCTAACAAAAAAAAAAAAATAAATTAGAAAAAGTATCATGCACTTACCCAAACATATTGCCATTTTATGTTAAAAAAAATTTATATAATAGTATAACCATCGGTATATTTAATAATGACACTAATTACTTTTAAAAGGTGCTGATTTTTTAAGAACATTTTGTAAATTTAGGCAATCTCTCCCCACCAAAAAAAAAAATTAAAGTAGAAAAAGTATCACCCACCTACCTAAACATATTGCCATTTCATCTTTTAAAAAAATTGGAGGGGAAGGATAAACCCCCCACTCAATAAAAAAAGTAAAACGAAGTATCACCCACCTACTCCTAATAAAAGGCTGGAAGTTAACTTCTTTTTTCCTATCTATTTATTTACCCTATATTTAAAAAATATATTCACATTGCTAATATCACGAGAAAAATAATATATTCACTTTATATTTTGGAAATATATTCACATTACAACAAACAGAAAAAATATATTTGTTTATGAAAATGTACAATAATTTAATTTTTTTTTAAAATTAAAAAACCTCCAGCCTTGGAGGTTTAAAGTTTAAAGGCTCTAGAGTATAGCCTTCATGGCTCAAGTCAAAGCTTGAGTCGGAGCTCGAGGCTTGTTTTTACAACACTAAACATACTGTAGGTAATTCAGAAGAAATAATAAAGGTGACAATAATATACATACAAAATTATAATGTAGTGTCACTGGACAATAAAGTGCTTAAATGCAAATCTGGTCAAAAAGTAAGAATATATTAGCAGGTCCTAGAAAATCACCTAACTCTTGGTAATCGATTTTAACCAATTTATTGCTGACATTAAACCTAGATGTTTAGTCACACTGTCTTTTAACTTTCTATCATAACCACCTCTCTATGATTATAAGTCTTCAAATAAGCTATCCAAATTAACAAAATAGAAAACATTGAAATTAATAAAAAAAAACACATATTTTTATTACTGCAGTTATACAAGTTCCCAGCAAAAATAATTACAAAGCTTTAATTTTTAGTTTTTCTGTTACCTTTGATGCATTATAATACATTAATTGTGAAAATACACTTTTTACTAGAAAAAAATATGTAAAATTTTAGAACTTTATCATGAAATAGTGTTTTTTATACAGTTATCTTTTATGGAAGTTGATCCTTATTTGATAAGTGATAATTAAATGTTTCTAATCCTAATATTTATGTTTTCATGAAAATAATGCAAGCAATCTTATTATTATGTAATATTAATTAATAATAATAAGCTATTACTTTAAATTGGTAATGATATCCTCAATCTTTAGTGGCATGATAATTTTTAGTTACCCTATTATAGTGATACAGATCTAAGTGATCTGACAAGAAAAGCATAAATGAATACATATTTGAAGACCCAGATGAAACATTGTTGCTGTACAAAACATATAATTGCATTATATGTATTAATAATTTTTTATCCATTGAAAAAATTCTCTAACATTTATTTTAATAGCATGATTACTGAGCAATTTGCTTATTTATAATATATAAAATGACGTATAAAAATATTATACTACAAATACAAAACAATTTTTCATTACAAGTATAAATAAATGCTCACCAGTAACAGAAAGAGTATGGCCCCTCAATATACACTCTAGCATTGGTGGTTGTGTTAAAACATTACAAATAGAGACAGTGGAATCATTAGAAATACAACACAGTCGAGCACGATCATTATTAGCAAATTTTACCATTGTCACTGCAGCAGTATGCTATGAAAGTAAGACAAACATAAAACTAGGGAAAAGGGAAATAGTTTTTCAAACATACAAAATAATAATCATAATCTTAAAGCTATTAGAGTATAATTTAGTTCATATCACAATTTCTACTCAAGCTAACAAACAATTATTGTAAATTGTAAATCAAAATAGATATCAATCTGTAACCAAATATCAAAGCAGAATCACTCAAGACCAAAAAACAATTATTTTGTTCTTATACAAATTCAGCAAACAAATAATCCGTAACAATGAACTAAGTTATGATACATTATATAACATTATTAAAATATAAAATATCTGGTGTGCCCCCTCACACAACTTTCTTACAGATTTCAGACAATTTTAAACTACTATAAATTTTAGCTTAAGAAGTATTTTTATATTCTTGGCGCTACAGTCCTGTAAGAACCTGGGCCTCTCTTATGATCCTGCGCCAATCTCTTCTATCCCCAGCGAGCATTCTCCATCTTCGAATTCCTATCCTTTTCAGGTTGTCCTCTACCTGGTCCAGCCATCTCAGCTGTGATCTTCCTCTTCCACGTTATCCAACAGGCCGATCCTCTAGCAAGCGTTAGGGAATCGCGTCTCGGGGCTTACACGCCACATGGCCCAACCATCTGATCTGGTTTCCCCCACAATTAAGACCAAATCCGGCATCGCATACATTTCATATAGCTCTTTATTTGTGCGAATTCTCCATTGTCCCTGTTCGCACACCAGACCCTAGATCCTGCGGAGAACCCTTCTCTCCCATGCGAGTAGCCTTTTCCCCGATGCTTTGGAGATTGGTTTCTCCAAGTCTCCGAGCCATAGGTGACGACGGGTGTGATGACTTTCTCATACATCGTGATGATTTGTTGATCTTGATCTTCAAATACAGCCCGAGCAGGGACCAGCTTTCTATCATTGCCAGCCATCAGTATTTGAGCTGTGCCCAGCAGTACATATCCAAGGTGTAGGTCAGACCAGTGCTGAGGTTAGGATCAGAACCAAATCAAATAAACATAGTTTCTTGAGGAAGGGTCTACTTGATGACAGTTACAGTTGGAATCCTCTAAATGTATGAGGCTGTGGTGCTTCTTTCTACAAAATGTACAGCTCCATTCTGAGTTACATTTTGAGAGTGGGTGACCTTCGTGAAAGAAATTTTGCCAGCACTTGAGGCTTCTGACAAATGCTACCCTTTCGTGAAACAGTGAATTGCTGAATTTGAAGCATGAGGATAGAATTTGATTTTGTTGATAGAAAGGGCAAGATTTTTGTTGATGGTTTTTTTTTGTTTAGATTGAGCAATTGTAGGTGTTCTATGAGATGTTGAAGTGTGGCGGCTAAATTTTCTAGTGTTATCAATTGTGAGGCTCAGTACTGCTGAATGTTACTTTTAATAGTACCTTTGAGAACTCCTTGCGGGGCTTAAAGGCTTTGATGGAATCAAGTGTGTTTTCTCGGACGAATTGAAGTTTAAAGTTGTGTCAAAGTCTCTAGACATAGTTATTGCATTTTTCTTTTGGCGGACAAAACCAATAACATCGCTGGCTTTGGGGAATGATATATTTGAACTTCGGGAAATTTCAAAATTTCTCTGTGTTTGAGAATCTATGGCTCTCAAAGTGAGGGACACCAAAATGAATTCTTCTGGTTCTTTTAAAGACTTGAAATCATCAATGCTGTCTGCTAACCTAGTTAAAAATTGATTATACCACTCTATCTCGGATTTTGCTGTTTAGCAATAACATTCAAGGATCTTTTGAATGAATAAAGATGAGAGGATTCTTGGGTAATTTTAATTGTCATGAAGGCTTTTCCAAGCTTGGGATTATGTTCTTTCTTCGACTCAGAAGCGTGAAATAAGTGAGGCAACTTCTCTTCGAACTGCACTAAGGAGGTAGTGAAACTTCTCAATATTGGCCATTGATAAGAAGGTCTCCTTGGAGTGGGTCCACACAAGAAGACTGCCTGAAAATGAAGGTAATGGAATTTGAGGGAGGTGAACTCTTGCTGGTGTTGCTAAGCTCATGTTGAAGGATGGTGAAGCATGAGCATCTTGTGACCACAAAGATTGGTCACATTGAATTTTCATCAAGTGTGATTTTGCCGTGATTATCTACATCTTAGGGTGTCATAGACTTCAAGCCAGTCTTGAGTGGGAAATTCTGAATTCATTTGTGAGTGGAGTGATTCCAGATCTTCCCAAATTACCTTAAATTTTCCCCATTCAGAGACAGTGATTTCGAGACTTGCCTTAAAAAACAAGGCTTCATCTGCATTAGAGATTGGCAGGCTTCTGCTGTGCCGAGAATTTTGTGTTTCAAAGAGCAAAGGTTTCGCTCATGAATAGCAATTAGATATTGATGTTCGACGATAGAATTGGGCATGTTAATTACATCAATTGTAGTACTGAACAACCGAGTAGAAGAAAATAAATGGGGAAGTAAGAGACTTTAACGTGAAAGAAGTAAAATAAATGAAAAAAATTTAGAATCAGAAGATAAATCACAAGTGGCAGTATAATATATTAAGAAAATTGCATATCTAATGGAGCGCATAATTAATAAATGCTGTAATGCGAATGAAATGAATAGAATGTGACACTATCCAACAAAAGTGTGATAATGTGGAACAAATTTTTAAGAGAGGTTTGTGCCCACAACATATTATACACGTCAACTAAAACAATTGAGGTAAAAGTGTTTTGTTATTATTACATTTGTTTTTGTCTATTTCAATCAAAATTATCAGTGTTCACGTTATAAACATTGATAGATAGAAGACCATCCTGACCAGATTGTTCACAAGTACCAAAAAATCAAATGAGAGTGTACACACTTTACCAATGACTGAGATTAACTGTTCAGGAAAACTTTACATCAAAATGGTGGCAAAGTCAGAATTATACAGAACTGTTTTCTTCATTTTTTTTTTTCAGAGGTTGATCCCTGAATGCTCCATTAATGAACAAAAGATTATTAAAACATGTGATATCTTTCTTCACTACTCGATTTAGTATGGAACATGTTCAACTGAGGATTAATGATTATTGATGAACCCACCTAAGGAATGAACCTCTTGGAGCTTGATGCATCTACTTACGAGAAATTGAATACCCCATTATCATGAAAGAAACTGCAATTATCACCACAATCAAATGGCCTCAACTCCTTCTGGATTTGCTACAGTAATACACCTAGTTCAAATTCAGCTTCCATTTCTTTTAAGCCAAATGTCTAGCACTCCTCAGTGATGAACGTGTCCCCTACTGAACCGAGGATAACATGACATAAACATTTAACAATTACCTGGTCAAAAATATGATGAACACCAGCAAATGCATAATTTTCAGATATACTGCTGTTACCAACTATTGCTCTGGATGCTTCTGCTTCCTTTGTGGGTGTAAGAATATCATCTTTACTAGCAATAGATTTATCATCCCATTCTTGTAAAGATATTGCATTATCTGGACTGGCCTAAAACAGATAAATCAACGCATAATTTTTAAATGCTTTGATATAAATTGAATAAAATAGTTAAAGTAATTCCAGGTCTAACTTATTTATAGCCATCTTATTAAGATTTTTTGGGAATATAAATAGAAAATATATTCTTAATCTGAAATATACACTTAATGTGTGACAACTAAGAATAGCTACTTCAGTCAACTCTATATTTGTGAGAAATTATGAACATGGAAACATTGTAAATAAAAATAAAATTTAATATAATATAAGTTATCAGGTGATTAATACTGATGTGAACTTTATATCATTAATTCTGGGGACTGAATTATAAAATAATGATTTTGGTCAGTAGTCAACTTCTAAACTGTATATGTACTACTTCTAAAGTGTCATTCCATTATAATGGATGGGAAAAAGATCAGACTAGCCAGTAACATCTATCTTTTGGCAAGTTAAATTAGAAACCATAACTTGACAAACTAATCTAAGTAATAAAATAAAATTGACAAATATCTTAATAAATTTAAAAAACAAAGATAAAGATGGACAGAAAATTTGAAAAGTTTAATCAATAAGTAATAGACAAGAAAAACAATAAATATCTTTAAATCGTATAATTTGACATTTTAAGTGTAATATAACATAAATATTACATAATAATCAAAAATAGTACAGCAGGTCATATATAAATTAAATAATTATGCAGATCATCAGTCGGAAAAGTGTTAATTAAAATATTCAGCTCGTATATATACTAAAAGTTAGGGATAAGTCGGTTCACTATTACTTATATTTAATAAAAGAAAGGATCAGAAATGGATTGTGTGCATATACTTTTGGATATATTGTAACGGATATCACGGTACAAATCAAACTTAATCCTGTCCAGTGGGCCCAAACATTTATTTGATGTATAAATGAAATTTAGAGAACAGCCTACCTCTACCAGGTCTGACTATAACCTACCTTTATTTTGTTTGTAATTGATGATTTCCCCAAACTTCCGACTGGTCCTATTCAGTTAAAATCAAGGCAATAGTTAACTTTAATTACATTGCTTCTTATTCTGAAGAAGTAAACAAACCCCCAATGGGACCTTCTAAGTAAAAGTTGGGGCCTTACCAGACAGTTCAGTAACTTCTGTCTACTTTCAAACACACTCTACCATTTTCGGGATTCCATTCATAGTGTGCTTATGAAATCTTGTGCCACTGATGAAAGTGGAGTGGCATTTGTACAGTAGTACCTATTCTTGAATATTCTCAGAATTGTATCTAGAAAGTGGAGTTATGATCTTAGTCCATCCATCATATGTCGGAGTGATTCAAGTAAAGTTGTAACGAATAGAAGACCAGGCAACAAATTAATAAAGTTTGGATCATTACAAAGACATCATGAGGATTGCAAAAGCTCCGGTGGATAAGATAATGATAAGGGGACTGGAATTTGAGTACAGGAGTTACAATTCTAAGCCACTGAGCAACACCACAATTAAAAATTATAGAAGTCAAGCAACTTAAATCATCTTTACCCTGTTAATGCTTTGCCTCCTCAAACTAATCTGGTCAATAGCTAGACCATAACGATTTTGTAAAATAAGACCTCTTATTTTCAAATACTCTTTCCAAAATCCATGTTCCTTACATGTCCCAAATTCAAGTAGTAATTGATTCCTCCTTCTTATGTAAAGAGTACCTGCATAAAAAGACCAAAGAGTAACAAGTGGATAAAAAATTACAAAGGCATCAATTTCAAAAGTAATAATTACGAAAATTCGGATTGTTTTTAGCTCGCACGGCATTGTATTTAGCATCTAAAGCGAATACAACTTGGTGCCATACTACTGCCATTGATAACAATCAATGCCAATTTCAGAACATAGCCTCAATATAACAAAAAACTTAATATACTTTAATTCATCTCAAAGTAACTATGGTTAAAGTGTGAGAAGGTTATTATTATGAATGGACAAGGAGGATAGTGCAAGTTCTTAACATACCGCTAATTCGGTATTATATAGATCCGGTTAATTAACCATTGAAGCATTTCTCAAACTATGGCTATTGTTCTGACGTCCCTTTCTTTCTCAAATTTGTCCCGATAATATCCATATATTGATTAGTACACTCCACAATCATATCGATTATATCTTTAGTTTAAAAAGCATTTCCAACATTCTAGTTCGGTTTTGGTGTTTTTGGCTGTGACCTTTACACCAGGCAGGTGAACAATAGTATAATGAGAGCTGGAGCAACGAATATTTGGTGGACGCTTCTTAAACCACTTCTTAAACCAGCTATGGACAGCTACTTCAGCTGTCTTTAGGAACAATTTGATGGATTCCGGCGGAGGGTTTATATTTCTGGAAGATTACAAAACACGTGAAATTTTAAAAAAATGCATAAGGGAATAAATACCTCTTAGATTGTTGAATTTCAAAACAGAAATAAAATATAATAAGAAAGTAAACGAAATATAAATATTTAAAGTCATGAAAGAAAAAACATTATGAAGTCACGTTAGGTTACTAAGCAGATGGGTGAACAAGAAGCTACAGACATTCGTCAATAGATGTCTGCGGAATATATAGCTTGTATGGTGGTTTGAAACAATCTCTAATGCCGAGCCATTCATGGTCGCGAACTAATCAAGCCCCGATAGTTCAGATCATTTAACGTCGGGAACGAAGATGGCTGAGGCATACGCTTAGAAAGGAGCACAACGACATAACACGTTAGAATCTAGAGTGTAACCCTCAAGGCTTGTGAAGAAGCGGACGGCTTAGAGAAATATAAAGGAATCTAGAGAGAGAAATACGCAGCGCCGGACAGACCTGACCTGGAGTCAAGCAGCTAGCTAAAGAGCGAGATGCATGGCACAACTTTGTGACGGAACTATGCCCCACTTAAGGGATTCCATGATATAATACTAAATACTAAACGGAATATAAATATGTAAATTCGACTTTAAAAAAAAAACAAGACTAAAGTTATGAGGTCACGTCCAGTGGATCAATCGACCCTAAAAGCCTTCTGTAGAATGCCAACGGGTTGATACAGTACAGTACTGAACTAGACTTGTACTTTCACGAAAAAAGGATCGACATAGCACTCATTACTGAAACATTTGACATCTCGATTAAATATTCACATCTCAGATTATACTATTTAACTGATTGTTTAGCCAAAACTTCATATGAAGAAACAGCAATGCTCGTTCACTTGAAATTCAAAAATTCACTTGAAGATATTCCCATAGATTTGCCTTATTTTTTTTATCCACTCCTTCCTCACCTTTCGCCTATACGGGATTTTTCCCGAGCAAGGAGTACTTAGTTTACTTCCTCTCTTTCCAGGCACAATCTTAAATCGACGTTTTCTGTGTTTTTCAAACGCCTTAGAAGATGCTTCAACACAGATGGTAACTATAAAGCCAAGCAGCAAGGCTGGCGCCCAAGGTTGAGTACCAAGAGACAGAAATCTCTGGTACCGTCCTCCATGATGGGTCGATTGATCCACTGGATGAGCTCGTCGATGACATTGTTTCACACAATTAAGGGATACTGCCATCGATGAGCTCAAGTTTAGGAACTTGCCCATACTTTGGATGTAATCCAAGGAGGTGTATATTGTACATAATTTACTCCTCCCTGGCTGTTGGTCAGGGAACAAAACAATATCGATTAATCGTAGCCAAACTGTTTTGAATCCCCTGTCACTTAATAACCCTATTGTTTTAATACTATGAGTCCTAACATGTTTCTTTAAATAAAGAAAAAAATTGGATTGGGGTTAATTTTTAATAACATAGGTCGACGCTATATGATAAAATTGCTGTAACTATGTCACTAGTGATGAGCCCTACTGAATTAATAACTATTATTATACTTTTGTTGCTTCCGATTATGTATGAACACAGTCATACGTTTCGCTATTATTTAAAATTTGTTATTTATTATGGTCTCATAATGTTAACATCTGTCCTCGTAATACCAATAATGATTTGGAAACCAAGAAATGTTGAAAACTTAATGTTAGTGTAGTGACTATTTTTAACAATATCATAATAGTTCTTTCATGAATATTCATTTTATATTATTTTTTTAGATTAGCTTCATTCTTATGTAGACATATATCTGATATTTTGGGACTTCAATGGGAACTGAGAGGAGGGGATTATTTAAAAAGAAAAGAACCTTGTGTAATAGTAGCTAATCACCAAAGTTCTATTGACATTCTAGGTCAGTAAGAAAAATATATAACACAGATTAAATCATTGTTCCTTAACTTCTTTTATAGTTGCATTAACATGTCTGCGTACTAAGTTCCTACCCTATCCTTAAAAGTATTTTTCTACGAACCAGATTTATAAGGACAGAGATTATCAAAAATGTTGGTTTAGCCATGGAAATGCAATAAATAAAAGTAGTGAAGATAAGAATATTTTCTCTATTGTATGGAGTTTTATATTTTTATCCTCCCATTAATTTTATTAATGGAATATGATCATCATATTTCCATAAGCTGATATGATAAAATAATATATGAAATTTCAGGCATGTTCGAATTATGGCCGGTTATGAGAAGATGTACTGTAGTAGCAAAAAAGGAGTTACTTTATGCCGGACCATTTGGAATAGCAGCTTGGCTTTGCGGACTTGTTTTCATTGATAGACTGAATTCTGAAGCTTCCAGATTAGCTATTAATAATTCAATTAAGCATCTTGATGAAAAAAAAGTATTATTACATTCATGCGTTTGCTATTGCTTTTTGTCTTTTATTTATATGCATTAATTTCATTGCCTATTTATGTTTAGATTATTTATTTTCTGTTACTTCCTACATGAGCGAGAAGTTTCATAATGCCTGATCATCTTAGTGAATGTTAGTATATTGTTTTAATTTTATTTTTTCATATATATTTTTTTTTGTTTTTTATTCTAAGAAATATTCATTAGCATGTGGAAATAGGTGTATGATGTTTGTTTTAGACTTTTTTTCTACCATGATATGAACGATTTTCTTTAATTTAGTTTGCTACATTTAATATATTCTTTTTATCAGTTAATATGAAAATGTTTTCAAAAATCTATTTTCTTGAATAATTTTGTACACAGTTCTGGTTGAAAATTACAATTAGATTTCTTAAATCTTATTTAAAATAATAATTTGTTATGGGATTAACCTGAATCAAAAATTCTATGTAAGCCATCTTCAAGCGACAGAGTTTAAAAGTTCTAAAAATTGAAAACATTGAATAAAATATGATTTTAAAAAAAAATTAAGTTATAAGCTAATTGATTGTCTCTAATAAAGTTTCACTTCATTTGTTTTTCATGATTTTTTTATCTAGAGCCATTCATCAATGGCTTGAGTGTATATAATGGTATTGTGAGAAAAGAGTTATACATGGTGATCGTGGAATTTCCTATACCCAGGAAACTTGCATGACTTCACTATGCTACAATAGATGTGGAAAATTGATTGTAAGAATACAAAATTAATATTACCAAGACTTTAAATTGGTGGCTTGAGTGCAGTAGGAAAACACACTTGCATTTCTGCCATTTAATATTGGAATGGAAAGAGCTATGAGAGATTCCAGTGTACAGATTACTGATACAATTCTTTATTGAATTGTTCAAATTCTTGAATATATCGATGACCTCGACATAATAGGTTCCACATGAGAGTAGAAACATTTCTCATATTAGAATACTCTGCAAATAAAAGTGGACTCATCATAAATCCATCCATGACAATGTATATAAGTCTAAGAACAGATCACACAACTGGATAAGTGGTTGAATTTAGAAAATTTCTGATCTGAGACTAGATTCCTTGAGTGAACTTCAAGGTAGAGCACTGATCTTCCAATGCTCACGATCCTGGGTTTGAATCTCGGGCTCGTGGCAGAAAAATTATTTATTCTTTTTCATCAGCCATGAGACCCCTCCTGGGGCACACCCAGCCTCTATAAAGTGGATACCCTTAATTAAATAATTAATTAAGAGGAAAAACCTGGTGGTTGAGCGTGATCTCGGTCAAATCACCTCCTTGCACAACCGTTGCCTAAGAAACAGTGCTTTCCCTAAATAGTACTGAACCCAAGACCCTTCACGATTTGTAGTGGTACAGGTTTATATTTATATATATATATATTTTTTTTTTCTGTTGGCCTTACAAACCATGCAGATCTTTTGCCGCCTTAACAAGCCTACTCCATCTCTGCCTGTCATGGGCTATTTCTTTCCATTTATCTGCACACAGATCTATTGCATCTTTGTTGATTCTATCTATCCATCTGCTTTTTGGCCTTCGACGTGGTCTTTTACCTTCTATTGAGGCATTCATTGTTATATAGAGGCTTCCAGATAGATTGCTACAAGCTACATGCCCTGTCCATCTTAACCTCTGTGCCTCCATACTATGGGATATTGACTGACCAGTTTCTGTAATCAGTTCTTAATTGGTCTTTCTTCTCCATGTGTTAGTAATCTGATCCCAGATCGCTTCGGTTAATGCACAGAGGATTTTTCTCTCAAATCTTTATATATACACATTAAAATAGAACATTGGTTATCAAAGAAAATCAAAAGCTATGAATATTATGAAAATGGATAGTAAAGCTTCTATTTCCATTTCTTATTAGAAGATAGCATGATCTGACTTGGCATATAACATAAAAAAAACCTGTACTATTACAATGAAAGATCCTTGATCCAGCACTATGTAACTTCTATTTCTAGGCTAATGGTTGTGCAAGGTGATTTGGCCAAGATTGCACTCAACCGCTAGATTTTTCCCCTTAATCAATTAAGGATACCCATTTTGGTTGGATTTGTCCCCAATGCTTAATTGATTGTAATACTGGTTTATGAACGTATCACCAAAATGAAGAAATTGTAAATAGAGTTGATAATTCCATCTTATGTAAAATCCTAATTTTAGACAATATTTAATAGAAAATCCATAGTGTATAATTCTTTTATAATATACTACCATATATTATTCCTTTATAGATTAAAATGTGGGTTTTTCCTGAAGGAACTAGGAAAAATACTGGAGAGATTCATGCTTTCAAGAAAGGTGCATTTCATGCTGCTATAACTGCTCAATTACCTATTCTTCCTGTCGTCTTCACAAGATTTTATTTTCTCCAATCAAAAGAATGTGTTTTAGAACAGGGTAAAATATATTTGATTAATAAAATACAATTTTGAAATAATTATAATTAATATTTATTTATATTGTTTATTAATTTAGGGAGGATAATAATTACAGTGCTCCCTCCAATGGAGACTTGTGGCTTGAGTTTAGATGATTTGCCACAACTAATGACTACAACACATACTACTATGTCCCACGTGTTCACAACTACATCAAAAGAACTCTTAGAACAGCTAAAGGAAGATAGGAATTCACCTCTACTCCATCCTTCTAAATCTTATTTAGTTGATAATTAGTTACATGTATTATTTTGTCATTTATTATTAAATCCTTCAGGACATAACAATGAATGACCTTTATCTAAGCTGTGGACAAAATGAGGCTTGGATCTAAAGAAAATATTTATGTTTCTGAAATATATTTTGTGAACATTGAGGAAAAATATTGCATCATGACTAAAAATTGTAATTTTATCCAAAAATCTTGATTATTATTTTCATATGATCTCATTATTTCCAAAAATAAATCAGTTCTGAAGGCCACCAAGAGATGGGTGTTTTAATGCTATTCCCTAGACAAAATTAATGCATCTTTTTTCAAACAGCAAACTGATGAAGAAAACTAAATCCGAAAACAACTTTTCAGGAAATACTAAAATTTGATCTTCTATTCTCTTTTTCTTCAAACTTAAAATAGTTCCAAATAACCTTTTAGGATGAAGCACCTCTTCTAAAATAATTTTTTTTTTCCATTATTCTATATTTGCTTTTGCTTGTGATCTCAGCTAAATACTTAAAATTTGACTAAAAAAATATTTAAAAAACTACTAAAAGCATTATCATTTCTCTAATTAATTTTTTTAAACAGGCATTCAAGGACTATTTAAACATAATTTTGATTAGTTTTTTTCTTCTATGTTTCTTTTCTTTTATTAAGAGAAAATGGGAGAGGGAAAGCGTCCCAAAATGAAACTCTGAATTCGACAGTGGTGTAAACTGTTTGTTGAAACCTACGTTTTGACGTACTTTGCATGTCTTCTTCAGAGCTAAATTAAAGACACAAAACAATGTAGAATATTGGAAGAATGTAAAGTTAACAGTAAAGACATATGGAAAACGAAACAACTATTAAGAGTAAAATTAAAATATAGTAAGAATGTTTAAATGTAAAACAATAACTGATATACAATTTATTATAATTGATATAAATATATACTGACAATAATCGACAGATATCAATAGAGGTGGTAAATTCAATTAATCATGATTTTAGAATATGAATAAACAATGGTTTTTATTTAACACTTTTGTCATTAGTTATTAGGCCATCAGGCTCCTGGCAGCCCAATGCAATTCCGCCATAGCTTTTTCTCCAATTTGTTGATTCCATTGCTTATGTTTGTCCCCATCAGAAAAATTACTGCGAACATCTGACAGAGCAGGGCATACTGGAGGTGCAGGTCGTACATCTCATCCTCCTGGCAAAGAGGGCACACAGGGCTTTCCATCACTCCAATCCTAAGTAAATGCCTTTGCAGGTAATCATGTCCAGTCATCATGCAGAAATTCACCACCAATACTTTCCTATTTTTTGTTTCTTTCCTCGGACCCTCTGTTAAAGATTCCCATTTTTTTCCTGCTGCCTTTTGTTTTTGCCAATTCTGGTTCTCTTCCTTGAAAAAGGATTTTTAGATATTTTTCACAGAATCACTCAGATTCCCTTTTTAATTAAATTACTAATCCCATCTCAAACACTTGTGACATCAGGATGGTCCAGGCCATTTCAGATTGCCAGTATGGCTGCTTGTGAATCGACAAAGAACAGAACCTGGCTGAGTTCTTTCTCTATTGTAAAGAATATAAACAACAATAAAAAATGTAAAGATAAAAAGAGAAAGGAAAATATTCATCTCTGTACTTCTAATATCTTACTTGAAAAATATTTCCTCTCTCTTTTTATCTTGTTTAGTTATACTATATTCATGATTAATCAGATAGTTATCTAGGGATGTTGTGTAATGGTATAAATTAGGTCCAATAATCCAAGCTCTGCCTTATGCTGACTTAATATTTTTGCTGAAAGCGTTAAGCCTTGAAGGTAAGAAACCAGGGAACAATTTTCTATTGTTTATCAGTGATGCAACCTTCATAATTATTCCAATTTCTTCTTAAGTGTGAATAATAATACATTTCATTTTAAATATAGTCCAATGAATTGATGAAAAGCACATTGAGTTTTACTATTCTTCAACCTTGGGATTCTTATTGAGAATTTGGTTTTAATTTTTTTATGTATATCGCTGGAAAACATGGAGACTAATTAAGTTCCTTTCACCACTTGAAGGTGAATGTACAGGTCAAAAAAACATGTTGCCGATATAATAACAGTTATTTTCAATATCAGGTAATGAGTATTGGTCTGTTTCCTGTAAAATAATTCACCAGAATCAGACAGAATTCCTGAAACTTTCTAGAACTATGTGGGTGAAAATAGCATCTCAATTCACTCATGTTAGTCTATGAAATGGTTAGGACATATCCTGATAATGGACTAAGCGAGAAGGCTGTACTATGGGAAACCAAATGTAATTAGGTCTGAAAGAAGACCGAAGGCAAGACGATGGATGTTTAATATAAAAAAAGATTTAAGAAAAAATGGAACATACATCAGGTGCGCGGCAAACAGAAATGAATGGGCAAAGGCAATTGAGCAGGCCAAGGATCGCTATCGCTATGATCGATATGTCTCTGTTGTGCCAATAATGAATGAATGTTCCCTTTCACAATTGATAATTTGCTTAAATAGTTAAGACCATTTTTCAGGGTTTATCAAGAAGATTAATGAAGAATTTTGATTCCTAGTTTGTAAATTATTGATGAAGATTCAGAAGATATTAAAGGATAAACATAAAATAAAAAGAAGTATGGTCATTGAAATATTGATGCATATTTATTTTTCTTAAGACTTAGTAGATTCTTATTTATTTTTAAAACAATATCTTGAGGTTCTTTTAAAATATGGAACAGCCAAACCTTCTTAAGCTTATTTTAGGCACTGCTAAGAAATATCTCAGGAAAGATTCATAAATAAACAAATTTGTACTTTCACCTCTAGAGGAATCAATTATGTTTTAATATCAACAAATGAATAAGCAACTTATTACTAATATTATTTTTGTTTTCATAATTGCATGTAGAATATAAAATAAATCTCACATATTCAATTATTTCCTCTCATATAGCTAGCTACATGAGAAGGTAACTGTATATCTAAAGAAACTTTGAGCTTTGTTAAATCTAAATCTTAAAATAGATTGCTGAGATAGGGTAAAAATATTCTAATCGAATACAAAAACTCTACTATAAAATTCTTGACTAACAAAGTATTACATACACTATTTTAACAATAAAATCGTGGTTAGCATACAATCATATGTAATTTCTGAACAAAATAAATTGTATAAAGATAGAAAAAAAAAATTATTAACTATGAACCCTTCATAGACATATATATACATTATGCAGTTTAAAAATTATCTCACTTAATCAAATTGTCTACTCTAAAGTGTTCACGCCCTTTTTCCCTCCCTTCACACCAAGCTTTTGCAATTGTTCTTTTCATATCATCGTCACCTTCAGTATACATCTTCTTCATCAAGTTCATAAGGCCCTGTGAAGGATCCTCATTTGAATTCATGTCATCCATATCTTTTTTCTGAGCATCCTTCAATTTCTGATCACTAAGAGTTAAATGTTTCCAATCAATAGACTGACTCTTGCTGAGATAAACAATTACCATATCTGCAAAAAATAAATTAATTCATCATTATTCAATAATTTCCTTGGCATATGAATAAAGATAAGGCACTTTATATATAGTGTAAAAAATTAATAATTAATAAAACTAAGCAATGATAATTTCAAAATTAAATCTAAATTCAAACATAGTACTACTAACCTGTTTTTACCTTCCAGTGACTTTTGGTTTCATCAATATCATTCAGAAGGTTGTTTATAACAAGAAAATAGTTTCTATTATCAAGTCCATTAACTCTTAGCTCAACTGACCTGGAATTCAAATTAAAAGATACAGTTAGTGTCATTTTATTCGGAATTCTGATGCTTTTTATCCATAATATTAATTTCAACATTTGAATTTAGAAATAAAATATCATCTCTAGTAGCTTAAAAAATAAAAAATCCTATAATTTTATTTAGTAGGATCCTTATCAAATATGAAAAATTAATTCTCTAGTTGTCAATGAACACTGGTAATAGTGAATTACATAATAAAGATAAAAAAATCTGGTGTACGCACAACTTTTACTGAACAGAAATTCTTGTCAGGCAAAATTGGTATTCTAACATTTTTAATGTTTATTGTCTGGTATGCTGAAGGTTTGGATTTCGCATGTAGTTGGACATTGGGTAGACCAGATTTTCGTGCAGTAAAAATTCATAGCATGTAAAATTGTCTAATTTACACCTAAAAACGTGCAAATATCATCTATTTAGTTTAATTTATAATATTAATAGATCGAAATCCTATCACACCTTATGTTAAGCTTCTGAATTAAAATACTGTCAAAAAAAATTAATGCAGTCGTCATATTTTTTTTTATGAGCGTAACCTGTATTTTTTTCTATTACAGAGTAAAATTTTTGAGATGTAATTTTTCTATTTCACAATTGATTTTTTAAAGAATTTCTCAAACAGTTTCTATAATTCAAATTGGTTTATTAAGTGACAAATTTAGAGATATTTGCGAAAAATTTGTCAATTGTGATTTTATAATTGTCAAATCATATATTATTGATGCCGAATTCATGACAGTCTACGATTCACTTCAAATCTGGAAGGAATACTGAAGGATTTAAAGAAAGAGTGAGAATTCAAGTCAAAATAAGGAAGGCAGTTTTTTTTATTGAATTACTTCAGGCAAGTTCTATTCCAAGAATAGCCTGTCTGCATTTGTGTTTACTTAGTCCTTTTGTAACTTTAAATTCGAACCTTTGCCAGTGAGAGAATTATTTACCTTCTTCATACTTTTCTTTTTTAAATTATAAATTTAAACAAGCAAGTGTTTACACACACGCATATATATTTATATTTATAAATCGTGCAATTTAAGCCAAAAACGGCGAAATGTGCAAAATCAAATTTAAATATATTATTCTACAGATCCTGATGCAAACGAATAAAATATGCAATAACATGGAAATCCAGTCTCTAGTTATAACATTTTATTCATATTTTTTTAAAATAGCATCTTCAAGATAACTATCTGGGATGTAGGGGTACCCAAAAGAAGGTTCCATGGCGCATATAAATATTCGGAGTAAAAAGTTTCAAACCAGAGAACAATGAGAAAACCATGGACCAGACCACAGTAAGTGTAATTGTATATGATCTATGATTTTCTTAATTCTAGTTTGGCATGCTCTGTTTATAAGAAGAGGAGAAGAAATAAATTCCTCTAGATGGGGGGTTAGTTCATGCGCCATCAACCTTGAGGGAGGATGGGTACTCCTGCGGGGATGAAAAAATATTTTAGACTCAAAATGTGATATATATAACAAAATTATTATTATTATTATTCGAGTATTAGTATTGCATAGATAACTGTATAACAGAAGGTAACATATACATTTTTGATTTATAGAAGGTATACACCAAACCTGGGTGAAAAGTATATTAAAATACTCATGGGGATTAAAATTGTATTTTAGAAACACAAACTATTTAATATATTAAAACTAAAATTAAATTAAAAATGAAGATTTTTGCATGGATGTACACAACTTTACACTTTTTGGGTTTTCATAACATGAGTTTGCACATTTTGACTTTTTTTACTGCACAAAATTCAGTCTCTAGTTATGAACGCCTTAAACTAGGAAAACCTGTTACTATTTTTCAATACTGACAACAAATAATCAACTTTAACATACTGTTATTGTAAAACAACCAGAATAGAGTAGAAGACATGATAAAGTACGATTAATATACAGATCTTTCCTGGGTATTATTAATCAGATCAACCTCAATAAGACAATTCCTTTGGATTGATAGCAGACATTTTTTAAGCAGTACTTTAAAATATAGGAATGACTGGAAAATTTGGCTTCCAAATAATTTGACTCAAAACAAAAACTATTGAGGTGTTCTCAGCCTGAACGAGGGAGAAACTATGTAGTTAAAGATAAACATTATTTTGATTAAAGTATTTTCAATGTTCCTTTTAATTTTTTTTTTATTAATATGAAATCTGCATTATTAATTAGTGGCAATGGTACACCTTATTGAAAATTATTTAACTGAAAATATACCTTGCAGAAAACTTGCAAAATATTTGCACTGCTTCAAGAGACTGCACATTCTTAAGTGTGACAAAGAGCTTCACAAACTTGTCAGATTGATCCCATGCTGAAAAAATCAAAAATAAAATATAATTGCAAAATGCAAAAAAACAAAATAGTCAAGAGATAAACATTTCTGATAATTAATTTATCCCACAATACACTAGACATCCACCAATTCCAATATATTCTATTCCTTCCATTTTCAGATCTTTAGTTTACTACTCATGTTCTGAGAAAGCAGGATATGACATAAATAAGTACATAGTTATAAATATGTAACAACTAATTATTATTTGCACCCAAATGTTTTGGTCAAGAAAAAAATATATTCATGCATGTTTATATTTTAGGTGAAATTATATTTTACTACATAAGAGACTGTATTTTTCACCACATTTATTATCATTTCTTCGCCACAATGGCTACGTTTCGGCTGCGATGCCATTTTTAAGCAATTTAGTTAATATTGCTCATTAAATATAATGAAAAATACAGCCTTTATTTATTTTGTAAAACAATATATTATCAATTAAAAACGTGATTAATCATTTCATTGACAAGACCCCTTGGGGTGAGAAACTAAGAATTTGTTTTAAGAATGAGCATGGGGAGTGACATTTCAGGAGAGTAATAGAGCCAGAAACAGTATTAGCACTTCAGAATAGCTAGCACTTCGTCTCTTAGGATGTATGGGATTATCACAGGCCAGAGGAATTAATGAAAGAGTTAAAAGCCCTCCAAACACTGGGACGCAAACTCGTTATTATTTTAAATCTTGAAAAATATCAGTTTATCAAACATCTGTTTTGAACACGCATCATCCCACTGAACCACTTCCTTGTATAGTCACAATGAGATATCACCAATCAAACATAATTCCAGATATAGCATTGTCTGTGACTATGTTTCTTCTTAGGCTCACTTAAGAGTAAGTAACCCCCCAAAATCATTTTCAGCTGAGCCAGTCTGAACCTTACCAAACAGAGATCCTTGTCAGCAGAGATTAATTTCATTAAACCAAATATCTTCCATAATTTATTTCTAATGAAGGTATCAAGAACAGTCACCTCAATTTTCAGACACACACAGTTAGTTTTGAAATTCCATGTACAGGGTAACTGATGTGAAATTTAGCTACCAATCAACAAAATGAAATACTTGTGAACTAAAGTCCTACAATGCTTAGAAAATGCAGTCCTTCATCTCTAAGTAATCATGATGATTAGCTACCCAAATATGTATTGTATAAAACTATGCTTATCTGCCAACAACCCAAACTAGAAAAAAAGTTATTAATATAGTAACCTGAAGACTCACAACATTATTTCTGCTACTAAAAAAAATCAGCAATAACAATAAATTTTGTTATACAGGTATTGTAAGATCATTATAAACATTACTCACCATAGTTGGTCAGTTTAACATCATAACATCTTGATCCCACTGAGCTTTGAGCTTTTGAGGGAACTCCTGACTGCACTTCTTTACTAAGTTCTTTAAGCTTGATAATTTCAGTTTCAATCTTACGGACTTCAAGAGACAGAATTTCTTTCACTTTAGGTCTAGTGGTTAAATTAATAAACTTGGATAATTCTTCAATATCATTCTTAAGCTATGAAAAAAAAAAAATCACAGGTAACATAAACCATAAAAGTGAATCGTAACCAATAGATGATACATTAATTTATTATCAAATTACCTCACTAATCTTGGTAGACGGCATTTTTATAGTTGAATCTAAAGCGCTAAAACTTAATACAACACAAGCACCCGTGTAACGTTCCAGAACAAACGAACAGGAATAATATGCAACCCCACAACCAAGCTATTAATCGATATACAGTTGGTCTCAATGTAAGTATTGAAAACTGTAAAAAACAAAAGGTTTTTATTTAAGGTTACTTTATTATCTAATTATTTTAGTTTATTTGACGAAAAACTTCAAATCGTGAAATATTTTCTATGATTCGGAACTGGAAACATACCATATTAGGTTGTGGAATGCTATCTCTTTTATGAAGTTAATCACTTTGGGAAAATAATTGTGATTCCTTCATGCCTTAAGGAGATGCTGAGAATTTCGAAATTGGCTTTTTTTCTTCTGTACTTAGTCCTCGGTTATGTGCTTCTCTATTAATAAAATGCTGACACTTTGGCACATATTCTTTTGCCATCAGATAGCAGTGGGTAAGGAGGTAGCGCTCTAATTGGAGTTGAGTGATGACAATCTCATCTGTTTTTGAGTGTCTGAAGTATGAAGTTCATTTCTTCCAACTTTGACTGACCGAAATCTGTTCATCCTATACTCTTTGCCATTGAGTGTATATGAACTCTCCAAGAGGAAGAAAGATTTCTGCGCTAGAAAGATACGAACCTTTGAAACGGTCTGATGAATAAGGGTGCCCAGAAGTTGCGCCATCAACATTTTTGAAAGGAGCACATTTTGACTGAGTTTTGAATATTTGAGTGGGTCACATTTCGACGGGATGGAATGTGAATTTCGGAATTTTCGGAGTGAAAAGTTTCAAAACAGAGAACTAGAAGGAAAACATGGGATAGGCCACAGAAAGTGGAATTGTATATGATTCACGATTTGTCTAATCCTACATTCGTTTGCATTGTTTTTAAGAAAAAGAGAGAAATAAAATATTTGGAGAGGGGCTGATGATTCATGTGCCATCGACTTTGGGAAGGAGGGGGGATGGGCTCCGCTGCTGATGAGTATATTTCTGTAGCTGCTTGATTAACCATTTCATTTCCCCTTATGCCAATATGACTTGATATTCACACAAAAACAACAGTTATGTTTGAAGTTTTCAATGTGATAAAAATGGTAAAATGACCTATATGATTAGAGACTTTTCTTAGTATGGGTTGTTAATAAACTATATGTTTCCATAAATTATACGGATATTGCGGGGGGCACAGGTAATCGGAGCCGAGTTACCGTATCTTCTGTGGCTAAATGTCTTGTCTGAAATACTTTCAGGATGGATGGTAATACCCGATTCGCAAATTCACAATTTTGAATTCGTTGTTTGGGAACCATATAGGCCATAACTACATGTATAGAGGCAAACATCATAGAGGCAAACATACGTTTAATTACAAGACTTGGAATATATCTGGAATCTTCTTTTCTTGTAATTTTGAGTACTGGTGCTGGCGAATAGAACTAGTCTGGCAGGTGGACTTTGTGATCCTTTTTACCATAACCTGATGGCTACCGCAAATCAATTTAATTAAGTCTGTATTAAAAAGAGGAGGCGGAAAGCCACAAGCAGTGTTGTAAAAAAATAAAGAAATCATTGAAGTCGAACCAGAATTAGGAATGATAGAGGCTATTCGATTTTCTATACGTTTTATTACTTTCCTACCACTACTATTTATCACGTTGCGAGGTTGTAAATTAAATAGCATCTCTAGATTTATTTAATTCTATAATTTATCACAATTACATTTCGCTAGCTTGGCTTGATAAGGTTCTATCTGATATAATCTCAACTTTGAGAAAAACGAGTTTGTTTTGAACCTTATTAGGTCTTTTCTTAATAATTTAAATGGTTGTAAATTAACTTTTGAAGTTGGTTTAATAATAAAATTTTATTTTTAATTAAAAAAAAAAAAATTGTAATTGTTCAAATTGCAGTTAGAACCTTTTCATCGACAAAAAGAGTGAAAATGAAAGTGATCAAGATGTAAATGAAGCTAACCTTTTTGAACCTAAAAATATATTTGATTTAAATATCAATCAGATGAAGTTGTCTCTGAATCATTAAAAATTAATAATTTTTATTTGTCCATGAATACTTGAATAAGTAAAATTATGATATCTGGCTTAAGATATCATAATTATTTACTATTAGAACATTTTGGCTTTCACCATAGACTTTTAACTCATCAGTGTAATACTCTCGTAATTATGATCAGATAAACGGGCACCCGGTCTTTAAATCTGTTTTCTTCATTTCTGAAATTTACTTTGCTGGTTACAGGATCCTTTTTTTCTTTTTTTTTACACTCTCTTACGTCCATTTTGGGCTACACCTATTGAAAACCTTACTTTTATATCCTTTTTTTACTACTAAAACAAGATAAATGGTGAAATATAGAACGATATATAGATGAACATTTTTGGAAATCCTAATTTGACAAGTTGGATGAGAATGACTCTTCCCTTTTTTTAAAAGGATCCAGGTGTAAAATGATTTTAAATGTAAAGAATATTATGAGAAGGAGTTAGTCGGGGGTGCGGTCAAATAAATACTAAATTAAAATATAGTAATTATTTTAATAGGAGTTAGTCGGGGGTGCGGTCAGATAAATACGTAGGATGTAGCACTGCGGGAGGCAGTTGAAACAATGACCTTTACTGAAAACCTTACTTTCATATCCTTTTTTTACTACTAAAACAAGATAAATGGTGAAATATAGAACGATATATAGATGAACATTTTTGGAAATCCTTTATTTTATTTTTTTATTAATTTTATTTTTTTTTTGGAAATCACCTTTATTTTTATTTTTATTAATACTTATTTTCCATTTTTTTGTATCTTCTACATATATAATACTTAATATTTTACTACATTTTCACCCACTATATCTCTGATATCATCTTTTATTTCTGTATCTGACAACTTCTTCTTATTTTATATCTACTTATATTTAATTTTTATTCTCAACATGTTTTGTATCTTTTGTAGCCCTGAAGACGACCTGCAAAGTGGGTCGAAACGTCGGAAAAATTAAAAAAAAAAAAATTGAGTGTTTCAACTGCCTCCCGCAGTGCTACATCCTACGTATTTATCTGACCGCACCCCCCGACTAACACCTTCTCATATTATATCAACGGTCAACCATCTCTACATCATCAGTAATTATTTTAATTTTTGCTGACGTTTCGGCCTACTTTGCAGGTAGTCTTCAGGGCTACAAAAGATACAAAACATGTTGAAAATAAAAAATAAATATAAGTAGATATAAAATAAGAAGAAGTTGTCAGATACAGAAATAAAAGATGGTATCAGAGATATAGTGGGTGACAATATAGTTAAATATTAAGTATTATATATGTAGAGGATACAAATAAATGGAAAATAAGTATGAATACAAATAAAAATAAAGGAGAATATAGCATGTAAGTTAAAAGTAAATAGATAGCGATAAAAGATAAGGAATAAGTGTATAACAAACTAATAGAGATTACATTAGATAACTGTGGGTTAACAGATAAATAAAATGAATGTTAACGAATAAATAGATTGAAAATTGAATAAGTATTGTTACAGCAAAGTTAAAATAAGAATAAGATAACATAATAAAAGATATCAGTGGATAATAAGCAAGTGGAGGTTACCTTTTATTGTAAGTATACAGATAACGAGAATAAAGGTTAAGAAGTGAAGAAATTGAAAGATTATTAGAAACGTCGGCAGAAATTAAAATAATTACTATATTTTAATTTAGTATTTATTTGACCGCACCCCCGACTAACTCCTTCTCATATTATATCAACGGTCAACCATCTCTACATCGTAAAGAATATTAGTTCTTAGAAAAATATATACTTGGAAAACTAAAAATGTTAAAATTAAAAGTAATTTATATTACATAAAAATTCCCACGACAATTATCCCATCCATCATCAAGGACGTAATGCACTTCGGTATCTTATTAAGCACATTGGGTTAGTCTTGGAGCCAGCGCCCAATAATCGGCCTCATCGCAGGAGAAAGTTTGATTGTAAATTACGAAAGTGTATGTTATTTTGAGTAAAAAGAACGTTGTCTGCCGTTCCAGAGCCGCTGCTTACAAAATGACGACTAATTTGAGGAATATTAGGCCAGTAATTTCAGGATCGAAAAAGAAAATCCATTGCGAAAAATGTGAGAAAAGTTTTTATTTTTTAAACTTCTAAATATGGATTGTCATGTAAAAAAAAACAATTGCTAACGCAGGCTACCAAGGGAAAAGTTTTTTACAATAAAAAATTCAGATTTTTTCGATACTTTTTTGTTTTTTCACCTATAACTCCTAAACGATGCATAAAATCGAAAAATGTACTTTTTAATAAATTACGCGTCGAACGAGTATGTAAACTTTATACTTTTTTTCGGTTGGCACTACAGACCATGAAGATCTTTAGCCGCGAGATATGGTCTCCTTACAGATGTGTGGTACTTGCGGCAGCTCAGAAAGCCTGGAGGGGTTCATCCAACTTCACGTTGCTACGAACCATGGTTTCCATGGTGCAGCGGCAGGCCACCCGTAGCTCCATAACCGATCCCTTTGGGGCCAATCTGGCAGTGTCCTTCCCACCGACTCGCGCGGGATCTAGGACAGTGACAAATCGGTCTAGATCCATGGATTATGGCTGCTCGGAGTCAGCAGGCGCATGAGGATCTATATTTCTTTCCCCGAAACAGACCGTCCATGTACCGAACCTCAGGGGGGCTATTAACATCATGGTAAACCATGTGTGTGTGTGTGTGTGTATATATATATATATATATATATATATACACTCCAGTGGATTATATATATATATATTTTATATCCTTTTCCATCAATGTCAAATTCAAACAAGAAACAACTACGATATATGGATATATCAATAGCATTATCAACTATCCCCCATCTCTAACTGATAGGTTCTAAAGTTTGAAATATTGTAATAAATAGTTGGGTGCATACCACTCTCAAACGAAACCAGGTGTCCCGAAGGGGGTTTCGTGATCAAAATTTTTCAAGGGGAGTAAATTTCGAAGGGGTTGAAGGATGTACGCAGCTTTCATAATCTGGGGGAGGCAAGACGGACATTTTTTTTGGAAACGTTTATTATTATTAAAATTTACAAATATTTTTATGTGGAATACATTTGTTTTGTTTTTTGTGGGCATTATAGACCATGTAGATCTTTTGCCACATTAGCCTGCTCCATCTCTGCCTGTCTTGGACTATTTCTTTCCATTTATCTCACGCAGCTCTATTCCAACTTTGTTGATTCTATCTAGCCATCTGCTTTTTGGTCTTCCACGTGGTCTTCTGCCTCCTGTTGAGGCATTCATTGTTACGTAGAGGCATCCAGTTGGATTGCTACAAGCTACATGCCCCGCTCATCTTAACCTCCGTGCCTTCATATCATGGGATATTGATTGGGCAGTTTCTGTAAGCAGTACTTTATTGGCCTTTCTTCTCCATATGTTAGTACTCAGATCCCAGATCGCTCCGGTCATCGTGCGGAGGTTTTATTTTCAAATCTTTCAACACTTTTTTTTAGGATAGCTAGTTACTGTCCAGGTCTCACAACCACATATTAGAACTGGCTTTATCATAGCACTGTATACCCTTCGTTTGAGATTTATTGAGATTTTTCAGGATTTCAATATCTTTGAGGGAGAGAAGAAAGAAACTCTCTCTTTTGTATGCCCATAACGGGGTTATGAATTTTCGGCGTGAAATGTTTCAAACATGGGGAAAACGTGGAACAACCATAGTAAGTATAATTGTATATCGTTTTTATAACACTGTTTTTAAAAAGAGAAGATAATTAAAATTTCTTGGTAGGAGGGGTTAGTTCATGCGCCACCAACCTTGGAGGTTGTTTAAATATGGAGGGGAAGAACTCGCAAGATTTATGCATAATGTTATAATGGAAA